GGTATACAGAATGGTATATTGCGACCACGGTCCTACCACAGATGGTATACGAAATGGTAGGAAGCGAAGGATATATAAGGACACTCATTCCTGTACTTAGTTGAGTTCTTCGCGATTGTCTTCGTCAATAAAGCATTGGTTACCTTTCTAGTTCAGACTCGTCAGCACTAAAACCAACAACTAAGTATACGTACTTAGTTGGCCTTGTTTCTCTACTTCGTCACCTTATTTGAATTACTTGTTTACGGAGCCTGGCTGGGGCGAGATACCACGCGGCGCATTACGACTTAGACCTGGAGGGTCATTATCGATATAACGACGACGACGAAGGACACTCAGGTGAGTGCCCCAACTGAGACTTAACTAACTAGAACCTTAGGTTACGATACGAAGAGAAGCTAGGTTGTGACAGGTGTATGTCTTGAAGGCCACATCCACAGGAGCATTCAGTTGATTCCACAGCCTTGAAGGTACCAAGGTAACTGGCCAGCACAATCTTCCCAGTTTGAATTTGAATGAGGACTGATGTAGCAGCTCTCTGAAGGCCTTGGTATAGCTGCATTGGTGCTTTTGAGGGTTCTTTCCATAAACAACAGATGGAGTTCCCATGGGGGGAAGCAGTCCATTCAGTCTTCCATGCATTTGCTGCTTCTATGCTGCATGCAGAGGATTCTTTGCATGCTGGCCATGAGAGTGAGCTCTTCTGTGTCATTGGGTGCTGGGGAATTAGCAGCTTCTTTTGCAAGAGCATCAGCACACTCATTGCTGTAGATGCCTTCATGACCTGGGAGCCAATACAGTTGTATATCCCAGCCACATTCTTGTAGTTGAGATGCAGTGCATGCAATATCACTCAGGATATATTAGCCAGAAGACCTTCCTGGAGCTGAGCATGCTTGTATTGCTGCCTGGTTGTCTGTGAAGATGGTTGCTGTACAGGTCTGATAGGAACATTGTGATTCCAGTCCACTTGAGTTGCATATTTGGGTAAGCACCATCTTTATGCCCTGTAATTCTGCTGCATATACAGTGTGAGTAGCTTGAGAGCCAATGTGTGTCACGGAGCTCAGCCAGGTTAATGGAACATCAACTCATGTGTTCTACCTAGGTAGCTATCGACGAGAATAATTGACATGAGGAAGGAAGAAAGGAGGTAACGCTGTAGTTATCAATAAAGCAAACAACTGCAACTCACGTGACAGCCAGCCAACATGACCAGGCCGTCACAATGTGAACTGCTTGGTGCCCCAGAGGTGAAACTACTGCTGCTCCAACTCTCTGTTCTGTCAAGCTGCCATCTGTGTACACAATGATATCAGCTCTGCTGTGTAAGATGGCATTGTGAGTTGTGAGAGCAGCTTCCCAAGTTTCTGCTTAGAGTGGCACAGCGAAGCCGCAAAATCCGCGCCAATCCGCGCCGAATCCGCAATGGCGCGGCTTCGGATGGAAGTTGAGAAAGTCCGCAGCGGCTGCGGATTCTATGTAAGGATCCGCTGCGGATTCGGATTAATCTGCAGTCATCCATTTGGCTTATTAAGCAGCAAGGCATCGAAATATCTAAAATATATTTATATAGGCATATAGAGCATATATAGATATATCCATATTCAAAATATGAGTCCCATAGGCCCCCTCGTTGGGGAGTTATTCACTAAAAACTAAACATCGACTGTATGTATGCGTGATGTATGAAGCTGAAATATATATCTATATATCTCCATCGACATTCTACCCAAACCACCACCCACCCTCCATATAGATATCGATATGTATATATATTAATATATAGGGGTATATGATGGATATATAAAAGATATTTAATAAGAAATTGATATATTTACTATATAGATGGCTTGAAATATCAATATACAAGCTGAGCAGGCGATCGTAAGGGTGATACTGAGTGGTGATTAAGCAGGGAGACTAGCCATATATGGCCTAGTACCTTCCTACTTGGGCTCTAGTGCGGCTTTTGCGGCTTAATCCACGCCAATCCGCGCGGATTTTGGCGCGGATGCGGATCCAAGCCTGAGCATCCAAAATCCGCGCGGCGTGGATGGAGGGCACCTTCCATCCGCACCAATCCGCGCCGAATGCAACTCTATTTCTGCTATATGGGGTTTCAGACCTGCCCACCAAGGTGGGGTCACTGTCACAACCTAGCTTCTCTTCGTATCGTAACCTAAGGTTCTAGTTAGTTAAGTCTCAGTTGGGGCACTCACCTGAGTGTCCTTCGTCGTCGTCATTATATCGATAATGACCCCTAAGGTCTAAGTCGTAATGCGCCGCGTGGTATATCGCCCCAGTAAGGCTCTGTAAAGAATGCGCTGCTTGGTATATCGCCCCAGCCAGGCTCCGTAAACAAGTAATCCGATAGAAGGTTGACGAAGTAGAGAAACAAGGCCAACTAAGTACGTATACTTAGTTGTTGGTTTTAGTGCTGACGAGTCTGAACTAGAAAGGTAACCAATGCTTTATTGACGAAGATAATCGCGAAGAACTAAACTAAGTACAGGAATGAGTGTCCTTATATATCCTTCGCTTCATATACCATTCGAACTACCTTCCCGATGGTAGTCGTGATGGTAGTCGTATACCATCTACCAATGCCAAGCCATGGTATATGGTAGTCAAGTCACGTGTCGTGCCTGTCGGTTGTTGTCCTAATTCCTGAGTGACTTTCTGTTAGGATACAAAGCCGCATAGCGGACTTATGCATGTACATAACACGCACGTGCGGTTACTAAGCTCCCGCACGTCACATGACCGCGACATAAAGTCTTAACCCCGCTGATGGCCGGAGACAGGACATCAGCGATTAGTACCGTGAATACTACGCATATACTTCTCATAACACTCACTGCGCTATCTATAGACCTTCTCTCACAATGGGGTTGCTTGGTTGCTTGGAGAGGTGCTTAGTGTTCCATTTGTGCCAATGGATCCATTGGTATTGCCCTGCATCCAGTTTGAGACCAAAGAGGACTTTGTTGATGTCAGGTGACTTGCTAGAGCTGCATCCTGATAAGAGTTTGCATGGCTGGAGGGGTTAGATGCTGGGGGGCTATTGGTTGCTTTCAGGGACTGCATTGAGTACTGTAGAGCTTTCATTTCCTCTGTCTGCTTATCAAACATATCTTGGATCTGTTGGAGTACTTCTTTCTGGCCATCATGGTTTTCACTGCCATTGTTGCTGGCACAGTTGTGCACCTTTGCTGCAAGATCTTCAACTGAACTCATAAACCGGATGAATAGATCCCAGGGGGGTAGCCCCTGGGTCCGGTCAGCAATTTGCTTCAGCTCTGCTGTTTCTGTGAGAATAGCAGCTGCATGGGCGCCTTCATTGTGGTCTTTATGATTGTATGAGCAGTTGGGCCACAGAGATGCAGCTCCGACCACCCCTTTCTTCTTTGCACCCCCCATTGTCAGCGACAACTGGGGAGAACGTCGTTGAAAGTAGTATCAATCGATTCCGCGTGAAGTTGAATATAGGATTCGAGTTTTCCGCAGTGCGGGAACTCGCTCAGAAGGTAGGGGGGTCACCACTGAGGAGTTGTTTTTTTTTTATGAATTGCGCCTTAGTTATCTTCCTGAATGCTCTGACCATCCCCTTCAAACTCGCCAATGACTGGACCTTGCACAGAAAGGTTTTCAAAGCTATGTTTGACGATGCTAGTTTTGAAGCAAGAACTGATGGATATCTTGATGACCGCCAAGGCAACGCCCAGGCTATTATCGAGGTGAAGCCAGTCACACGATCAAAGAAATCAACTCTTATTCAAATGCAGGAGAGCGCTCAAATGGTGGCTTGGGTCAAAAGTGATGGTGAAAAACCAAATACACCCAAGAAAGTGTATAGCTTCCTCCGTCAAACCGTTTCTACTACAAAGTAACACCTGATTCTGACTGAGAAATAGGCGCCTTCATGTCTCGCAAGACCGGCACGAGATATTCTTGACAGTTGCTCAGTACGATGGCGACTACATCAGATACTTGGAAGACAAGAATCATCGCAGCGAGTCCCGATCTTTTATGGCTATGCATCAATTCGGTCCCTGGAATACATTGGATGCGACACACATGAGCTACCTGGGGCCTATTATGCTGGCGATATCACTCCGTGCAGACGATGAAATTAGAAAGAGCAAATCCTGATCATATCAAATATCTATTTCTAGGTTTGGCAGTAGTAATAGGCAGTCTATGAAAGGCATATGATTGAAGAGTGGCTCTATTAATCTGCTCATTTCATAATATCTCTCGTAGATGTCTTGTAAGAATTTCTTTAATCTGAGATATGCCATGCATTCAGATCGCACATTGAATTTCCTAACTTGACCATGGCATGGGCAACAAATTGGCTCTTCGCGAATTGATAGGCTATGTCCTATGTCCCATCTGGAGACGCCAGTGACTCTTTCGCAGGACATGACCCTAATTCAGTCTCCAACACCAGGCCCCGCATCGAAGAAACGAGTCTTTCACTTATTACACTGGGAAGAAGACCCGTATTTCAATCTCAACGCCTCAAGTGTTTGAGTAACGCCATTAGCAAACCCTGAAATTTGCCCCTCCCTCTATTCATCGAGTTCGTTGAGCTCGAATTAGTGCTCAATGAAGGGCATGGAAAAACTGGTGCGATGGCCGCTCTCACGGCGTGCTTTGACACTTCTTTCCAGATACCAGGTAAAGCGGTCTTGTAGCTGCGAGGGAACCTGCCTTTCCCGCAAGAACAGAGTGGCTGTTGTCCAAATTCAACGGAGGCCGGGACTTTGCCGCTTGTTAGGTATTCGCAGGACGGCTTATAGTTCCAGTCACGACAGCGCGATGATGAGCCCATTTGGTGGTTTCTGTTCTGGCATCAGGGGATCACTATTCGATGCGTTCTTACACAGTTTATTGAACGCTGTTATACAGTATTTGACCAAAGACCTCAACATATCGATGAGGTTGATGTGATTATTGGTGAACTTCAATTTGGAGGCCCAGGCCACGATGAGCAAATTCTTCGACAGGTGATCACACTTGACAATATTGCGAGCCACCTTACGATTAGCTTTTTCATAACCTTTGAATATCCGATTGAATGAAAGGAGAGGATCTCTAGTTTAGGGAAAGGATCTGTATATCATGATATTGCAGAAACTCTATCTCACCTTGAAACAGAGCTGGCTTAGTCAAATGCATTTGGTCTTAATCAAGTGACAAATATGCAAACCACTGTTTCAAAAAAGATTTTCATATCATTCCAATTATCGGCGTCATTTCAACTATAATTCATTCATTTACATGTTTTTCTCGGGCCATGGTGTCCCGCAGCAGTTTATTCTGATTCCTGGTATCCTACTTGCTTTGAATTTGGTGACAGCGTTAATGGTCCGACAATAAAGTCAATTGTAAATCTTGAAACGATGGTCTCTCGGATTGTAACTCAGAGAAGAATTCGGGAGTCGATTACTTCGGACTAACGATGTCTAGATGGAGAGGGCTAGTTTAAACGAAGAGGTATATTGCCTATCAAACGTGTATGTACACACGCAGCTGGTTGAGTGCTTAACTAGCTATCTACGCGTACACGCTGGACTATATAAAGAATCTCCGGACCTCGCTACTTGGACCAACCATTTGTCCGATCGATTCTTATCACATACGACGGGCGAAGCGGAATCGCCTCTAGTAGCTAAGCTAAATCTACCATACACACTAGTGAGACTCCCCTGCAGCGTGACAAATATCATATTAAGTTACTTCAATCTAACTAAACTCACTTTTGCTAGTGCTTGCGAATCCTAAATATGCAATAGCATATGATGTTACAGGATTGAATCCATTGTGGTACAAAGGAGATGGTATTTGTCTTGATCAAAATGTTCCTTAACTGTACATTGTAAAGAACAAAAGACGCTTGTAAACCAGAATAGAGCTTCATCAACAATCACTGAGAATTGCTTGGATTACTCTTTATGATGACACGAGTCCAGGTTGGTGTTGACATTCTGATGCTAGCCTCCTCTGAGTGGAACCTCGCACAACTGTTCCGTGGCACTTCTCTGTGATTTGAAAGATGAACTTTCTGTTTGAGCAGCTCCATCCCACAGACATTACACTCAACCCATTTGGTTTGCCAGGGAGGAATGACATGTTTTTGTAGAAAATGCCTGGTGAGTAAACCGGGTGTTGTGTGTTCCACAATCTGATCCTTAGCAGGAGATTAACATTCCCAGACAAAGAAAGCAGAGCTTAGGTCGTTCTTCAGGAGACTTGATCTGTACGGATTCCATCGCTTGGCGCAGAGTAATCTCGGTCTCGTCCGAGAAATGTTGTTGCCGTTTGGCAGGAGAACAGGTTCATCATCGTCGGGTACAGGCCGGCAGCGAGATTGGCTGGGCCGTCCCTCTTCTACGGGGCAAAATGCAATCATTGCATTAATTATGTTGATCCGACGCTGATACTCCGCTTCAAGAGTGGCACCTAGCATGCTCAAGGTGGCGTCAATCACCATTAGACGCTGCAAAGACATGAAGCCCTTGTGTTCCAGAGCCCCCACTACCTTGGTATCCACCAGCTTCTCTGCCAGTTGCCATTCAAGGTCAATCACGGGTTGCTCATTCCTATACCGCTCTAGATTGTTCCAGATCCGTCGGTTCCGCTGTCGTTGCTCCTCATTACGCAGTTCACGGACAGCTTTGTTATACTTCCGCTTTGCTTCCATTGTCCGATCCTGGAAAAGTTCCAGCTTTTCCCGTAGATGACGGTGGTGCTTGGAAAGTGCTCCTTCATCAACGTGGCCAAAGCGGCTTGACTGCCATATTGGCACGGTCTAACATGGCTTTGCGGTCATCCCATTTCCGCTCGCATTTGTTTACTGTGTCCTGCTGTGCACGAACCACAGGGAGTCCATTGAGGGACTTGGATTCTTCGGAAGAGAGCTTATAAGGTCGATTTGGGTCGATCGAGGCACTCAACGAGCATGCAAATCGCACCAAGGGTGTTTGAGAACCCGTTTTGCGGATAATGCCCTGAACGTCAACATCAACATCCACCTCATAATGTCGGACAAAGGTGCGGATATCTGCATGCTGTAGGATGACGTTTTGGAGAGCATTGGTAACCTCTTCTATCCATAGGGTTAGCTACCTAACTAGCTGAAGAGCTGATGAATACTCACCGCTGCTGTTGAATTTCTTGGCTCCAGCGTATTGAAGGAGGTACGGCCTGGCAACTTGATCAAAGCCTGTGATCTCGCCGCCTCGACGCATCTGTAATTGCACCACAGACGCCGTCAGTCTCTTCTCCAAGGCGATTCAGTATCCGGCGGTTTCCCGATCCACCTGGCAGAACACAAATTTATCTAGTATTTCATGCTTTAGTTTCAGTTCCTGCTGTCCCTCGCCGTCCAGTTCTCCGAGGCTGTAAAGTTTCTCTGGGCAATCCAGTACTGGCTCAGTTGTAGAAACCTTCTTGAAGCCTTTGATATGAAAGAGCATACTCAGCAAGCATACATGCAGACTGAGGACCAGAGTTGGATCAAAGATGGTTTCTGGAATTTTAAACTCATTCCTATCCAATTCCGTTAGCCGACCGGCTCCCAAGGAGCTATGAGAATAAGAACACCTACGCAGCCTTCTTCCCAAGGAACCTCTTCATGAAGTCCGGCTTCAAGAAAATAAACAATCGAGGGCATCCGCCTTCTGGATCTCAGATCAGGGTGAGCGCTATATCCTGATAGTGAAGGTGGAGGAGCACCCCTGAACGGCTTGCAGTGATTGCTGCGAGCTGGCAGAAGAAAAGGATCTGGATGCGCTGCCAGCCACAGTTGAATATCATCTCAGTAGTTCTCAAGAGAACGCGTGCAAACTCGGCAACGTCTTCAATATACATGTTCTTATTTGGCCGCCGGTCGGGCTCTGGGCTTTTCTCTTTGGTGACAATGGCAATTACCTACACATTCATCAGTAGCTGTTCCATCTTTGGCCAGAGTAGAAGGGGTATATACTCACATCCTGCACCTTGACAATTATATCTTTGCTCAGTCCTGACGCCGTCTCCTGTTTCAGAACAATATGCCACAACTTCCAGAACGACTAAAGCGAGCTCTTGTATCCAATACCTGGGCAGTGCCGACCATTCTTGCCACGACGGATATCACACCGCCAGCCAAAAAATGCATACAGGAAACGGACCGTCTCATCTGAGTCTGAGATCCATTGCCAGTACTGTACCGGGTCGACACCATTGTATCGACAATATCTGCCAGGGAGCCACCGGTGAGCTTTCAACATAGCCTGAGGGCCAAGAGAGTTATCTACCTAATTTCATGTGTGAAAGGGGTTCATGCCCTACTCCAAACAATCCAAATCGATCAAACACACCATGCCACTATCGAAGCGTATGTTTGGTGAAAAGCCCTCCAATAAATTATTTATATACAGCACGGACTTTTCTCCCGGCTTTTCCCACTTAGATTGTTAAGCACCCTGTCGCACTAATGAATTTTTTTAGTAAGGTATATTTAGGCCTAAGAACGCATAAAAGGGGGAGTAAATAGAGAACCAGCTGCACAGATACCAAATCAAATGGCAAGCATTCCAGACTTACGATGAAATCAGCGGGTGAGCAGATAGTGGACAACGCTGCCTTGACCCCGAAAGCTTTCGTCATCTTATAGCTACCGTTTAAGTAACTTAACTATAACCCTGATTATGACCGATTTTGCATTCGTCAACTGATGAAATGGTTGGCCCACATCCACAGGAGGGTTACCAAAGAGACAAGGAAGCCGCCAACATTCCATGCCGTTCCCCAGTCGTTGAAAATAAACCTTGCGAAAATTATAGCCAGAAGGATCAATATCACTGTTAGAGGTAAGATTATGTGCTGTGGATTGCTGTTCCAACCCTCGCTGATATTTAAGCCACGAAACTGGAGTTCGCCCAGTTCTGGGCAATGCCATTCATCCAGTTTCCTGTAGATATCTCTGCCACCTTGACGTCAGTTTTGAGGCCCAATTACCACATGTATCAGACTGACGGGCAATTTACTTACTGATGGCCATTCATTAAACCCTCTTTGTTAAGAAGGCAATTCAACTCAGCAAATTCGGCATGAAAGAAAAGTTGACTGAGCAGTTTCCGAGTATCAAGCTGTACAAGCTCGCGTTGTGACTTGTACAGAGTCTCCTCTGGGCATTCCCCATACTCATCAATAATGCGCGATATACAATTACCGAGACAATCCACTGTACCGGTGGAAGGGTTGTATGGGCAAGGAAAATCCTGGGGCCGGTAATTTTCGATGATCTGCTCCAAGTTTTTCCTTTTGGTGAGATAGTCCTCGCTTGTATGTATGCCAACGTATTCAATGTTGCTTGTTGATCGATTGTTCATCTCCAGTTTCCTCCCTGCGATTGAGATCTTTGGCATCTGTCAGAACCATACCAACCTTCAAATTTGAAGGTCATTAGCAACGAACCTCAACAACATCCACTTGCTTCACACCAAATGCCGGTATATATCTTCTCCAGCTCCCCTTGAATGCATAGAATGCCCGGGAAATTTCCCGCCATGCTGTAACCTCATCAGCAGAATCAGCGACTATCACTGGAACAATGTGACAACGTTCCTTTTCACCCCAACAGATGAGTATTGAGGAAGCATCCTTGTCAAGCATCGGCTTCAGTATTTTTGCCATATCTTCTTTTCGATGAGTATGAGCTATTTGTCGAGAATCGGTTATGCCCAGTAGCGACGAGTAGTTCGATATGGTTTGCCTTGAGTTTTCGTCTCGATCGTTGATATCAGGTTTGTTTCTGTATCGACTTGGGGCTGAATTTCGAAATCCAACATTGTTGTTCTGTAGTGTTTGTGATGAGTGGACTGGTCTTATGTTTTCAGGAAATGAAGAACCTTGATTAACATGAGCCAACAGCAATGGACTGGGTTCCGACTTTTGGCGTGAAAAGACTTTATTTATCCACGGCACATTGACGACACGGCTGGAACTGTGCTGCTGATCAGGGTCAGTATGCCCTGGTCGTAACAAGACCGGGGCAGGCTGACGAACATCTCCCATTTTGTCCGCGAGAGGTAGTAAACTCCAAATAGAAAATTCTAGTTTCCTTTGTGTTGATTATAGCAATGGCAAAGTATTAAGCCCGAGAGATAGCTGCTGGCGAAAGTCCAATTTATGAATTTTACAATGTAAGGCTTTGATAGCACAAGCACATCAAATTCCCAAAGCTGATATGTCAAGATACAGAGGTTAGCCTTCTCTGTAGCCTTGCCGCATAACCGTGCTTATCAAGCTCAGCCTTGCTGCCCAATACACTGCTTACGGATCAGGAAGAGAAGGATTTCATATTATGCTTTGGACTTGATGAGATTGGCTCGACAAATAAAGGCAGATCATATGAGTGGTATCAGGTTCTGGCCACAACTTTTGGATAATAGTCGTCCAGTATTGACTGTTAAGAATTTGGTGTTTCTCATAATCTGGTCAGGAGGTATTGAACTCCCCCAGGGCGGACTTGTGTTGACGCGGCTAAATGGGGCAACTGATGAGAGCATCTATGAGAAAATATGTTGGGTCGGACTGGACAGTACATAACGACAAAATAAGTATCAATAACTGCTCACAGGCGGCGGCACAGTTCCTGTATAGCCATGGACTAAGATTGGCTGGGGCGGGTATGAATAAATTCGAATCCAAAGTTACCAACACTATCACCAATCACTTGTCAAGAGAAGATTTGTTTGTGGCTATGTGCAGATGCCAAGATGGCTCGGTGTTATGAAGTTGGAAAAGGACAGCCAATAATTAGTCGCTGTAGCATGCCATTAGATTGGAAGGATTTCAAAGGATTAAGATTGCGCGGCGCTGCGCGATGTTGGGTGATGGCTCACCCTCATCTATAGCGCACTCACCCTAACTCACCCCTGGTCGCGCGACCGAAAAGCGGCATCACCTTTAACTCACCCAGGAGGCACCCACCGAACTATTATCCGCAGTTAAGCCACACGCCGGCCGGTTAGTAGTTGGGTGGGTGACCACCAGCGAATCCCGGCTGTTGTATGTTTTGTTTTTGCCAGATAACTTCGCGCAGCGAAGTTCCTTCTTTCTTGTTCTTTTTCTTTTTTTTTTTGGGGGCGGGGGGGTTGTGGGGGGCTGAGATTCTTCCCATGTACAGAGTACATACGGAGTACATGTGCATGTACATCCGAGTCCCAGACCCGGAAATGAATATTCTCAGCCTTGCCTCACTTGCCGCAGAAAGTTAGATACGATGGTTGGATTAACTAGCATCCAATTGCGATTTGCAGGTCTGGCTGTTCATTAGCCATCATTTTGTCGCTGTACTTGGTCGACATGATTGATATATACCTGAACGACCTTATCTACTCTCTACGCTAGATATATATCCACCCCCGGCAAGTAAACTTGGACAATAGAATCCCTTTTAGTCAAATAGCTATTATCGCTTATCATCAGTCATCCTAGAAGTGCTATCTAACACGGAGTCATGAAAAACATTGATCGAAGTGCCGTGCAATAAGGGTTTATTTCGTGCGTAGATACATTAAGGGCTGGATACATTGTGCAGTGGCAATACAGGAATATGTATATAATTATGCGGAGCCTAAAACCATAAGCGGTCTCCGTGGCGCAATAGGCTAGCGCGTCTGACTGTTAATCAGGAGGTTGGAAGTTCGAGCCTTCCCGGGGACGTTTATTTTTGTAATTTTTTTTTTAATTGACTATTTTTTGAATAAAAAAACCACCGAACAAACATCTCGCTTGCGGTGGCTTTTTTTGACCATGAAAATGAATAAAAACCGTTCAATTGAAACGCTACCGGGCTATAAGAAGAGTAGAAAGTAACCAACTAACTATGCAATTTAGACATTGGTTCGAGTCATTCGACATCATCACGATAAATGCAAAACCAAGCAAGAGCAGAGCAGATCAGATACTTGCAAAATGCTGAACCAGACGAATGATAAATAACAAACTGGCAAAAATCCACTGTCGTGTCTGGCCAGCCTTTTATATACTGGCATGGATATCAAAAAAAAATTGACTGATATCACAAGAAGCAGGCAAAAACTCAACTGGGTATAACAGGGGTATAGAGAGGAAAGAAAGGAAAACAGGAGTATGCACCATTAACATTAGCTAGAGCCCCTGGCCAAGGATAATGAAAGAAAGGGTGTTCGAGGCAAGAAGGAAAAGAGAAGAGATAAACCAGACAATATCAGAACCGTGCTGTTTTCCTGCAAGTCTTGCTGTCCCATACCTCCTAAACGCCAACCTGGACCAACGCCGGCTATCAACATAACTTAGTAACCCGACCATCCCATGGGACTTCCGGACTGACCCGGTTGAGGGGGTCCAGATGGTAGCGTCCCACCAGCAGCTGATGGCCAGCCGGGAATAGCACCTCCCCCACTCATGCCCATGGCGAGTCCAGGTTGCGGTGTTCCGGCCATAAAGGGTTGACCCCCGCCTTGAGTGGCGGGATACATGGCTCGAGCCATTGCGGGATACGGGGCAGCCGTAGCCCCGGGGAATCCCATGGAAGCTGCCATAGGTGTCTGCTGCGCTGCCTGGGGGTGATGAATCGGGAATGGTTGCGACATCGAGGGTACGGACGGACGAGGTTGGTTGCGAGGTGATTGCGAAGGATGCGGTTGCTGAACACTGTGCGGCAGAGGAGATGGCGAGTGTTGTGGTGCGGCATGGAGGTGCGCGTACTGGGGCATGCCGGCGACTGGCGTGCTGGACAATGGCGATGGCTGTGGTTGGGGAGGCGGTTGACCCCACATTTGTTGCGGCTGCGACGGATATCCGTAGGGAGGCGTCTGCGTCGGCAGGGCGGCTGGTCGCTGGTGCATCAGGTCTGGTCGCATGCCTGGTGGCATGGCTCGTACTGCAGGCGATGGTGCGATCGCAGCTTGTGGATGCGATGGCGGATGGAAACCGGACTGACCGCCGCCCATCATGGCACTTTGATGAGACATTACAGGTTGCGGCGCGGACGAATTCACCATTCCTCCCCTGGCAATCTGAGTGGATGGCAGAGATTGTGATGTCGACTCTTGCGCCCCGTCGAGCTGCCCGGGCTGCGACTGTGCTGCTTCCGCTGCTTCCTCACGCTGGTTGGCATAGAAACCCCCCAGGGCCCCATAGCGAAACGCACGCTGCGAGGTTAAGATCTTATTGAAATCTGCTGTATGCGACGCCTGGTTCAGAATATCCGCCGCTGAGCTGGGCTGGGTACGGTCCTGGTATGTTTGGCCGGTAACCTCCTGGCGCGCACGAGGCATACTGTTGTACTCCTGCAGTCGAGGGTCGTCGGTGGTGGTCATATTGAAGATCGGAAGCTGCGAAAGAGAGACAGATGACGGCGCGCCGGGCAGGGGCATGCCCTCAACGTTGCTGTAGATCACGTCGCCATGGGTAAGGGTTGGTAATAGATTGGCGGTCGCAGCCTCAGCCGCAGCAGCCGCATCGCGCCTGGCGGCACCCGGTCGCTTTTCCCCGGCCAAATCTTCCTCAGTAAATCCTTGTTTCCGAGCCTTGCTCTCCCAGTAGTCGTCGCGTACCCTTCGTCCGTTGACAATGACCCGGCTACCGAACTGGCGGAACATGGATCTGGCTGAAACAATGGCGATTTGGCGAGATCGATACGAGTAAGGCAGGATGTCCTGGTGGATCATGTCGTCCTTTTCCACCTGCGTCGCAATAATTTTGTGTAGCGAGCGATTTTTGTTGAACAGGAGATATGAGTCGCGATACCCCAGCACACGCGCACATTCGGTCGCAAGCATGAAGAGTTTCTTACCACGAGGAGCGACGCGGAACGTTCGGCATTTGTATTCCCGACCGCCTTGGGGATAACCCATGACATCCACTTTTTTCTCACCGGCATCGTCAAACTCCTTGGGAATGTATTCGTCCCCCTGCTCATCGAGTTGGTCCGTGGTGTGGTCGCGAACGGTCGGAAGTGCTTTGATCACAGTGGTTTTAGATGGAGTGGCCTTCTCCGAAGGCGAAGCCTGCGGTGGTGACACGGCGGCGCCCGCCGGCGGAAGCGGTTGTGTCTGCATGCGCGGCGTTTGGACGTGGACACCTGAAGCGGCTGGTGTAGAGGATGAAGCTTGATCAGCGGTAGATGGCCGTTGTTGAATCTTTGGAGGACGTCCTCGTTTCCGACGAGCGTGCTCATCGGTTCCTATGCCGGGTGTGTGTCAGTTAACATGAGCGCGTCGGGAAAAGGCAACAATAATAACAGCGCCCACGGAATAACAATGTCGCGAGACTACTCCGATATCTACTTTTCTTTTCTTCCTTACCAAGAAGACTTGGATTGAACCGATGCGATTTCGAGTCGCAAGTCCCAATTCAACTCAGGAAAAGGAAGGATAATTAAGCGACAAAGGAATAGGGTGCACATACCATCATCATGGTCTCCGTCTGCAAGTGCATTGAATTCCGGGCTCCGACTGCGCTTAATCCCACGAGGGACTATATTTGACGAATCTGCAGGCGTGTGAAGAGCGACAGAGACTAATAAAAGATTATTAGTTTAAAAAATGCCATGGGCAAACAAGCAAAAATATAATAATCGTAATATGCAGCAAAAAGCGGTCGCGACAGATGTGACAACAAATGATGACAGCGGCAGCACATGACATGCAACAACATACGAATCAAGAAAAAAAGCGATGTCATTGATTATTTAACATAAAAAAGAAAAAGAACGTACCATTATTCAAGGCAGCGGGATTGATAGTACCCGACCCATCGACAAGATCACCGGCGACTCCATTCATTGGAGCGGAGTGGGAAATGTCATACATGGCGGGCCAAGGAAACGACGGCGCGAAACAAGTCAAGGAGGGCCGTCGCAAAGCCTCGGTGGATGAAGAAAGGGGGGGGGGAGGAAGGTAAGAGGCGCGTTAGCGAAACGCGAATAGAGTCAATCAAAACGCTTATGCTTGGACCGGGGGGAGGGAATATTGGGTGGGAAAGGAATTAACACAAGTAGTATAGGCTGCAGGCGGAAGGGGGAGGGGTAAAGGAGGGGAAGGATGGAGTAAGCAACACAAGGAAATCAAGGAAGTGAGGTAAGGTCCTCGTCGGTCGTCAGATAGCGAGAGAATGAGAAACGAGAGAGAGAGAGCGATAGAGAGAGGACACGACACCCGCCGAACGTCACATATGCAGTCAGCTATGCAAGAAGCACGGACAGTAGTGTTATAGGTGTACTCTGTATAGACAGACACTATGACGGGGGGGAGGGGGATGACAGCAGATGAATGGACAGGATGGAAGGATGCGATGCGACGGATGAGAGATGAGTGGCTGAACACACCCGGACAGGATGGAAGCCAGATAAATGGATGAAATATATGGAGTGGATGGAGATGGGGATGTGGATGTGAAGATATGAAAGGTGGACAACCGATCAGCTCGGATACTGCCGATCAGGCAAGCGGTGAGTGATAGACGCGTGGCTGGTGCATTTGCGAGATCGCACCGCCACGCTTGAGGCTGACGCTAAGTTTGAACCAACGGAAGACGACGGGTGCAGGTCCAGGGTTCAGGAGATAAGGATCAATAGTCTCGCTAAACATAGTATCCTGGCATATAGTATGCCATATGTAGTAGTTAGGACGAGGGAGAGAAAGAAGGATAATGCATCGTGGGGGAGATGGTGGATGACTACCCGGGGTTACTCCGATATCCAGAAGAATGCTTTGAGAGTAATAATACTCGTGGCGCATGCGAAGATCCCGGAATGAATTCGTTTGAAGAGATGATATGGTTCTCTTATTGCGAAAATGAGCGAGATGAACCATGGATTCCTGAAACCCTGTGACCGGCACTCGTTGATATATCATTTATTTTATTTATTTTTTATTCTTTTTTTTTTTTTTTATTTTTATTTATTTTTTTTATTTTTAAATTCTTATCATTTACAGAGCCCTCCGTACAAACCCCGAAATACAGATAGTCTGAATATACCCGGATAACTATCGCCGTCGGATTAGAAAAGTACTTCTACTGCCTGCCCCGGCGGCAATCATAGTGCCACTATACTCAGTAGAAACAATTAACAAAGTCTATGCAAATTCCTCCGGCCAATCGATCGATCGATCGCGGTAGATGCAATAATAGTGTCTCACTAGTCCTGTGTAAGAATAGACCAAGTTCCTTTTTCTCGTCTCTCTTTTCTTTTTGCAGTGCTACCTCGATAGCAATAGCTCAAACGAGAACTAGGAAATCAAACAAACAAGACTAAGTCTATGTGCTGTACAGCGTAAACACAACACAATATACCAAAAACGGCAAAACCAGCATATCCATTATCGATCATCCGGTCCTGTTGCATCAAAACTGAGTTCAGGCCCCCGGCCGCATACTTCTGACTATCTCCAAACATTCTTGTACAAAGTCAATCGACAATTCCCCATCGTCCTCATTGGTGGGAGGGGAATCTGATGCATGACTCGAAGTATTTTCTTGATAATCTTTTCGGGGTATGTTTTGACTCAGTAGTTATATGGAGAGTGCGCGGGTAGCGTTGCATTGATGTGGAAGTCTATGTTTATTAGGGACAGTCGTCGAGTGATAGGCCTGCCCTATGGCATTCTCGAGTATGTACGAGTACCCGTAGAGGAAGGAGATACTGAATCTTGCCACTGAGTACTTGAAATAGTCTGGATGCTCCGTGGTAGGGATATATATTGAACTGTGGCAACTGCAGGTGACCACATACGTCAAGTCACTTGAACATGGACACATTCAACTTGCGGTACTGCGGACACAAGGCAATGAATGCAGGTGAACCGTTCAGACCAGTGGCGAGAATGCAGGCAGCCGGACGCTAATGTTAGCGAATCAATATTATTTCATTGGATAATGGAGTAGTGGATAGCGATCTGGTGATATTGATTGTGACGGCTAGGCCTGGGTGATTCCCAATCCACGATGTAACTTAGCCAATAAACAAGAGGATACCACAGAGTCCTCCTCGGATGATCACGTTGTACGTACTTCGAGTATCCAATATCTGCACAGCACTGGCCCATTGTCGCTTGGATTGCATTTCATGTGCAGCGTTCTGATTTTGCTGCCGGATTACCCGCCGTCGCAACGGATCATGCCGCGAACAAGAGAAGCCAAGAAACGTCTACCACTATCGCTCTCGATTCACATTATCATATGTCTCCTGTTTGTACCCATTCCACTCCTCACGCATACTCTGAACACTCCGCGGCGGCTGCGTTTCCTCGCCACTGATCCTCTGGCCCGAGAACCTGGCATTGCCGTAGCAGTTCAGTTCAGTTGGCCGCAGATTCTGCCCTCGCCGTAAAACTGAATCCAGCCGGTGCAGTTTGGTCCAAAGGACATTTCTCCCTCGCTACTTTCACGCCCGCGCCACTTGAACCAGATCTTCTTGAATGAGGATGACCAGGGCCGTTCTTCGAGATGCATGATACCGTGGAACATTCCGAAGTCATATGATCCCCACATGGTATTGCCTGCTAGTCCCAGGATGAGATTGAATTCGTCTTCGGGGTACTCGGACCATTCGTTCAAGTCCGATGACCATATTTGATATTCACCGTTAACCAGGCCTAGTGGCGGTAGAGGAGTGCTTGGACCATCGTCGGGGTCCTTGTCGGGACCATTGTTGTCCGAGTAGTCGCTAGGGGGATCAATGTCCATTGGATTGGGGCCATAATCCTGTCGTGGATGTTAAGAGGTACGCACAGCTAAAATGCTATACAGAAGAAACCTACATATTCAGGAGATGAGTGGTTAACAGGCGTCAAGTATTCCTGCTTGTAGAGCGGATCCATGGGACGCCTGTCACCGAAGGAAGGTTTAGAGCGACGTGCTGTCTATGTGGTTCGAGGTGCCTGCGCTGGCTTTGGGCTCTCAGTTGAAGCCGCAGGAGTCAGAAATGCCTCCTTTAGAGCTAGCTGTCGCACCTCCCCTGCCCCTGGAGCATTTCGCCGTTTCTTTTGTTCGAGGTGCTCGTGTTGGCTCTGGGTGCTCAGTCGAAGCTGCCGGAGTCTGACTGCTCCTAGGCCCGACTGTCGAGCCTCCCCTGCCTCTGGAGCATTTCGCCGTCAGCTTTGTTCGGGGTCGCGCTGGATCTACCGTCGGCAAAGGTTCAAACTCGCTCTTTTTTCGCAGTGGAATTAGCAGCAGTCTTTTTCGCACCGGTTCCAGCACCAGTCTCCGCCTTCTCCGCAGGTGTCGAATCCGCAGCCTTGGTTTTTTTTCGCCGTCGTCGCCTTGGGAGTCGGTACACTCTCCTCCTCACCATCCCTCTTCCTCTTATTACCACCAGCCGTCTTCGTACCAGCCCCAGCTCCAGCAGCAGCAGCAGCAGCAGCAGCATCACCAACACCAGCAGAACCACCACTCATAGTCTCCTTATCCTTCCTCTTCCACTCCCTCTTCAAATCCCCCTCAACCTTGACAATATCCCTCGGCCCCTCCAACCCCCCACCCCTCACCGCATCCAACAACCGCATCTTCGCAACAGCCTTATTATTCGACGGTGCGAGTCCATAATGCAACAACTGCGCTTTGTACCAGTGCCCCACGGGGTCTGGTGTCTTGTTTGCGGTGCTGGTGTCAAAGAGGGACTGGAGCTCGGGGACGGTCGCGCGGCGGTGCAGATTGTGGTTGGAGGTTTCGACGTAGAAGCTGTCGACGGCGAGGGAAAATTTGCCGTTTGAGACGGGGGCTGCGAAGGTCATTGTGACGGTGTGACGGTGCGGTAAGTTTGGAGTGTCGCGACCATTTGGTTGGTTGGTTGGGCGGTCATGATTGGGTGTGGTTGGTGATGCGGGGCACGTGATTTTGGGATCATTTTAGGGGTTGTAGCGTTGATAACGCGCGATTCGATTATTGAGAGGAGGTTAGAGAGAATAAAGAATAAAAACCGAAGGGAATGGGTTATATCAATTAGCCACTGTAGCTCCTACGTGGTGTCCAGACATACATGCCCGTGCAACGCAGTCATGCAACAACCCATTAATTCTGGCCTTACTTCCTCGAAAGCAACAACTTGCCCAAATAATGACACAAAAGTGGCAATCCCATTGTCCCAATCCCGCCCTGAAAATGCACCTGTCATACAAACAGTCTAGACCCCGTTCCGTGGGATCCAACGTGCATCCCGCATATTAAAGTGCGGAACCGGACATAAGAAAGGAATGGGCGAACTCCGGATTACGGAGCAATAGGCACTGCAGAACAAGAACAAAAAAGATGAGGCGAACCAATTGTATTGTATTGTTCCGAAGTATCCCCAGAGTCCGGAGAATCCGGAACAATGCACCGGGAAAGTTAATATCAGTTGACGACGTGGCCGGGAGGGATACCCGAGGTACTGCGTACGAAGACAAGAGGCAGAGTGTGTGAATCATCATTAGTGAGCAAGCGTCTACGGAGAGAAGACTCGTAAGTCTCCTAATAATATGACGAATTAATGAATGGATCCCCCAAGAAACCACACATACCCAGCACGGCATAGATTGGTTTCTCGAATGTCAATCCTGGGGATAGTCCAAGCGTCCGTCGGTACTAGTCTGCAGTAGCAGTCGTAGTGCTAAGGTGATAGTAAAGACAACTATTGGAAGCAGTCAGGTGACAACCCCAGATTGCCATTCAGGGTGTTCCTGTGACCATGCAGCGTGGGGCGACCATGACTAACGTGTTCTAAGTTAAGGGGCCAATCAAAGCCAGCGTCCCAGACTTAACCTTAAAAAGTAAGGTGAGGGTCTGCGGGGAGACTGGGACCAATCAGGTGGGATGGGGGTTTCGGTATGCCTATTGGGGAAGGGCGATTCGCTGTTTTTGATATACAATGTTGTCAATTGTTATGGTTCGATTTATGAGGGTAAAATTGAAACATTACTACTACTACTACTACTACTACTACTACTACTACTACTCTGCATGGATATATAGCAGGTATACTACGTAGATGCTAGGGCAAGGTAGGATCTCTACAAGTAGATCCAACCAACGCATCGAATATTCCATAAACCAGTAGTGCCGACCAACCGGGATCCACCTAGGGTCACCTGCCCGTCCGGTTTTGTCGGTGGGGCACGGCAGAAAACTGAGTCACAGAGTCACAGAAGAGTTTTCAGCTTGACAGAGTACAGAGTAGGGGAAATTGAAGAAATGTATACTCTGTACTCTGTAGAAAGAAATCTATGAAAATAAATTATATAGGATGTCTGGGAATACAAGTGTACAAGTAGTGTGGAAGATATTACGCTGCGTGCGTACGGTAATACCAGGATCCACGGTCTAGACTCGCCGCTTGCAGATTCTGTTCGATCAGAAGGTCACCTGGACGCTTCCAGGCACCGCTGGCGTAACACACCCCCCTAGGCCACTTTTTCTTTTTAACCCGCCTATTCTCTGCCTCCCACTTTCTTGCTCTTTTCCCTTCTCTCCCAGTTTCTGTCTTTTAAATCCTTGATTTAAATATCTAGATATATCATCCCTCGTTCGACTCTACTCAACAACACTTGTTTACTTTATTTCTCCCCGCCGCAATAATCCGGTTTTCTATCGCCACCGGTTCATGACATCAACCACATAAGCCTTTTCATCATCTTGCACCTAATTCAGTTTACAAAAAGTGGCCTGCTGTGCATGTCCGATCACAATAACCCACATTCTCAAATAATATTCTCCCGGAAAAAATACACACCACAACCATGGCCATCACCTCGTTGGACATGAACCCAAAATTCTCCGCCAGCAACCCTTCGATGAATAAACGATGGCCTCCGCTGGCTGACAAGACTTCTCTCCCTTACAAACTCACCTCTCTCTCCCGTCAAAAACTCGCTCGTGAGGCTACCGCCCCGAATCCTGATATCCGTCGTTGTCTCGGCCACTTTCGCCTCCACTGCTCGTCCATGGAATGGGCGCAGAAGGATATGACTACTCGCATCAACTCGTTTGAGATGGAGGACGACGACGAGGACGAGGAGGAAGAGGTGCAGCAGCAACAGGAAGAGAAGGAAATCAAGGAACTTCCGTTGCTAGGAGCCGACCATGAGGACAAGAACAAGGTCAAGGGTCGCAAGGACGATGAAGATGAGGAGGACTCGGACAGGAAGCCATTGCATGTTCGGTTTCAGATCTCCGTGAAGCCTTCGACTACTACTACTACTACTACTACTACTACTGCCACACCTTCACAATCCTCTTCTCCGTCGCAATCATCGACCTCGTCTTCTCCCTCATCGCCGTCCGAGGCCGAGAACGCAAAGGACGGCCTCTTGGAGAAGGGCATCAGCTGCATCCAGAAGACACGGCAGCACTTCTGGTCAAATCCAGGACAGTGCATTCCAATCCGGATTGCCAATTGATCGACTGTTGATTCTCACCTCCCCTCTCACGTCCATCACGACACTGGCTACTTCCAACCAGTTATCTTTCGAGCATCAAATCGCATATTGGGAAACGGGACAAAAGGCGCAAATCGGTACGAAAACGAAAACGATTATATCAGTATATCTCCTAATTCGCCTTCGACTTTCGATATTACTACTACTACTTATTACGAAGTTTACGACCATTACGAATCTCCTTAATTAATCTTTTTCTCACCAAAAATACGCATTCTCAGCTTTGGTGTTGGTGTTTCTTTATTTCTTGGATTGGATTGAATTGGATCATCGGAATGGAATGGAGGACGACGGATACTGTCGCCTCGTGTACCTATAGTCTGTTTGATAGCATTTGCTTTGATCAAAATTTAGCAAGCAAAATCCTAATAAAATTCTAATAACCACTCCACCAGTGCATTCTTCTGCCTCTCTTACAGTTTCGTATTTGCACACGCAGTACCAAGTACGGAGTACATTATCACTAGCTCGCATGATCTTGCCAACACATACATACAGATCTTCATACAGCATCTTTCAATCATATGACCAGGATCATTGCTCGTACTCGTACAGTAACGTACCGTATGATTACCCAAGATACTCTCTACCCACAAGCATTCTCCCTTCTCTTAGTCTCCGACACTTATTTGGTTTCATTCTTAGATATGGAATCTGAGGAGCTTGACCAACTGCGTCAAATCACTGCCGGAGATGGACAGATGTCCGAATAAGAGCGGCGAATGGCAGAACAAGAGACACAAAAAGCCGACCTAGAGAAAAGAATCGATCAAACAAGATAACGATTCGACCGGGCACAAGCAAACCAGTCCCATACAACATTATCAGAATACCTCCATCATGTCCAAGAAAAAAACTCGTCCCTATTCTCTCAGTCGAGCCTGACCCGATCGACTCTGCTTCTGAATTGGCCAACATGTAAGGAAAATACTACCCGCTATAGATCCGTCGTTTGAAGCACTTTCATAAAATGCATACTCGAAGATTTGACCAATTCGCCCAGACTATCTCAGATGAGCGACTTTTGCCCCTCTGAGCTAGAAGTCTGGCGCGTGGAGCGGGTTGTGAGGGCTTATATGGACTTGACTGGTAATTCCGATCGGTTTTACTTCAAAAACCACGCCTACAGCCCTCATAAAAAGGACATTGAGAACTCGAATGAAGATCCAACATGGCCCTGATCGCTGGGGAATCCGTGAAATCCCGAACAAAGAGCCTTTCCCAACATTCGTCGGAACCTACAATGCCGCAGATAGACCGCGGACAGAAGAAATCCGACATGCATTCGATTCTTCAAGTGCAAATTCGTTCCAAGAAACATTAAGTATTGACATGGTCGACGGAGGATGGAATAAATGACATATATTTAGCTATCGATATAAAACATACCAAAGATTGATATAATAAGCCGGCCTATACGGAAGTCCGACAAATTAGGCACACACATATCAACATGTAAGCACCTATGGTGCCTGTTGAATGCGCCTCAAATATCTGTCATACTCGTCCTAACTCTTCTTCCCTTGGAAGAACGTGTGGAACGATTTGTTGCTTTCGAGACCCTTACTCTCATTCTCAGAGCACCTTGTTATCTGAGCTAGGGCTTTCTCTTTTTGATCTCTTATTCTCTTTATCTTCATTCAGACAGGCGACACAAGCAAGCCATGTACATGATCACATCAATCACTGACCGCCGGGACAAGAAGCCTGGCAGCCTCGTTGCTGACCCTCTGAACCTCAACAATGTCCTTTTTACTGTTGATTCCAATACGTTGAAGAAAGACTACCCTCGCATTAATAGCTCGAGTCACAGCAGCAAGGAGATTACCCAAAAAACCAAGCAAACGTTGAAAATGAAAGCCACTGGATTCCCCAGCTGCCGCCACCCGGAACCGGTGTATATGGTTACCGGTTTGATACTTGCTAAGGGTCTGACACTGGACGTCGAAAACGAAAGCATCAGTTTTCAGATCAAGTGTGAAAAAGGTGCTTTCTTTGCCTACCAGCTGCCGAAGTTGGAGACCAAAGGGTTGAAAGCGAGAAGAGAAACATTTACTGACCCCGAAGCCTTCTCGTTGCCTGGGGATGATGGCATACACAATAACGAGAAGGAACTTACCATACAATCTACAGAGGTGGAAAGTGCTGATAGATGGGCAAGGGAGATGGAACAGGTTATCCAGACCCTCTAGAATTATGGTACTGCTAAATTTGCATTTGCTTGTTGGTTTTTCTTCCATTATGTGTGATTACATTTGATTGTTGGAGCAAAGAAGAGCACAATTTATTTCTTTATTCATTTTGTTCGTCGCATGAGATCAGTACGTAGGCAGATTAAGAATGAGGACTTGGCCCGAATAAGATTCGAGCACAACCCGTTTCTCGTTTCTATGCTCATAAATTTTCTCGTCTGTTTACTACAACTCTTCTCAAAGAAGCAGTTCAGCATACGTCTGATCATCCATACCTTCAGCCACCTTCCAGAGGATAAACAAGTTTGATTATGAGGGCAAGTTCATTTTTTGAGTCACATTTCTGGAAGGATGGACTGACATGGATGACATACCTGTTTCTTACAGCGTAGGAGATGATGTTGACATTTTGGCTGTCGATGTTACCTAATCCCACAGCATTGTTTCTAGCATATATGCTGAGTATGTATATGTAATTGCCTGTAGGCAGCTACAAGGCTGAATCTTCAGTCAGTTTCCTTCCTCTTCATTACTATATCTGTCCTTCATCGCTTTAATATTCCAAGCTTTTCTTCGTCAAGCGCTCTCTGCTTTCTCAAGTGCGCCTTCATTGAGCTCTCCGTTCTTGGAGTGCCTTCATTGAGCCCTCTGTTTTCTCGAGATTACCAAGAAGCTTGCTCAGCTCCCTAAGAAGAACACTAGCCGCCTCCCGTTTTTTATAAGCCGTGGGTGACCAGCGATCGTTGTGCTGCTAATAGGTGACTGACTGACCTTTTTAAAGGAGATGCCATCAAGCTGGATTGTGGCCCCGAGCCTGACTTACGAACAGGGTGGACCAATCGTGATTGGAAACATTATCAAAGATCCTCTGGCTGCACATAAAGCCCTCATTCGCCACGACCAGGAATCACTTGAGCGTGATTTTCCGCCGATCTCTACCGTGAAACACAGCGAGCGCGAGATGTCGACGGACAATGGTGTGTCTTTTAACACTTGGTCGAAGCCCGCGGAGAGACTGGCTCGAAACTCCAAAGTTCAAGCTAAAGAAGGAGGTTTACACGATCAAGGATATTGAAGTGTCTACTTTCTCCGAAGATCCCCCAGCAGACACAATTTGATGGTTACTAGAGATCCGTCACGTCCGCCGCGCGATGAAGACGAAGAAACTCCCGCTGGTTTACTTGGTTGTCGGAATTATGATTGGAAAAGACATTGCCACCAAGAAAGAATCTAATGCTGAGGTTTCCTTGAGTGGCCATGTCAAACTAATTGCTGATACTGGAGTCGATGCAGGAGCAACTCGGGCTACTCTTGATTCTGTCAAGATTGAAGATGAAATCATATTTGCCTACCAGTTAGTCAAACTTGAAGTGGAGGGGTTTGATAAGGTTATCAAAACCACCGATTTCCACCACCCATCCGCAAGAGTGATTGAGGTTTGAAAGCCCCTGGGCACCAACCTCATTGCCGCTGACCACCTTGTCTTCTGCCTTCTTCTTAAAAGATTATCTTGTTGGGGTTGATTGAAGGCAACGCCTTTTCTTTGTATTTCTATTTGATTTTTGTTGTTCATTACTATTTCTGTGGGCTTAAATCGATGGGAGAGGGACAAAGCTGATACGGGGTCTTAATACTGTTAATCATACGGTAGAGACCATAACCGAATTAATGGCTGTTACACCTTGCTCGAGACGAAATTGGGGATATATCGACTGGTTCTTGGTAGAGGATGGGGGTTATCGATTTGTTAGGCGTTAGAGCTTCGCCAGATGGGGAAGAGAGACAGGCTTCTGGATCAAATACATTTCTCTTTCCAGCAAATTATGCTCCTCCCCAGCAAGTGACGGTCCGTTTCCCAGTTCACGAAGTTTGTAATCCTCTTTGACCATTCCTGCTTGGACCGCGTCGCGTTCAAGACCAGACTTTGCGAATTCTAGCGACGAGCCTGGTATCGTAGCGACTTCGAACTAACTCGCGGTTGGAAGTACTCAGAGCCTCAGACGAAAGACGGAAAGGAGGTATAGCAGCGCTCGGAGGAACAGGAGTATCGAGACAGGTGTCGGAACAAAGATCGCAAGAGGGATCGAGATAGACGTATCGAAGTAGACGTATCGACGGAGGTATCGAGGAATGAACGTTATCGCTGGTTGGAAATGTTCTGTTGTTGTACCAAGTCTGCAGGGGAAAATATTTTTTTTTTTGGGCCGGAGTTGTACAATAGATTGAGGTTGTTATGGGGATGCGTTTAGAAGGGAAGCGACTCTAGAGCACATCTACCAACTGCGCAAAACCAAACCTCTTTATGCTCCTCATAAATCAATGCCAGCTCACCAACATACCATTGTTCAACTTTCTTCCTTTCTTTCGTTCTTCCTTCTTTTTTCAAGTCCTTTTTTTGCCTCGATTAGCCATAGTTTTATTGTTCCTACCTTGACGCCAACGCAATTCGGAACCAATTGCAAGACCAACGCTACTATATCAAATTGAGACGGGTATAAATAACAGTCACCTATTATGAATCACGTCCTTCGTTTGGCTTAACACTGACACGTCTATATTCAAGTCCACCAGCGTCCTTACGCGCCTGTCCGCCCAGTTTCTTGGTCTATCCGTTCTATGACCCTTCTATATTTCCTCCGTCGTCTTCCTATCCGATCACAAGCCAATATGTCTCATTCATCAATAGGTGGGCGCCATGACCGTCCCAAGTACTGCAAGAAGAGGGTAGGAATCACACTAACTCCAACCATCAAAGCAACACCAACACCAGAGCTCGCAGCCACACCGACAGTCTCGAACATTGGCGGGAACCTAGACCAGAGTTTGTTAGCAAGCCACGAATGAAAGCCCTTCTTCCTCCTGTTCCTCGTCGAAGATATCGCAAACGACTTACCAAAACGGTCCAAGGAAGCCCCAGATCTGACGAACGAACGTGATAACAACACCTATGCTAGCGGCTTCCTTGGAATAACAATCCACAGCATATGTGATTAGGATGGTGGTAATAATCTGGTTGCCAGTAGCGCCAAGGGCAATGCCGATAATAGGCGCGATATTCCAATGGCCTTGTTTGGCCTTCTCCGTGCATACGAGGAAAACAATGATACCAACAATGGACAGGGTATACCCCAGGTAGCTGAGCCAAAGCCGGAACTCGGGCTCAGGCTTACTCTGGATCTTCTTCTGGCGCATGTTCATCCACAAATCGGACATGGTGCCGCCTATTTGCTCACCAATGAAGGAACCAATAATCGGGCCTAGGAATTGAAGACCCAATTGTTCCGAATCGAGCTCGAATTTCTCCTGCAGGAGCTGGGGCACCTCGACGGTTGCTAGCACGTTGCTGAGACAGAAGATCATGGCGTATGCAGCGGCCGGAATAATCACGCAGGGGTACGTGACCATCGTGAGGGGTTTCACGAACTCGAACCATGTGAACGGGGTCGGGTCGATCCGTCGGATGTACAGATATTCTCGCTTCCAGCTCGGTTCGTTGAGGTCATCGGAGCTGCCGATGTATCGAGTTTCGGGTCCGAAGAAGAGGTACAGGATGAATTGGCCGCCGTTGATCTAATCAGAATCTTATTAGTTAATGGTCACCGATCGATGAGGAAGTACTGACCATTGCTAAAACCCAGTAGATCCACACATAGCCTGCCCGTTGTGTGACAAACCCGAAGATGAACGGACCGCTCGGGATACCCAATGTAACCAGCAACGTCCAGACACCCATATATTTCGCACGTTCGTTTTTGAAATACGTTTCCATTACAACTGCACTTCCGATGGCTAGAGCATGTCAGCTATTTTTACCCACAACAAACCTCGCGCAATTCTTGTCTTACCGGATGCAGGAGAGATGAAAAAAGCCTGGAGAGCTCTACAGGCAGCCGTGGAGGCATAATCGGTACTTTTCGCACAACCCACATTACAAACAAGACTGCATATCAAGGAGATGAGGAAAATCGGGCGACGGCCATATCGGTTCGACAACGGCTTCCAGAACAATGGCGCACCTCCGAGAATGGCAATCTGGAGGGAGGTCAGGTAACTGGCTTTTTGCACGGTAACCCCATATTCTTCCGAGATACTGTGTCCAGTCAGTATGAACGCACATGCACATACCGTATGGCTCTGTGTGGGGAAGTTCATACATTTTATATGCAGGGATGATACCCGCCGCGGTGAATGTCCCCATCAAAGCATGGAATGCCACCAATATCAGGTTTGCGAATTTCTAGAATTGAATTAGACACCGGTCAGCTAACTGTCTGCACAGAAACATCTCTTTCATGGAGCTCACACCTTCCACCCAGGCCAATTGTACGGATCGGCAGCGTCCATGCTAGGAATCGGTTCGAGTTCTAATGTCCCATGGCGTTCCATGAGATAGTCCCGATGTGCTTTGGAGATGCGCGAGGACACTACATCTGCATATGTGGCGGGACTTCCGGTCTCTGTGCTCTCTACAAAAACTTCATCGCTCTTAACAGGATCCGAAGGCTGCTGCAAATCGTCTTGTCGACGGCCCTGCATCTCCATCGATGCAGTCATCTCCGAAGACTATTCACGCCGTCAAGGTGAGAAAAGAAATATGTACAATAACAACACAATATTCAGACAAAGTTAAAAAAAGTCAACTTTTGGGAGACGTGCAATTAATTCTGAAAAAAAAACAAGTCATCTGGGCCCCTGTCAATCGGGGAGGTTCTGCTTTTAGCTAATCGGGGGATTCCCCGACCCCAGAATCGGAGTGGAGAATGCGGATGCCCCAGACGTCGGATATTATTGCACCGAGTCTAATTTGTCAGTTCCGACCATGCCGTAATCCTGAGTCCACCAATGATACTGCTAGTATCTTGGCGCTGGAGACGCCGGCAATAAAGGCCATGATTATTGCTGGATATTTACCGTGATTGATACCGATGGCTTGTAGCCCTAATCCTGTTGCGGGTAGTCTACGCCAGCGGGTTGGTAGTGGTGGTTGTGTTGAAGTGCCGAGTACTACTGGGATAGGAAGTAGCAACTCCATAATATCTACTCAATAAATTAAATGCTATGAAGACTGCAATATAAACCGCTCTCCCGGCGAAGTATAAATATCGTTAAATCTCGTCGACTTATGAGAATATCACTCCTTATTAGCGTCAGTATTCTCCAGAGAATCAGTTGGATTTTTCTGGTGCACCATGTCCGTCGTTTCTACCGCTTTTGAACGGCCGGCGAATCATGTTCCCTCAGACCATCTCTCGGCCCCGAAAATGGGGTATCCTCTTCGAAAGTTTCAGATACTGGCCCCTAAAATAGATTCTTGGGTGGACAAAGAACCCGGATTCTTGAAGCGCATCACTTACGTCAATCGCATAGATGTAAACGATTGCATAATATTTTGTAGGCACATCGCACATCGCACCATCCGTTTTAGCCTTTGGGAAAACCGAAACCTAGTTCTTGAAGAACTAGCCTTAGCCACAAGGTCTGCATTGCATGTGGTTCTCTGGGAAATTTGATTGGCTTGTTTCCTGAACGTCTTCACGGTTTCGACGAGCCACGTCGGATTCTGCGATGGTTCCCATAACCGATTAACTTGATAAACTCTGGACGCGCGGTAGATAGACCAGGTGTCTTTTCCGAGGCGTTCTAACAACTAAACGCCGAAACCTCGGCACTTGACTGGCGGTCACCCTATCCGTGTCGATGGCTGAAAGGGGGAGATCTGCATAAATGTGTGCGTATAAGGTTTGTACACGATCCGTCGGTCAATGCCCTTAAACTCAGCCTTTGCCAACTGGTACACAAAGACAATCTTTGCGCTGATATGCTCCATCCACTGGACCAATGCCTTGAAATTAGCGTTGGAGGGGTGTGCCGTTATCAGTTGTAGCCATGTGTTTTGGGACGTACATGCCATCTGTAGCTTTCTTTGTCCTTAGGCCTAGGCTCCACGTACAGCGAGCTGGCCCGTCAGCGTGTGTTCCTGTTTTTGAATTCAGCCAGTTTGTTAGTTTACCTTCGATTCATATCTATGGTGAGATATTGACGAGGGAGGGGTATGATGAAAGCAATAGATGAAGGGCGTAGATAGTACGATGATGTACGAAAAAGCTGTACGCAACTTGTATCGTGAAGAGAGAAGAGACTACCCCGTATCCTCTATAAAATTCCGTTTTCCAAGCGTTGGATCAGTGATGTTGTTGTTCAGAAAACATCACGCAACAGAAACCTGACCTCCATGTACCAATATATTGCGTTCTTTCGTGTCAATTGACATATGATCTTTCAACACGACGCACTCATTGGAGGTTATTAAAATAAGGCGTGTATTGTGAATGTCGTTTTCAACTGCTTCCACGGCCCATTGAGACTAAGGCGGTGCGATATCCCCCCCCCCCCCCCCCCAACATTAGTGTACTGGACAACTTCATCAAGCAGATTCAGCATAGCTGAAACATGGTGTTGCCCATTCCTGAGCTCAGGAGTAGTTCTGGCAGCAGGAGATCATTATGATGCAGCTAGTGATTAGCAAGATAAAACACCACAGTTAGGATCTGAGCATGGCAGATCACTGGTTTTCTTCGTAAAAGACTGCCTTAGTTCTGAGGGGACATCCATCTCTGTGACATGATCTGTACGAATTTTATCCAACATTATGCCTGTAGTTGCCACTTCATTCGCTCAATACATCGATGAAATCCACCCATGCATTTAGCCGCGGTTCTATCACTGGCAATGTAATAATGGTACTTCTAGTGCAACGAGAAATAGCTTTCCCACGACGTCGAGGTTTTGGATTGCCGGGAAATGACCCTCATGACTGCCCAACTCCTCTCCCTCAGAGCGAACAGGTAAATGGGGAACCAATGGCGTAATACATGGCCCATCTGGTCCAAGTTCAAGGATATACAGCACTGTCTTGCTGTCCCATGTTGTGTTTATGTGCTTGATGCCATGACAGCACCAGACTGACTTGTTCAATGTGTAGGCAAGAGACACCCTGGTGCTTGCAGTATTGCCATAGAACTCTAGGAGGTCAGATAGTGTAACTACTGGGCCATTCTTGACTTTATAGAAGGTGGCGACATGCTGTGCTTCTGGGCAAAATTCCTGGAACACCAGAATGCAGTCGACTGCATTCCGATATGTTCATGGACGTTTCTGCATCGGCACAAGCTATTGTGGCAATTGGGGGTTTTTGCAGACAGCGTCTCGGGGGTTTGCCTTGACAAGAGCACTGCGGGGCTCTAGCGGTTCTGTTATTATGTTCTCTATTGCTATGGGGCTACGACGCAGTAGAACGTGCCATTAGCCTTCATAAACCCCGACATTCTGTCCGATTGAGTCAGTATTTATCAAGGAAATGGGGCTGTTAAGCCTGGACTCACACGTCGCTGTTGTTTGTGCTGGAAAATAATTCGCTTAGTTCCATAGTCTATAAGCGAAGACAACCTCTCCAGGGACTTTGAAGGTATTTCTGCAAGCAGCTGCTTGTTTATAGGAAATCTAAGCACTGATGCCTATAGCTTGCTTGGTCTTTTGAGAAGACTTCAGCTGGAAGTCTTGTATCTGTAGAAAGTCTTCATTGGCATCCAACTCACGCGCGGTTCTCACTGCAAAAATTACAAAGCAGACAATGCAATCCAGAAACCATCCTCTCGCACATTGCTCCCTTGATGTCAGAGGAGTTGATTGGTTTTTTGAATGTACGCTTGTTTGGGGTCCCGCAGAATCTCTAACTATGCTAGCAACCTGAGAGAACTTGTCTCTTTCCATGAAACGGGACCAAGTAAGTCGTTGGTGCTTGGAGAACATGAATGGCCACAGAGTGTCCGTACCCTTTTGTCCGCCCCCAATGGTGGATCATTCCATGTCGAATCGGCTCTGACGCCATAAAAGTTCTCGCTATTGTAGAGCATAGCGCAAAATTTAGTAGCTATTATTCAACTCTGAAAGTGGTCACGCAGTTGCCTTCTGTGCATGCCGAATCCACTTAATGTCCGGTTGGGAATAAGCTGCATCATCTCTAACATCCCAGTTGTTCAGAGTTGTATGACTCGCGCCGAAGGATGACAAATTTTGCTTGTCTTTGGGTCCTTCATCAAGTTAAAGAAACTCATAGCCAAAAATTATCTCTTCTTCGGCCGTGATTATATTACCTGAATTCCATTCTCTTCCCATCTCATTCTTAGCACCAGGCTCGTTTATCTTGAATTCAGTCTTAGGGACATCTCAATCTGCATTTCCTTTTTTTGCGATGAGGCTCTTGCAGGTCATTATACCCACAATAAGGTAAACTGGCTTGCTTTTGCGAAATCGCTGACCCCTGTTGGCCTTCATTGCGCGGCAGGCCTCGAGAACATATCTTCAGTGTTGTTTTTGCAGACTGTATTTGCAACAGTTTCTGCCACATTGTTGACACTACCCTTCATCTCTGTCTTCATAGAATAGCTGGCTTTGGGTGTTTTGCAGATCGTTAGGCCCTTGGATATCATCACTTCAGTAATTATGTAGATTGGGTTTCAAAGAATCGGAATCGGATGCGGATTCATAAGGGCGTTTTTTTAAAAGTAAGATAATTTGATAGTCTCGGCGGAGTATTCTGAAAGTGCCAATTTCGTCGATATCAAATCGAAGTTGAGAAATTGTCATAATTTCCGATAGTAATCCTCCGTCCCTTGTGTTTATGCGTATGGATGGAAGAGACTGGGGGGGGGATTGGCAAGGGTATCGGCTTCTGGGACATGAATTGCAAGAATGGGTGCCACCGGGTCGGCGGCGAGTACCAGAGCAAAGAATCCAGATATCGGTTTCAGGTTGTAAGTCTCCTCACTCTTATCTCAACTTTTCCGGACAACTTGAAACTCACCAAATTTGCAAATTTTCCCCACAGGTTGAATGTCGGGGTGCTGTCTTTGGTGCTCCCCATCTTGCGAGCTTCGTGTAGAGTGATTAACACTGGGGGAACCCGTTTTCTAGAGAATATGGGTGGATGATGGCAACTTCTGTGTCTGAGGGGTTGATTATGATGTTGCCGATTGTGATTGGGCATCCAGGCCCATAGTGGCGACTGGGACACACAATCCACGCTGCTCCACGAGGCATGACTTCTTGGACTCTTTTGTGCACCTTGGGAAGTACTAGTGATGACGGATATAACGATTACTGTATGCTGCTGCAATCTGATTACCGGTTGTCCTGTACTGGACGAGGTTAGTCGAATGGCAGGGTTCTGACTGAGAAGAGGGGACCAACTCTGCAAAACTAACTGTGGTAGCAAGAGACCCCATCCACTTGATTCGCTAAGTGGAATGTCGAAAAACGCCATCGCTTGATCCGAGAAGACGGGTCAAGCACATGGTGCGACCTTCAAGGTGATTCACGAACTGTCACATTTATTCTGTGTCGTGGGACATTCTAACTTGTCTGTATTAATCAGATAGTGTCAAGGACATGTCTGACTGCGGCCGTCTTCACTGGTGCATTGTAATGTTGTCAGGTCATCCATGACCCGTGTAACCATCTGGGCGACCTCTTGGATTTCGATCTGTGGAGAATGCTCATTTGACAGTCCTTCTTGCACATAACTCAAGCATCGGAAGTCCCAAAACTTTCAGTAAGCGACGGCGATAGGACCAGCGGTATTGGCAAGAAAGTTTGACTTAAAATTGCTCTGTTCAAATGCCCTGATAGAGCGCGCAAAAGAATCGTAAACGGAGTCGTCCCTGGAATTGGCCGCATGTCGTTGACGATACATTGATAGGCGTTGAGTCTATAGCCACTAGGTCATACCATATGGACAGAATGTATAGTAGAGCAGCTTTAACACCATGGACTTGAAGTGTTGATGTTAAACAGGATGAGATGACAATGATGGAAAACGTGAGAAAACTGATAGAAGGCTTGATTCTGTAATGATGAAGAAAAGGAAGAGAGTTGGAGTAGACTGTCTTCTAAGTGAAGAAAGAGGTGTGGCCCCTGCCATACTGTGAATGACAGGCCCAGAGGACCAAGTGACAGCTTATTCAGAGAAAACGGTTTGTATAGTAGCCTATATACAGAGAAGAAGACCTAAGCCGCTAATAATAGTAACAATACCCATCCCGCTAACCAAAACCATAGCATCCATAACCACAGAACTCCATACTTTAATAGCAGAGGCTAAAACCCAAGATCATCCTCATCATTCCACCCCAAATGCTCATAAATCGATTTCTCCGGCGTCACAGGTACCGTGGACGAATCGCCAGGAGCAAGAAAATTCTTCTTAACGGGTGTTTCCTGAATACTGCCTTTCTTTACCGGTGTGCTTAGGACAGCGGTTGGTGGTGCAGCCGCAGTCTCAGGCGCAACTGCAGTAAGGTCTGGAACAGGGGCAGTGGTCTGCGATTTTCTAGGCGGTGTTTCTGTAATGGAGGAATCGAATTGTGGCTGCGCGATTGGGATACGTCGCGATGAGACGGGCGTCGAGGGTGCCATTTCTGTTCGCTGGGTTGAAGAAGGACGATTAGGGACCCGGAAGAGGGTGTTGGATGTATAAGTTGTGCTCTTGGACTTGGACAAACAAGGGGACTCGAATGGCTTGGTCGGACGGCGAGTAGGCGTTTCTTCTATAGCGCCCATGTCTCTGCCAGAAGCTCCTGAGAACGAATTCGGACGGACCGTGGAGCCCGGGACCATTTGCGCATCACTCTCGTCGGGTGGAGGTGAGCGCTCAACCAAATGTCCAGGGAATGACCGCACCATGTTAATGGGAAGCGGGGGTGGTGGGAGTTCGAAAATAGCATCCCTCTTCCGACTCCCCTTGGGCGTAGCCATGACCTGCACGCCTTGCCCTAACGGATTCCGGACGGGGTTCTTCTGCTTGCGCGAGCTGCCACCACCGCCAGGCGTCGTCCTCTTATCCGCATCTTCGGCAATATCTTTGGCGACTAGTTCCCGATTGGGTCGTCGTAAGGCATGAATCGCCGCGTCCAGTTCTTTCTTCTGGTCTGCCAGCAATTGCACCTTTTTCAGCTTCGTTTCGTGCTGTTTGGCTTGTGCGTTGAGGTCCACTTCGCGGTTTTCCACTCGTTTGGCTTTTTGTATACCGCCCCGGACGTTGGCGCTGGTCATTGGTAATAACGGTTCCATGGATTCCCGTCTGCTGTCTGGTTTGGATGGTGCTGTCTTGGATCGCTGAAGTGGGTGTCGTCCTTGAGAGGCGGCTGATTTCTCGTCGGTTAATACACGCTGCAATGAGCGACGGGGTTTCAGATGTTGCAGTTGCTGTTGTTGTAGCTGTCGTTTTGCATCGGACTCGGATTCTCGTCGTGGCGTCTTCTTTGCTTGGGGTTTCGCAGGGGTTGTGGAACTGGAGACGCCAAATTTCCGAGTGACCAGCTTGCATTTATCCGGGAGGCGCGACGCATAGAATGGGACGATAACTTCTGTACAGAAGTCCCGCACAGCATCACTCTCGGCCTTCTTTCCAGAGAGGTGGCTGTTCTCTGCATCCTTAATCGATTCGGGGATTGCCAAATCGTCAAAGCTGACGGCATGCCATATGCACAGGCGATCAAGATGTAGTTCAAGGACCACGTTCAGATCCTGTAACTTCTTGCTCTTGGACTTCTTTGCCGTCTCATCTGGTGGGTTTTCGTCATTTCCACCGTCTTGCTTCTTGGTATCACCAGGGAGAGCCGATTCCAGGGCCATCGTTTCCAGTATAAGAAGTATCTGCAATTGAGTCTCGCGCAGTCGTAGATCAGCCACATGCTTCTTCATCTCCGCTTCTCGCGAGGTCTCAATGGCGACACCATTCTCCGACAAGCTCCTGTCCTTCCACCATTTGCGAATGAGATCCTCTTCATCGGGATACAGCCCATTCTTCCCCAGCTTTTTCTTCTTTCGACTCTTGCGCTTTTTTGGTTGGGTCGTCTCGTCGTCAGAAACACTTAGCATGACGTCGCGGACTGTCGCTGGCATTGTTTCTTTATATTTCAGATCCATCTTCTTCGCGGGGAGTATAGCTTCTCGGTAAAAATTGACCAAATCGACGGGCGTCTTGGAAGAGTCGGGCTCGGTAGATTGGAACGCATTGCGACAACGTGTTTGCGGACCTTTGGCAAAGTATGCCAGAGATGTCTTGGAGATGTAGAGAGCCTGCAGATACTGATCCCTCAAGCCATCCAGTAGCTCTTGTGGTGATTGCAGGTCATCAGCACCCGCGGATACCATTGCTTCGAGCTGTTCTTGAGTGTCATTAATAGCGATACTCGGCATGCGAACACCGGTGCTCGAGCTCCTCTCGAGATTGGGAGCGGTAATCGAAGCGGTTTGGCTCTCCACAGATTCCACAGGCAACACATTATCCTCCTCCTGGTCAAAGAAAGCGACGCAAATATCAATATTCGGTGGTTTCCCAGAAAGCACATCCACATCCACGATAGGCTCCTCAATCCGCGCCACTTCCCACCACTCAACAGTCCCATCTCCGACAGGTGACTCGCACCGCGCCGTCTGCTCATTAGCGACAGCAGCAACACTCCATCCCTTAACCGCAATAAAAATATCCCCCTCCTGAACCCAAGGCCCTAATCGCGAAACCGCATATATCCCCTTCTTCACCCTCTCAACAACATATAAACCACCATCAGCCGTAGATCGCACCGCAAGCACAGAAGGCTCGACTCGTTCGCGCAAATCATTCTCGAGGATAGGGATGTCCGCCACGAACAGACTACCGGATGGAACGGGCCATAGTGTAGACGATGAAGGATCGAGCCAGGAGAGCGGGACTCTGGAGCGGGGGAGGAGGGTGATTGGGTCGAGGACGTAGCGGTCGTCGGATAGTGATGTCGCGGGGGCCTGTGGAAGGGAGTATTGTCAATGGTCGTTTCGGACGAAAGAGATGAACGAGGCTGGGTGTGTATATGGCTTACCCGAATGACGATCGACGAAGCCCCCAGATCCTTAGCGGGAGGATGCCATGTCTTGCGCTTCTTCAGTGGTGGAAGCGCATGCGCATCGGGGAGTGAATTGACGGATTCGAGAACAACGGGGGATTCACGCGAAGCCATGAACGCGTTTAACAAAGTGTATGCATCCTCGTTCTATAAAAAAGCGACGATAAAAACTGCAACGTAAATATATTCAGAATGGCTAGTTTGTACTGGTAGATGTAAAAAGTCCTTGATAGCACTTATCGCTGGCGACGCGGACAAACACGGCTTGGCGTCACGCGTCACCGCCAGAGGGGGTTTCGAGCGCAAGAACAATGCGGAGTATTCGAGACATTGGGTTTATGGGGGGTTTCTAGAAGGAATGGCAATGTACAGAGTCATTTAGGATCAATTGCGAAATGCCGTATTTTTCTGCTGGAGTGCGCTAAGTATCACGATAACGCCGAGTCTACTCCAAGACAGCACGAACATCGCCAAACCATAGAACTAAGCAGAATGTATATATGTATGCTACCATATCAAACATGAGAAAGAAGGTATCAGTACCGACCAGGGTAGTGAAGAAAAATGAACCAGAACAACAGATGACCAGACATCGCTCGTCAACCATCTACCAACGCAACGCTCGCTTCAATTGAACTCAAAGTCGTAATACACATATGCCGTGTACTCTGCTCCGCCGGCTTCGCCGCCTGCCTCGCCCGGGTCGTCCCTCTTGACTCGACCCTTCTTGTCTCGCCCGAAGGCATTGCCGGCCAGGTACGAGTACTTGTCGTCCATGTTCCGTTTTGCCTTGTCTGCTTGCTTCGGGGTTGGTGTCTGTTCCATCGTTAGCAACATAAATCACCTGCAATTGTATTGGTGTACTTACTCGAATGATCGTGGAGACATAATCAAGAGGAAGACCATAGCGGAGTACAGTCTCGACAAACACCCGGAGAACAAGCACATGAATCCAGACCATCACAGCTTCGCTCCATGCTGTCCGTCCCAGACGGAGGGTTTCATTCCAGAGCTTCCGCTCATCGCCGCCAACACGCTCGACTTCCTTCCGCTCCTGCTCCTTTCCACCCTCCACGTACTTGAAGTCTCGTGGAATCCACTTGTTCTCTCTGCACTTGTGGATGAATTCGCCGCTGTGTTTCTTGAAAGTGGTGACCGCGTACAGCGTAAACTCGTCATCAGATGCCACCAGGTTTGCGGAGCGGGGAACAACCATAGACGACACGGTCTCGTATGATTTCAGGAAGTCTTTGACTTGCGTTGCGGGGACCGCGATGAGATGTGTTTCGATAAACTCGGAATCCTGAATGACGCTGCGAGGGTCGACTACGGATGCGAGGGACTTGGTGGAAAGGTTACCTCTGTTGAGCCAAGATGTTAGTGGCCAGGTACCGGAATTAAAAGGGCAAAGAAACGCACGTCTGTTTTCGTTGAAGTGTGGCCAGGTTGTTCTTGACCTGGTTGTATTGGGAGTATTTCGAGCGGATATCATTGTCGATACTGGCAGCTTCCTGGAATCCGTTAATATCTTGGGTACACGGTACACCAGTGACGTATTGAATCCCATATAGTTACCTTCTGTAGCAGATCAATCAATTCCCGAAGAGGCTTATCAGCGCGATACTTCACTTTATTCCACGAGAACGTCCGCAAGTACTGATCGACCGGCTCTAACCCGCGATATTAGCCACACCCTCTCTCACAATCCAAGGCAAAATGACCACATACTGTCATTAACAGCCTTCATCTTATCAATCTGCGCCTCATCGTCCAAGATATTCTTCAACGCATCCCCCACTTTGCTCACGACACCTTGGCAGGCTGACTCGAGCTTTGACAGCTCATCGGCCTGCTGCACCAGAGCATCTAGAGTGCCGATTTTGAATTCGGGGATCGGAAAGGGAGATACTGAGCCGTTATCGGGTGATACCGTTGTGGATATAGCGTCGAGAGCATCGTCGCGATGGTTGGAGGTTGTGATAGACGTGGGGAGCGAGACGAGGAGGTACTTGGTTTTGGACATGGTGGCGATTTAGGAGAGGGATAAATTGAACAACTAGAAGTAATTCACAGGGCCACGCTCAGGAAGGCGGGCATAAAGCAGCAGATGAGAATGGTGTTGATGGTGGTGACGGAGGTAGTCGTCTTGTTGTCTGCATACGGAGAGCTGGGCGGTGCGGGTGGAGGCGGTCGGCGACGTCGATCCATACAAGACAGCTTCACAGTTACTAAAGAACTATTAAAAAAAAAAAAAAAAAGGAACAAATTGGTGCTTGTTTATCGATTTCAAATTGTATTTGCAGGTGAATTCAGGAACAGTGGCAATGTGCACTCTATTATAAACGGCAGATGGCCTCTAAAACATAGCTCTAAAAAAATAGTACAAGAACCGAAAACAATGCAACCCACCTTCTATGCGCCTGGCTATATAGTCTGATCATCCATGTTCGTTCTCGACTCCGCACGTCTAAAGGGTATCACAGGATCGAGGGAAGATGCGGCAAAAGATGAATGGCGTTATGTCACCTTGTAGAGACTGGACATGGCCTGCAAAATAGAGTCAGCGGGAATTATTTCGTATGCGAGAGCTAGGGAGAACATACAACAGCTTGCCTGGGCTCAATGAAGAGCGCCTTGGCCTCCACCAAAACCGCTGGCTCTTGTCCATCCTTGGGCAGGGTCTCAAGGCGGCCCTCCACCCACGCTTTACGACCTTCCACCTTGACCGTCTCCGCCTTCATAATAACGTAGGAGTTGGCCATTGCGGGCAGTCGATAATCAATGTTCAGGTTCGCAGTCACGCCAACCTTGTTCGGGAGAGCGGGGAAACAGCACCGCGCAAGACCCTCATCCAACAAAGTCGCCAAGAGACCACCGTGAACAATACCGGGGTGTCCTGAGAGATCGGAACCGAGATAGAGGAGCGAAGTCATGCTCTTACCATCTTTTTCGCTGAAGATAACCGGTGGCACAACGATCTTGTTCGGTCCCGCGAGGGTCCCGGCAGTGAGATTGCGCGCGCGCATGTACTCGGGAATCTTCAAATGTGGGCGCGACTCTGTAAACTCAGGGTTCTCGCGCAGAGAGACGGAAAGGGGGTGGTTGTGGATGAAATCTTCGATCTCCTGCGAAAGTGCATCGGGAGCGACGAAGCTGGTGAGGGTTTCCTCATCAGAAGGCATGGGGGCGGCCATGATTCGAGAAGTGGTTTGTATAGTCTGATAGAACAAGCCGGCAGTAAAAGCGAAAAATGCGATAGAAGTGAATCCGACGAAACGGCGTAAGCGGGAACGAGGTTGTTGGGGTTGTTGAGGTTGTTGAGGATGCGGCGGGACGGGAACTGTTTCTTTATTAAAGGAGAGTTAGAAAACCATTGACCCTTTGTGAACCAAGGAAAGAGATTTCCAAGACAATGAGTAACCCGGCGACCACATACCAGTTGAATAACGAGATCTAGATCCTCGCAAGTATACAGAACGAGGGAGTGGAAGACGAGGGCGTGCCGTGAGCCTGGTGGCAGTAGTGGGGGACTCCCGAAGCGCGACGGACGATGGGAAGTACCGCATGGCCGCTAGACCGTCAGATATTTTTGGATGGTGGATCCGTGGGCTGAGAAGACAAAAAAAGAGACGAATAAATGGGACACGTAAAAAAGACTGAAAGATGTCTCGGGATCCCCGTCGATTCCCGTGAAATTAATTGGTGAGGATGAAAGAGAGGTTAGGGCAGGATGGCGGTGAGTAATTATTACAGCATTTTATTGGTTTTTATATCCGCGGCAGAAAAATAACCTCGGCTTATCGGTGATTATTAACCTAGTTTCGCTTGGACGGAGACCGGTCAAAGATCCAATTTTCGACCCTATCCCCGATGATACGCCGTCGACAACATATACTCTATGATCGATTCCTGTCGCTTTATGTATGAAGCAGAAATCTCGACTACGGCAGAATATCTGTATCAACTTGCACATAGACAAGTTGATTGCATGTACCGCTTTACTCACCGCCTGCATATATAGTGACGCTAATGGCTAGAGATAGTGCGCAGTAAAGACCCATAGGCGGTCATGCACGGCAGTACGTCTACATCTCAACTCGAGTTGAAGAGTTCGTTCGGAGGATTCGGGCACAATGGCCCTATATGAAGTGCAAATATGCGAGCCTCATGATATATCACAGTTGGAACCATCATGCAGCATTCTGCAGACACGAAGCATAGTACTAGTTCTCAGATCTGCAAATTGCCGATTTATGTCATGACGGTAGTTTTTTCCGGCCAGTTAAATGTCGACTTCTCTAACAAATCCTTCCGCTCAGGGCTCGACATCTCCAGTCATGTAATTTTATTCAATTCACCCATATGTTCTCTATGAACATGTCAAATTTTACCTACTGGCAAGAGCGAGCAGCGAGATTTGACCCGGATGGAACAGCAAAGCTCCCGACTACTTGCTCCTGCTCCAGCCAAACCTTCGCCAGCCCCCTCAAAGGGCCCTATGAAGAGGGCGGCAATGTGTCCAAACCTTGCATGCTCGATTACAGTATTGGGACAAGGGACTAATAGCCTACTTGGGAGAAGAGAGCAGCGATGTCCCTCACGTTTTGGCTTTACAGCAAGTTCTGGCAATCACCCCCAGTGACTCGGTTTGGTAATAATAGGAATTGCTTTTAACAAGGTTTCCAGTATGTATTATTGTGCGATCGTCACCACCATATTCGGATTCGTCTAAAAGAAAGCCAAAGAACATGAACTACCCCAGGAAAAGTACCAGGACGCCCTCAACTTGAGACTTGCCTTAGCTCGCAAGACCGCGCAGTTAGAAGGAACCTGCCGTGCATCACGGGGCATTGACCGTGCCCAGCCGGAAACGTCCAATGGATAACCGTCGCCCTGTCCACGCTTCTGGAGAATCTCTACGACAAAGACAATTTCGAAGCGTTTATCAGTCTCTATTGCCTCAAAGGCCATTTCCCGACGCCAGGTGCTTGGAAAGGCAATGCTTCGCTCGATTCACCATACCGCCCGGAAATTGGATATCACGCTGCCTGCTGAAACCAGTGCACTCTTTTCTGAATTAGACAATCATTGCACTTCTTTGAGGGGCGCAGAGTCGGTTAATAGTCTATACTCGAACTTAGTCACAATTCATGGATTTGATAGGAATGATGAAGCGGAGACTGATAGGTCTTTGGAGAGCATATTTCCGAACAAGACTTCTGCTGAGGGGTAATCTCGTATTATTCTCATATCTAGCAGAAGGACAAGAGGTGGATTTTGGAAGACTCATCCGTGTGAAATAGTCTCGTTGGAGATGATTTGAAGCAGGCTGGGTGTATTCAGTAAGTGGTGCACCAACAGCTATCTTATTTCATTTATTTGTATCTTAATCATAATGCATTCTCTTCACATGTATCCCCGGACACGTCTTGCCGTTTCCTTGGACTCGATTTGATATCCTGCGCCACGGCAAACGGTACTCATTAGACAGCCTTCAAAGAAATTGCCTCAACAAGACAGAAAAAGCAAAACAACCATGGATCTCGCCGCCACATTAAATAGTGCGTGACGGTGCTACGGAAATGTGCATATATCAAGTCGTACAAATATAAACCGCAAGCTCCAGATACCAATCAGTCCACGGAACAAAAACCTCCCCTGCAGTGATCAACAGAGCTTCTTAAGAAACATGTGCCGGGAGCCCGCATTCCAGGGCTAACGCGGGTACACACATGAGGGGTGTCATTAAATATCCTATCCCTGGATTACAAGTACTCGTGGCAGGGGAAGGGATGCGCTCATTGGTATGTAGCTACTCGATAGTATTCTTCAGGCTTTCTTTACCCCTCGCTACTTGTGAATAGGAGGATTTTTGCAGTTGCTTGTGATGATGGCTCCTCGTTCGCTTTTGTCGTGTTTTTCTCTGGGCATCGTTGGATTGCTGGCAATTGGTGCCAACGGTGAGGATACTTTGGATTATGATGTGTTGGAGTATATAAACCCGCTTATTGGAAGTGCCGGAGGAGGCAATGTCTTCGCCGGCGCGTCAATGCCTTACGGCATGGCCAAAGCCGTCGCCGACACGGACTCCCCGACTAACCAGGGGGGATTCGCATACGATGGCAGCAACATCACCGGTTTCTCGGGCTTACACGACTCAGGCACCGGAGGATCCCCATCGCTCGGAAACTTCCCTCTATTCCCATACGTGAAGTGCGATAACGACGACGTCAATGGCTGCGTCTATCCCAAGAAAGAGCGCAAGATCGGCTACGATCCTAATTCCGTGACTGCGAGTCCTGGGTATTTTGGATTAACGATGAATTCGGGGATTATGGTGGACATGACTGCATCCCATCATACATCACTTTTTCGTTTCCGCTTCCCGAGCGAGAGTGACGCGAGTCCGTTGATCTTGCTAGATTTAACGGATTTGTCGGATAGCAGGCAGGATAACGGGACTATCTCTGTTGATCCATCTACAGGCCGTATAACAGGCCATGCGCGTTTTCTGCCGAGCTTTGGAAGCGGTTCTTATGTTCCTTACTTCTGCGCGGACTTTCAGAGCGAGGCAGGGTTACGGGATAATGGGATTTTCGTCAACTCTCGCGCTAGCACGGATGTCAAGGATCTCAACATTTCTCGCAGCATAAATGGATATCCACTTCCGGTATGCCACCTGCTAATACCAACATATCTCATCTAACTCCACCAGGGCGGCGCATTCGTCAGATTCAACTACACACCCGACCAAACCATCCAAGCCCGCGTCGGTACCAGCTTCATCAGCAGCGAACAAGCATGCAGAAGTGCTGAGGCCGAAATCTCAGGTTTCAACTTCCCAGGAACACATTCGGTCGCTTTGGGCATGTGGACGGAGAAGATGGCTCCTATTAGAGCATCGAGGAAGGGAGTGAACTCGTCTCTTTTGACGAACTTTTATAGTGGAATTTATCGTACTATGATTAATCCGCAGGATTATACTGGGGAGAATCCGCTGTGGGAGAGTTCGGAGCCGTATTTTGATTCGTTTTATTGGTATGCTGTCCTTTTACATTTGCGTGTTATGATACTGATGTTTACAGCTTATGGGACTCATTCCGCTCTCAACTACCTTTCCTGACCATCTTCGACCCCAAATCCGTAACACGCATAATCCGCTCACTAATCGACACCCAAAAACACCTAGGCTGGCTCCCAGACTGCCGCATGTCTCTGTGCAGAGGTACATCCACCCCCCCCTTCCTCTTGTATACTCCCAACTAACAAACCAGGCTACACCCAAGGCGGCTCCAACGCCGACATCGTCCTCGCAGACGCCTACATCAAAAACCTAACCGACAACATTGACTGGGCCGCCGGCTACACCGCGGTAAAAAAGAACGCCGAACAAGAACCCTTCGACTGGTCCGCGCAAGGCCGCGGCGGGCTTGACAGCTGGAAAACCCTACACTACATCCCCGTCGAAGACTTTGATTATGTTGGCTTCGGGCCGATGACGAGGAGTGTTTCAAGGACGTTGGAGTATGCGTATAATGATTTTGCGGTTGCGCAGATTGCGCGGGGGATGGGGGAGGTGGGCGATGCGGAGGTGTTTGAGGAGAGGGCTGGGTATTGGAGGAATTTGTTCCGGGAGGATCAGGGGTCATTGATTAATGGGGAGGATACGGGGTTTAGGGGGTTTTTTCAGCCGAGGTTTTTGAATGGGAGTTGGGGGTATCAGGTGAGTCTTCTTATCCAGGATCTAAGGAGAGAGAGGTTCTAATATGACAGGACCCGATAACCTGCTCAAGCATCGACACCAGCGGCCGCGCATGCTCGCTCCAAAACAATGCCGCAGAGACCTTCGAAGACAGTATCTGGGAATACCAATTGTACCTCCCCCCTTCACCCATCACCTCAACCAAACATACCCTAACAAGAGAACAGCTTCGTCCCCCACCAAATGCACACCCTAATAACCCACCTCGGCGGCCCTACCCCCTTCATAACCCGCCTCGACTACCTGCACAACAACCACATAACAACCATCGGCAACGAACCCTCCTTCCTAACAGTCTTCCAATACCACTACGCCGGCCGCCCCGCGAAATCCACCGCACGAGCACACAGCTACATCCCCTCCCATTTCGCCCCCACAATCAATGGATTACCCGGTAACGATGATAGTGGTGCAATGGGGTCGTTTGTGGCGATGGCGATGATGGGGCTTTTTCCGAATCCAGGACAGGATGTTTATTTGATTTCTGCGCCGTTTTTCGAGGTGGTGGAGGTCACCTCGCCTCTGACTGGAAAGACCGCGAGGGTGAAAACTGTGGGTTTTGATGGGAGCTATGAGAGGGTGTTTGTGCAGGAGGCGTTTTTGGATGGGGAGAGGTATGCGAGGAATTGGGTGGGGCATGATTTTTTTACACAGGGGCGGGAATTGGTGCTTGTTCTTGGGGAGGGGGAGAGTGAGTGGGGGACTGGGGAGGGGGATGTGCCGCCTTCGTTGGGTTAGTGGTTTGCTACTTACTGGTGTTAGGGCTGGTATATGTGAACAGTCTATTCATATTCATATTCTAGGTTATGTTGAACAAACCTAAATAATAAAGACAACGCTTTTACAAACGGAAGGGGTTGAAACCACGCCAAACATTATATACATCATAACAAAAAGAAACTAAGCCCTAAAACAGGGACAACGGCTACGGGCGATAAAACTTCGTCTCAACCCACGGCATCCCCACAACATTAGCCTTGCGCACCTTATTCCTAACCAACACACCAACCTCTGTCCCCTTCTTATTCATCCCCTGCTTCACATACCCCATGGCAATATTCAGCCCCCCAAGCGACGGGCTCGGCAAACCAGACGTAATAACACCAATCTGCGTGCGCGACTCATCGTTCAAATCAACAATGATCGCTCCCTCGCGCGCAGGAGAGCCCTTTTCCACGGTGAACCCGACACGGCGCTGGGAGAGTGTTTTCGCGGGCGATGCGATCTGTGGCAGGATTACCGAGGAGCCGTTGAAGTTGGTGTTGCCGGTGGAGGGGTCGCGGCGGTCTTTGCCGACGACCCAGCCGAGAGATGCGCCAGGGGGTGTTTGGGCGGTGGTGATGTCGGAGCCGTAGAGGCACATTCCTGCTTCGAGGCGGAGGGAGTCACGGGCTGCGAGACCGGCGAGACGGACTTGGTCTGGGTTTGCGAGGAAAAGGTCGACGACTTGTTGGGGGAGGGTAGGGGTAGTTGTGGGGATGGAGATTTCGAAGCCGTCCTCGCCGGTGTAGCCTGTGCGGGAGATGAGGAGGGGTTCTGCGGTGCGCGAGCCGTCAGGGAGAGTGAGGTAGAGGGTGCGGGAGCTGCCGAAACCCAGGGTGGTGAGGTCGGCTTCAGCGCCGGAGCCGTGAATGAGGGGCTGGAGCACGGAGGCAGCCAAGGGACCCTGGAGAGCAACAAGGGCGTTGTCAATGATCTCCCATTTGATGCTGTCTGCGCCGTTGGCGCTACGGTAGGCTTCGATCTCGGTCTGCAAAAAAGCGAGATCCTCCTGGCGACGGCCGGCGTTGGTGACAAAGTAAAAGCTGTCTTCGCCCTGGCGGGTAATCACGCAGTCATCAATGATACCACCAGTTCCATCCTCCAGAAGACAAGACAGAGTAGATTGATTGGCGCGGAGCTTATCAAGCGACGAGGGCGTCACTTTCATCAGAAGCTCCATTGCCCCGGGTCCGCTTAGACGGTGCTGAACCCTGTTCAAGTTAGCATCATTCCTTTAACTCTCTCTCTCTCTCTCTCTCTCTCTCTCCCTGCACAGGAAACATACATATGGCTAACATCAAACAAACTCGCCTTCTCCCTCGTCCAGTTATGACTCTCAACATGACTCAAATCCGAATACTGCAAAGGCATCGCGAACCCCGCAAAAGGAACCATCCGCGCACCATGCGCAACATGCAAATCATACAACTGCGTCTTCCCCGCTGCCTCCGACGACGCAAAGCGCGCCTGCAACTGAGGGAGCGCAGGCCCGAATCTAGCTACCGGGCGTCTAGTGGCGGGAGAGCGGAGGCGGAGGGCTTGTCGCGAGCCATTGGAGACGACAGGAGCGGCTTGGGAGGTCAGAGATCTTGCGCTCAAAAGGCTGATGCCTCTTCGCAATGGCTGGAAGGTCGACATTATGGACTAATGTGTGATATGGCAAGGAATTGTAAGAAAATGGGAAAGTCGCACCGGAGGACGAGAGAAAACAGTCGGCGAGATAACGGAAAAGTCACGTGGAGATAGGGCATCCCCGCGGAATGACGCAATGTCCGACAGCGGTATCAAGAGAATCGGAATACGTTGAGCTTATCTACGGATTGAGCATTTTTTACTCGACTGGGAAGGAATCTCCATCCTAGAGGTTCAAAGATATGGTACTCCGCCGGGCTCATGGCCGACTCTTCCCGCGGTGAATCGACTAACTTTTGCAATATTAAAAAGAAGAAATCCCACCCAATTACCCGGCATTATCAATCTAGAACGCCTTCACGCCATTACGACCCCCCAGGGACCTTCTCGAACGTAGATCCCTTAAATGAAATGATCGAACAATTACAGAGAGCATTGTAGTCTAGAGACCATTGTTGGCGCAGGAGAAGGGGCTTCCCACGGTTCCAGCCCGATAGTTGAGAATGACACTCATAACAGAGGCCTGCAGATATCTTGTTAGTTATAAGTAAAGCGGGAGGGAAGAGACAGAAACTTACGTAGGTTCCTGGACCTAAGAAGAAAAGACCCACGCCAATGAGTCCAACATTCAGAAGGAAGCCCAGCCAGCCGCGGATGCCACGATTCTTATAGAAGCCCGGTCCATAGTCTTCCCGCCTCATCCGGAGATAAGCCACACCCCAGAAGATGAATCCAAAGAAGGAATCGAACAGGGAGCTCATGATGGAGAGCAAGTCGTTGAAGAAGGGAATGACCGAGGCAATGATGAAGGCCAGGACCCAGAGCACTGCGAGAATGGCACCCCAGGAGACCCATCCGACCACCGTATGGTTACCCTTGTGACGGGTGTTTTCAAAGATACGGAAGAAGATGAAACGAGCAGAAACGGAGGCGTAGAGAACGCCAAGGAAGATCAAGGTCGGGACCATGAACGAGAATGACACTTTCTTGAGCACCTCGTCACCGATTGATCCGAAGGCAGGCGTTGTCATGTACTGGTTGCCGGTGTAGACGTAGACAACCGCGCCAACCACACTGAAAACGATGATCTCTGCGACGGTCACGGCTGTCACGGACTTCCAGAAGTCCCTGGGCTCCTTCATTTCGGCAATGAAACTGGGAAGCGTGATCTGGCCGATGAACGTGTAGCTGATGTTCAGGAAGGCATTGACGGCAGACACAAAAGTCGTTCCGGCGACGGGGAGGGCCGTATAAACCGGGTCGCCCTTGGCGGGAGTGTAGCCTGCCGGATGCGATTCGATGCCGACGAAAATCATGGCCAGCAGAACCGAGATGAACGTGAAAAGCGCGGAGAACGTGGCGACCTTGGATAGGGTGTCGAATGTTCGCGGAAGCGAACAGATCCACGAAACGATGGCGGTAACCACGGAGAAGACAATGGTGCAAGTGCCATGGTTGCTTACGGTGTTGAGCCACTCCGCACCGACCAAGATGTGCACGCCCTGCATGATGTTAGATATGAATTGCAAATGAAAATGAAAGCAAAGACAGTACCTGAATAAAAGTATTGTTCAACAAAAACATCACCGCAGTCAAGTACCAGACAGTCCTAGAGTCCCAGAACAAGTACTGGCCAATGTCGCACACGTCCCTAACTTCGGGATGTCGCAAACAGAACCGCCTGCGGGAGTTAGCTCATTCTAGAATACCCCAATGCGCGCGCGCTGTCCAACATAAACCATAAACTTACCAAATAGTGAGCGAAGTATAAAGCACGACCGCCGCAATAAACACCGTCAGAATCAACCCCGGCACCAATCCCAGAATGGAATACGACCAAGGAAACGACATGATCGCCAAACAGATGTACTCAGAGAACAGCAGCGCGGCCGTCTTCTGCCAACTACAAGTGCGATACTTGATGGCATTTTCCGACTCCAGCTCGATCTGCCGCATAAGTTCTTCCTCCGTATCCGAGTGTCCACCACCAACACGATGTTCCGCATTGGCCGGATCGTAGTCCTTCAGCTTGGCAGGGTCATGGTCATGGTCGTGGTCATTCTCGAGTTTGGAGGAAAGCGACGAGGACTGATGGTCGTCTTGAGGGGAGACGGTTGGCAGCTTGGGCTTGTCGTGGTCCTGGTCGTGGTCGTGGTCGTACGCCGCCATTTTATGAAGCGGACGAGCCGCGAGTGGAAGGAAGCGGTGGAGCGAAGCGAAGAGGAAATACTGAGCACCTTGGGATGCATGTACTGCGCCTGGCGACAGAAGTTTTGAGTGTGGAGGAACTGGGGGAGAGATGTTAGTATCGGGAGTCCGGGGAAAATCCAGAGATGGAGATAGGGTAGTATTCGAGATGGAGCCCTCACCTTCGATTACTCAAGAGAAAGAGAAAACGACAACAAACAGACGAACGCAGAGAAGAGAATGTTTGAAGAGAACAAGAGAGAGAGAGAGAGAGAGAGAGAGAGAGAAATCGAGCGAAGAAAAAGGCAACGAAGAGGCAAAGAAAAAAGAAAATAAGAAGAGACCTTATCCGGATTCCCAAACAGGAAATGAGCGGACTACGAACGCTACTTGATCACGGATGCAGCCGATTTGACAGAAAAGGGAAGGGAAAAAAAAAAAAAAATCAAAATAAAAATCAAAATTAAAAAAAAAAAAAAGCAAGGAATAGATCGTGATTATTTATGCCCAATTGAATCTCAACAGGTCGTTGATTATACGCATTACGGGCTAGAGTGAGAGATACGTATTTCATTTTACGATAATTACGCCGGGGTCACCGAGCAGTGACGAAGGCCACACTAAAACACACCCAAGTCAGCGGGCCATGATGTTTACAGTGTATGCAAGACCCACTTCAATGTTCCCGGTTATTGGTCCATGCCAAGGCACTGCCCCGCATCCGTTTTTAGCGCGTTTATTATATCAGTCGACTTTATATATGGTGTTAGTTTTATCTGCATACAGAGTACAGAGTATGTACTTGTAAAGCTGAGTGAAGGATTGATCAGATGATTAAATACAGTATCAGAATACGATACACTAACAAATCCTTTGAAAGTCTGGAACCAGGAAAATTCAAATGATAGTCCCAAAACGGTTAGTCGATCTGAGATGACCGGGAGTGGATATGGCGTGATCCCACGTGCCAACAGCCTCATACAGTACGTACTTTTGTACACTGCTGTACTATGTATATCACACCCTGCTAATCCCTACATCAACAGCAATACATGGATCCTCAACGGGATATACAATCGGATGCCCTGGAGCGCCTGGGAGTTGCTGTCCGGCAATCGTCCACGTGATGTCATGCCTCTACGTACTCTATACGGATGTCCTGACCCAGACCACTGACACTGCTCTGATGTACTACTGAGATGAGGTCGGAATTGGCTTGATGGTATCATAAGCGTCCTTTGTGCAGGTACAGAGTTACCAGTGGTAGCTCTACATCATATGACATACAAGTGAAGATGTAAATGAATGCTTTTGGTATCTGCAGTATACTATGTCCAAGTAAAGAAAAATTACATCCCATCCTCTTCCCCATCCAGTAGCGCCGCGTAGTCGTCCGCAGATGCAAATGTAGGCAGGTGCTTGAGCTTGCGCCGCTTCTTGCGCTCCGAGTCCTTCTCCTTGGCTGGTTTCTCCTCCTCTTGTTCTTCTTCCTCTTCGAATGCACCCATGTCCATAGGCAGCTCCTCGTCGCTTCCAACAAAGGCATCGTCGTCCGAGACGTCCATGTCGAAGTCGTCGTCCTCGTCCGAGGGCTCTTCGTCCTTCTTCTTGGAGTCCTTGGGCTTGGGCTTGGGCTTGGGTGTTGGCTCTGGCTCGGACATGTCTTCGTCGATGGGCTCCTCTTCATCAGACTTGTCGGACTCGTCATTGAAGATAACACCCTCGTCAGCACTGCCTTCGTCCGCGTTCTCTTCCGCATCGTAAGCAGACTCGAGGTCATCCATGTCCAGATCATCGTCGCTATCGCCTTCCTCCAGCTCCGGCCGCGAATCAACAAGTGCCTTCCAAATCTGATCCTCATTTTCACTGAGATCCCCATCCTCCTCATCCTTGGAAACAGGATCCTTGTCATCCTTCTTACCCCGCGCCTTGTTCTTCTCCTTATCCTTCCCGACACGGCTGAAGTACTCGTGGAAGAAGACATCTTCCGCAGAAATCTCGTCCGCCTTCTTCTTCCAGAAGGCTTCCGAGTTGAGCGGCACGTGGGTTGCGGCTTTGCCAGCGCCAACCAACCGATCGGCTGTTTCTCCACCTGCGAGTGGCTGCATGATGGAAGCTCCCCGTGCGCCCTTTTCTGCCTTGGGCGTGCGGTAGATGAAGCGGTCAAGGAAGTGCGAGAGGGTGTGGATGGTTAGATCGGGCTTGCCACTCATTGTTTGGTGGTCGAGGATATGAGCCGCATTGACCGATACTGATGGGTGGAAATGCGTCATGTAAGGGATCTACCACGTGTTAGTTTGATTTGAAGGTGTCATGCATAGATGTTAAAATAACTCACCAGTTCCCAGAGACAAGTCTTATCGGCGTTGCTGTGCTCGGGATCTCTCTTGCGCGGGTCATAAATATTCAGAGGCTTCTGCGGCTTAGCTTCGGGTTCCTCTGGCTGCTGTGGTTCATCATCCTCGTCAGGCACATCCCGGAACACTTCTTCCTCATCGCTTTCATTCTCCTCGGGCTGATCAAGCAACGTCTGCAGACCAATGTAAGTCTTCTCCAACTCACGGATCAGATAGAAAATGCCACAGATGAACGACGGTTGATGCAGGCCGAGGATCTGAACTAAACGCTTGACAAACGCCTTGACGCGTCGAACATTTACGTCGTTCTTCAATGCCTTGAACAGAAGGTTCAGGTAAAGTGCTTGCTTGGATGACGTGGCAACCCGGGGATCAAGTAGCGATTCGTATAATGTCCGGTAAAATCTGTCAGCGCCGACCTGGTGCGATGACGTTAATTGCTGGATCAACATGAGAGCTTGGATGCTCGTGTTGAAATTCGACGAGTGCGTAATGCGGAACAGAGTGTCGATGTGTTTCGAAAGACTGTAAAACATTAGCTATTGCTCACCGCAGAAGGAAAAGATAACATACCGAGCAGTGTCAGAGCTTGTAAAAGGGTAAGCTCGATTGACACCAGTCAGAACACCAGAAACAAGTTTGTCCTGCATCTCCTCCTGCTGAGCAAGACCCTTTTCCTCTTCCTTCGCCTTTTTGATATACTTCTTGTTACCGAACTTGTTCTTGCCTTGCTGACCCTTAACGGGCTTGTGAGACTTGAGTAGAGTAACAAACAGCGCGAAGTAGATATCAAGCAACTTGGCCGCGGTCTTCTCCTCCTTCAAACTCAAGACTGTCTGGTTCAATGTGATGATACCGTAGTACTTGGCGTGCTGGCTTTGTCCCGACCGGAAAAGCACCTCTTCAACAGATGTGACGACCGTTGGCTTCATAAGGGGATGTGCTTGTTCGAGTTGCAGGAGCAGGTACGAAGCACGGGATGCGATCTTCTTACTCGGATCACCGAGCTTGTTGACTAGCAGTCGCAGAAGGTTTGCTTCCTGTTCGGGCTTCTCCTTGAGCAGTTCGTAGACGTAACTCAGGGCTCGGGAGCGGGAGAACTCGATCTCGTCGTTGCACCAGACTTCCATGATCTTGAGAACTTCGAAAAACTGGTCCTTGAGGAAGTTTTCGTAGGCCCATAGGATGAGATGGCGGTTTTGAAGACCGTTGGGAAGAGGGTCCTGCTCAGTCCACTTCTGGTCGACTCCCTGGAACGCAGCCATGAGGGACGGCTGGTTCGCGAATGAACGGAGTCGTCGGTCATTCGGGAGAAGTGTACCCTGGGCGAACATATCCTTCAAAGACCGAAGCACTTCGACTGCTTGCGTACGGCTCCGCTTCTTTCCAAGACCGATCAGAGTTTCCAATGCCTTGGTGTTATGCACCGGAGATTCTTGGACGGCCAGTGTGAGGGCGGAGATCTTGTCGCTGAGGGTACCGGAGGCCATGATGGTCGAGTAGAACTTGTGGGATGAGGATGCTGAAGCTTGTTGCGCTGCATTGTACATCTTTGTATCCTTCTCTAGCAGCGACAAGGCATGTGCTTGTAATCGCTCGACCACATAACGGGGAAGTGTAGTCGCTAGTTTCGCAGCTTTGATCGGAGGGAGAGATGTCGCGTACCAGTCGGACCGCGGGGGAATAGCCTATTTTTCTGTTAGTCTCGATCTCTCCCAACAGTTGGTCTAGGTTGGTATACGTACAAGGCTAGCGAACTCCTTGGGAACAACGAATTCATCTGATTTCGCAGGTTCCTTTTTTGTCTCCTTCGGAGGTTCAGGAGAGGCCTCCTCTTCCGCATCAGATTCCTCTTCCTCAGCTTGTTCCTGCTCGTCGCTTTCATCATCTCCATCTCCGTCCTCTTCCTCGTCCTCTTCCTCGTCGCCCTCGTCCTCTTCCTGTTCCTCTTCCACCTCATCATCCTTCAAGTCTTCTGGCACGACCTGACCCGCAGCCGCCAGCATACCCGACAACTCTTTGCGCAATGCATCATCGTCAGATTTGCCCGATTTCTTCGAAGTATTCGCGTCCTCCACTTCATCCTCAGACTCAGCACCCGCAATCAAATCGAGATCCTCCTCAGTACCTCCGAGAGCCAAAATCTCCTGGCGCAGGGTATCATCGTCATTCGATTTCGACGCCTTATCCTTCCCAGCGGCCTTCTCCTCCCGCGCAATCACATCACCGTTGCGATCCCGTTTCCTGCCCTTGTTGTCATTCTTCGGTTCTTGCTTCGGCGCAGGCTTCGGTGCTGTTTCCTTCTTGTTGTTGTTGTCATTCTTAGGAGTCGGGGCATCCTTCTTAGGGGTATTATTCTTAGGAGCATCCTTCGCGCCAGCCTTGCCCTTATTCTTTGATTTGGAGTTTTGGTCCTTCAACTTCTGTTCGATTTTCTGTCGCAGGCCGGCGAATGCGTTTTCCTCGAAATTGGGGAGAGATTCCCCTACGGCGTTGGAGTCGTTCAATGCGACGCCGCCATCTGGAATGGCCGAGTCTTTCCCTTTATTATTATTATTCTTCGCCATGGCGAATTTGTATTGTTGGGAATGTAAAATTGAATATCATAAATCGAGGCGTGAACTTTTTTCTTGTCTTTTTTTCTGCCGCCCAAATGCCCCGAAATTATCAAGTCCGCCGGGGAAATGTTGATGCGATTTTCCGCTTCGGAGTCTTGTGTGGGTGCATACAACGCATTTTGTTGCTTACATTTTCTGGATATAAGATGTTTGTTCTGTCAATAGTTGATTTCTATCTATTCAATTGATTCTAGCCGGCATCCAAACGTCCCACATTCATGGTGTTCGGGCTTCGCCCAAGTCCGGGGCGTATCTCGGCGGTGCATCGAGTATCTTTGGGGATTGTCCAATTCCATAGAATCCCGAGATGTGGTTTACATGTATGTATAGAAATGGAATCTAATTTATGTCAAACGCTAAGTCCTGTCATAGACCGATGGTAGAAGTCGGATATCCAACTTCTGGATCCCGACGGGAGGCATCTCCAAGAAAGCCGTAGAAGGCGAGAAGGGTATGTCCTCGTATCCAACTTCAAGCGTGCATGAGGATTAACAGTAGCCAGAGGATGCAAATGATCTCCTGGTCCGGGGCGGATTCCTTCGACAGGTTGTATTCTCTTCCAAAATTCAGGATAGCGGTCCCTAACTTGACTATAGGCTTACTCTGGGATATTTCATTTGCTGCCGCTTGGCTTGCGTGTCCAAGATAAGCTTGAACGACTTATTGACAAGCATATGAGATCTGTTGGTGAGCTGCATCTTTCCATCGCGAAGCATCCTTGTGCTGACAGGCAAAGGCGCATCCAAGGTTTCGTTATCTTCGTTATCCTCTCAAGAGCTCTGGGAGCAGTCTGGTCGGTTAAAGGAGGGCTCAGAGGTGAGTATATAGTTTATATACTACAAGGGACTTTTCTGACAGGGCTTGCTAGGTCTTCCGGCTCCATGATAGAAAAGAATCCCGTTTCCTCCTCGCCCCTACACATGAAGAAGAAATCACTACATTAGTCGGGAGTCTCACGAAATCATACAAAGATCTGCCTTTACGAGTCTATCAAATATGTAAGTTTGACCCTGAATGACCTGAACAATCGAGACTAATGCAACACAGCAAGAAAATACCGAGATGAGCCCAGACCACGACAAGGCCTCCTCCGCGGCCGTGAATTCATCATGAAAGACCTCTACACATTCGACTACAACGTCGAAGAAGCTCTGGAGACATACAAAGTCGTCAAACTCGCATACACGCACCTGTTCAACGAGCTGAAAATCCCCTACCTAGTCGCCGCAGCAGACTCGGGCAACATGGGCGGAAGCCTGAGCCATGAATTCCACTTCCCTACTTCCAAGGGCGAAGATACGTTAATTAGCTGCTCGAACTGCGATCATGTGTACAATGAGGAACTTGCAGATGGCAAAGCCCATGGTGCTGGTGCCGCGTCTTCGCCATCAGCCGGGTTCGATACGGAGGAACCATCCACAGACGGAGCAGGGACGGTCTCGACGGGTGCCTGGTTCGCCATCTCCAGAGACAAGAGAACTCTGGTCCGAGGATGGTATCCCAAGTTCTTCAAACAGCCCGGGTCCCAAGAACCCACGGAAAGAGAAGTCAGCTCGCACGCCGTGAAATCCATCGCCAACGCAGCAGGAATCGACATCGACCTGAGCGTCGAAAACCCACTCGAACAATGGATCACATACGTCAAATCCCAGAAGACCACCGACGGCTCAACGCCCAGTGTGCTAGACCTCTACGACGCACAAGTCCGTGTCTACCAACGCCCACCCCTCAGCGACCTCCTCCAAGGAACCGGTCGTGCAATCACAGAAATCGAATACTTCATGCTCGACAAATTCCCCAACACAACCAACGGCCTCAATCTAATCAAAGTCCACGACAGCGACACATGCCCTAAATGCACGCAGGGAACCCTCAAACTCGACACCGCAGTCGAACTAGGACATACTTTCCACCTGGGAACCCGCTACAGCGACGTCCTCAGTGCCTCGGTCATGGTCGACAAGTCCTTGCTCGGCGCCACAAACTCGAAAGACCAAATCGTCCCGATGCAAATGGGTTGTCACGGAATCGGCGTCTCGCGGATGATCACCGCCGTGGCGGACCGTCTCGCAGACTCGAAGGGCCTCAACTGGCCACGGGTTATGGCTCCATACGAAGTTATCGTCGTGCCTGGGAAGGACCTGGAGGGTGAAGCGGAGAAGGTATATGATCAACTTGTGTCGTCAGACCCCTCTGCCCCCATTGACGTTATCCTCGACGACCGTGATAAGCAGATGGGATGGAAACTTGGAGACGCCGATCTCATCGGATACCCGATCATCGTGGTCGTTGGTAAGGGATGGAAGAGCCAGCAGACATTGGAGGTGCAGTGTCGTCGGTTGGGTCTGAGAGAAGATGTACCACTGGACCAGCTGCCGACATTTGTGCGGTCTTTGCTGGAGCGACTGTAAATGATAATTATGCTTTATAAAATGTATTTTATGTGGTTGTCACTGTACTATAGAAATGAATATCAATCCCCCTCTTGTACATGGCGATGTATATACCCATGGTGCGTGGAAATACCCACTCCACCGCAAAAACACCCGTGTCCAAAACCCACCACTCCCTATCTCCACGCCCGCCGACCGTCATCAAAAAAACACCGTCACCACAGCTCCCCGCGCACGCATCACCAGTCTGTCCCTCTTCTCCTGCATTCGCACCAACTTTGATATCTCTGGGTGGATTATACCCCGGATACATAATTGACCCTCTTACCCAACCGTGCAAAATAATCGTTCAATCCCAACCACCCGCCCTCAGACAAAATGAGCGCCCCCGCATCCAACGACGGAGCTCCCCCAGGCGCAAGTACGCATACCCCATGACCCCATAGCACCATTCCACCAGCCATCTTGCCCTTTCACGCCTATCGAACAGATACTAACAAACTACGCACAGTAAACGTCTCTACCCTCACCGTCCCTCAACTCCGCGCCCTGCAAACCCGTCTAACCACCGAACTCGAACACCTAACGACCTCGCACACGAAGCTCCGCGCCGCGCAGACAAAGTTTCAAGACTGTGTGCGCTCGATCAACGACGGCGTCAGGGGGTCGCAGGCGAAGGGGACGGATGGGAAGGATGAGATTCTGGTGCCGTTGACGAGTTCGTTGTATGTTAAGGGGAGATTGGCGGATCGGGAGAAGGTGCTTGTTGATGTTGGGACGGGGTTTTACGTTGAGAAGGTAGGCTCTTTCTGTGTTTGAGGGTTATGGTGTTGGGTGGTGTGTTTGGGTATGGCTGACTTGCGGATAGACTACGGCAAAGGCGATTGAGTTCTATAATATCAAGATTAAGGGCTTGGAGAACAATCTGAAAGATCTGGCTAAGGTTGTGCAAGGAAAGGATGTGCAATTGAGGGCTATTGAGGATGGTGAGTATCAAGCTGCCCTGGAGTACAGATCAGGCATAACTAACTTTCATTCTAGTCCTAAGGCAAAAGGTTCTCAGCGGTGAGGCCACTCCGGCAAACACTGGATAAGGTTTTCTTTGCAATGTACAGTATAAGTCGATGCACCATCACCAGGCAATCAGGAATGAAAAGAAAACGAAAAAGAGAAACAGAAAACATAAACCACTAAAACGAATGCGTGCTGGCAACGTATTTCACTAAATAAACGCCTCGGACCGCATCTCAAATTGCAACAAGAGAAGGAAATCAAAACGAAAAGAGAGAAAGTGAAGTAGACACAAAAGAAAGAAAGAAAAAGGTGACGTTGGATCAGGACCATCAAGCCCGTGAACTCGTGATGAACCAAGCGACACTGCATTGAAGTTGGCTTCATTCAGAACAGAGTACCAAGATCGGTATCAATCATTCCAGTAAGACCTTTTGCGTCAATAGTGGGTGAAGAACTGTTTGAAGTAGTCTTGCCTTTCTTTCCACCAGGGCTTGCCGGTTTTTTAGGGCTAGACGAGGTCTTACTGGTGCCCGCCTTGGGTGCCGGCGGCGACAAAGGCCGCGCCGGACTAAGAAGCTCTGCGGCCTGCTGCACCAAGCTGACGAAGTTCCAGAAACCAGTATGTTTTTCTCCTGAGCCCGACTGCTCTTGGGGTGCGAAGTAGGGTGGGAAAAAGGTATCCAAGTTGGGACTGTACCGAGCTGAATGACCAACAGGCAGATTCGCGTGCTGACCTAGCAGATTGTCCCAATTGGGATCGAATACGGACGCGCCCCAGGAGGTGGATGGCTTTTCCGAAATTGAACCAACCAGAGTTGGTGGATTTTGTCCCGGGAACGCAGGAACGAGAATGCGACTGTACTCGTCGTATCTCGCAATCTCAAACGTATACTTCGTCCCCATCAGTCGATAACGAATTGCCGTTTTCTCCACAAATCTCGACACCGGAGCCGTTGCGGGAAATATAACCTTCCTCTGTGGTGCCGCCGAAATGTCGTTCATGTTCTCAGTACGCCGAAAATTGATAGAGTGAGAAAATGATCTCAACGCAGAATCGATCAAGGATGCTTCTTGAAAATCCAGGCTTTTGATCTCTAGCTGCCAGTCGGACCTGCTCAAAAATTAGCTTCAGTTCGCTTCGAAGGAACCCGAGTAACATACCTTTCAAAGTCGACAACAGCGATCTGGAGAGGCGATCTTTTGTCAATTGTCTGGCCACCGCTGCGAGGTCTGAGCCATCGGCGTTGAGTTACCTCATACTCTTGCGCGCCAGGACATCTAGCAAATTCCGCTTCCAGCCGGAGGAGGTCATTGTTGGAGCCCAGGAATTCGAAGTTGACGGAAAACGCAGGCTCCGCACGTTCCAGCGCACGAGTTGTGCCTTCGTATGACTCGAGGAGAGCAGTGGCTTGGAAGCAGCTTGCGAGGAGCTCGTCTTGATTAGTCCTCAGCCTATATGTTGGTAAAACCAGTTAGCATTGCGTTTGCAGCAAAAAATAGCGAAGTTTCCATACCCGGGCACCAAACGGCCTTTTGTCTGCTCATGCATCAACATCTCCCTGAACTCTTCGAATGCGTACGACGGCTTGTCGTCCTTTGGACGGCGATATTCATCCAGCACAAACGAACCGATATTGACGCGCATGCGAAGATGTCCACGAACAAACGCAACGCCGCGTAGAGACTTTTCGATGGCACTGAGAATGCGGTCGTTATTCTTCGATTGTATCAAAGCAGCCCGGTCAGCCCGTTGCTCCAAATCCAGCCCCTTTTTGCTATCGCCATGCAGGAAAGCTCTCGCAAACTGATTGTTATTCTTAACCACAATCTCTCCTCCCATGGAACTCGGCCCAGGAGGTTCAACGACGAGAACCTTGGATTTAACATTGCTGCTCACTATTATCTCGCTCCATTTGGTGCGGAGACGGTGGGCGATCTGTCGCATAACATCATGGTTCTGGCCAAGGGCACAAATACAATCGGGGAGCTCTTTCGGGATGAACAAGTGACAGCCAAACTTTGCCCGGATAACATCAAGAGCTTCGAGGTGCGATCCAAGGCATTCGTTGAGAGGCGGTCCGTCCTTTGGCCACAGAAAGAGCAACTATAAAGCAAGCCGTTCAGCACTACAAAATTGTAAACGCTAAGCCTGTTGGAAAGCACTCACCTGTTCAGGGAAAGCCGATGGCAAATCCGGGACTTTTCTTAGCTGCTGTAGTATCGTTTCCCGTCTCTCCTTCAAGTCCATATCTGCCTCTTTCATATTAGAATGAGCGTAAATTTTGGTCCATTCAATTTTGTTCTTCTTCGTAGACCAGGCGCTGTTGCATTGTGCAACAAGCTTATACAGTATGTCTTTTGCAGACGCAACCTGAGTCGGGCCCCCCCATATGTAGAGCTCCTGTCTCACTGTCAACTCCTACTGTGGCTGGCCGTTGGAATTGCTTACCTGCTGGGTATGCGACGACGGTGGGTTCACAAAGGCGCCTGTCTTTTGGGCAATGTCTTCGAAAACCTCGTACCTTCCAGTACGAGCAGCGGCCTTTCTTGAAATGAGCTTGCTCTTTGCTGCAGCACAAAATCTGGAGACATATTAGTATCTAGCATCAAGCGATCAATACAAAAACAACTCACTCATCTTTGATCGTCCCCCAGGAAGTGGGCAGCCTGATGAATCCTTTTCCATTGCGTTAACTCAACATCAACCAAGTGAATATAGCTCTGCTCACCGTCAGCTTCCTGACCAGCCCTCCGCTTGGCCTTCGCAAGAGAATCTTTGAAGAGATGGGTGGAATTGCGAGATGCTGCGGCGCTAGAATTGCCGCGACCAGTGTTGAGGCTCCCACGCCCCCTTCCTCGAAAGCCTCCTCGACCCGACCCACGGCCATTCTGGGTTGGCCCTTTGGCTCCAGGGGTAGGACTCAACATATGGCGTTGGGGCTGTCTGACGGCAGGCTTCTGGCTGTTTATGGGACTCTTGGAAGCGGATTCTGGAGTTTGGGTCGTTGTCTGTTTCGACGACGATCCAATTGCAGTTGACTTTCCTCGGCCGTAGCCTGGTAGCTGCCACTCTTTGGTAATTGTTAGTTAAGAGCAGGAATAGGCCGTGTGATGCTGTGAATGATTGATTCGCACCTTGGGCACCGGAAGCTTCGTGACTGAAGGATGTCAGCAATTGCAAGATCCAGACAAATATATTGCTGAACTCACTCCATTGTTTAAGATAAGGTTGTCACTGTGTGATTGACGACAGGCTAGAGATTACTGTTTCATGGAGCCTTGGGAAAGAGAGGGCGAGACAGGGCGAAAGGAAGAGAGCAACAGCTGGGGATAGACTGTTTCTCCCTCAGAGAAAGAACAGTGAGAAGTGCTGCGACGATAGTAAATAGCTACTGAGGCTAGATTGCAAGAGATGGGATGAGATGTAGGTAGGAAGAGAGAAGTCGAGGAGGAAGAGGTAGGAAGGTGGGAGAGATGGAGAGATGAAGAGATGGAGAGATGAAGAGATGGAGAGGTTGAGAAACCATGTGACACCCCAGAGAAGGAGCTCTTTAAATTCATCCAAGCAATACATACAAAAGCAAACATTCACTGTTTTGATTGGTTAAAGGCATATTAGAAGTATTCTTCTGGCTAATTGCAGCCAATCTGCATTCACAAAGAAAGATTGTTTGCTATGCAGCAACCAGTCAATGCATCCATTCCCTGATATACGGAATATAGATTGAATCCAGACAAATTGTCGTAATTTTATTATTCTAGTTATATTTCCAGAAGCCCCAGCAAATAACACCTAGAGTGTTCTCGAACCTTTATATAAAAACACCGTATAGATCCAATTCCAGTCCCTGATTGGTCGACAATCCCCGGAATACGCTAACCCGATTGGGACCAAAGTGGACAACGCGTCTTCCGGAACGCGCCTCTTTTTTCTTTGCGCCTTCAACCCGATCACTCTTACGCCATTTACTACTACTTATCGACTATTCGAATGGAAATGTCGCCGGAACCTGCAGTCGGGAGCGCTGACCGGCAATTACGCAGACGCAATGCCGAAGAACGAGCCCAGCAATGGATGACCAAGGGCGGCTTGGTCCGAGAGGATTCCGACGACGAGCTCGGCGACGAAGACCTCCCATGGGAGTGGGTATACGAGACGAACAATGACGATCACAAGAACACCGAAGAGAATGTCGAAGCGACGCCGTCTCGAAGACGCTCTGCACGACCGGCTGCGAAAAAAGGACCCAAGATTGTCGGCGCACGGATGGGCACGTTCGAATGCAGATTGGGTCAGGTTGTGTTGCTGAAGTCTCCAGAGCCTGGAAAGGACTGGGTCGGGATTATCACACAATTCACCGAGGAAGAAGATGAGGAGGAGGAGGAGATGGTCAAATCAGCCAACATTATGTGGTTTGCCTCGCCGGACGAATTCATGTCGACCAAGAACAAGAGGAGAACGGACGCATTGCCGAATGAACAATACTTGACGGCGGATTTTAATAGTAATCCATTGACATCGGTTAATGGGAAAGCTATGGTGATGTCGAAGGAGGTCTTTTATTCCAAGTATCCGAACGGCGTGGCCCCTAAGGGGAAAGAGGCATGGGCAGACTACAACAAGTGTATAGTCTGTCGACGAGGTGTCAATCAACTGCAGGGGAGATATACAGATGAGTTCAAGTGGGAAGATGTATATCGGGAGGATAAGATTTTTGATCTCATCGACATGATCAAGGATGGATTGAAGACGGCCAAAAAGCGCAAGACGGCCGATGATGATGTGAGTTCTGTTTCAGGTCCATTGGGAATGAGAGTACTAACTGCATCGTGATCAGTACGTTGATATGAAAGACGACGAAAATTTTGAGCCTGCCACTCCGAGGAAGAGACAAAAAACGGCTATTGGTGCCACACCGCAGTCGCGACGGCATAAGACCCTGACCACTCCCAGTAACAAACGGTACGAACAGTCATTGTCTGGTATCCCATGTGCAAAACTGACAAGTTTTGACAGAATCGTCGTCAAAAAGCCCCTCGAATTCACCCCTCTCGGTACTCGTGTCCTTGCGCCTACACATTTCGCGTCTCCGTATCGTCAAGCACGCAACGTCCTCCACGTCTCTACCGTTCCTGAATCACTACCCTGCCGAAAGACCGAATTCGATACTGTCTACAGCCATCTCAGCGGTGCGATTATGGAAGGAACCGGCACCTGTATCTACATTTCAGGAACACCGGGTACCGGAAAGACAGCAACTGTCCGCGAGGTTGTCGCACAGCTCAACACAGCCGTGCTTGCAGAGGAGATGGACGACTTTATATTCGTTGAGATAAACGGAATGAAGGTTACTGACCCTCATCAGTCCTATTCCTTGCTCTGGGAGGCATTGAAGGGTGACCGGGTATCTCCGTCGCATGCGCTTGACCTTCTTGAGAGAGAACTCTCTCACCCGTCCCCTCGACGAGTATCGTGCGTCGTCCTCATGGACGAACTCGATCAATTGGTTACAAAGAACCAATCTGTGATGTACAACTTCTTCAACTGGCCTGCACTCCGACACTCTCGCCTCATCGTCCTGGCCGTCGCAAACACCATGGACCTGCCCGAACGTACACTGAGCAACAAGATCTCCAGTCGTCTGGGCTTGACTCGTATCACATTTCCAGGATACAAACATACAGACCTGATGGAGATCATCACCACACGTCTAAGCAACGTGCCAGGAAACATCGTCGACCCAGACGCCATCCAATTCGCAAGCCGAAAAGTAGCAGCCGTCAGCGGCGACGCCCGACGCGCACTAGACATCTGCCGACGAGCCGTCGAAATCGCAGAACAAGCCTACGAAAGCACAACCGCCAAAGAAAACAACCCCGACATAGACGACACTGAATCCCTTCCCCCAACACCCAGCAAAACCCCCGCAAGAGCCAAGAAACGCCAACTCGCACCTGCCTCACCACAAAAACCCGCTCCAGCAGGCCCAACAAAGAACACAGCCGGCCGCGTCACAATCGCAACCATAAAACAAGCCATCCAAGAAGCAACCTCCACCCCCCTCCAACAATCCCTCCGCACCCTCCCCCTCTCCGCAAAACTCTTCCTCGCTGCGCTCCTCGCCCGCGTGAAACGCACCGGCATCTCCGAATCTACCTTCGGCGACATCCTCGACGAAGCGAAACGCCTCGCCGACGCTGCCGTCGCCGTAGCCGGCGCAGCGGGCGTTGGTATCCGTGAATTCCTCCTCGGTGGTTCCGGTGGTAGCGGCGCGCGCGTGAAGGCTATGGGGTTCGCGGCGATGGAGCTTATGAACTCTGGTATTCTGGCGTTGGAGAATAGTGCTGGGTCCAGGGGGGCGTTGGGAAATAATCTTATTCCGAATCGGGGGGATAGGAGTAGTAAAGTGAGGTTGAGGGTTGCGCCGGAGGATGTTAGGGCTGCGTTTCGGGAGGATGTAGAGGCGAAGGGGTTGGGGTTGGGGACTGAATAAGTGGTTAGGGTGGGATGTGTGTTGATGTATTAATCCATATAGAACTAGATTACTGTAATGATACCCTGTGTTTACTAGGTTTGATATTGCAAGATAGACACAGATGATGAGTATATTAGATTTATTTTCGAACCCGACAACCCAATACCATTGTTAACAAAATACAGAAACGCTAACTCCATGTAGTGCGTAAATAAACCTCTTATTCTACCAAACCAACCACGACTCAAGGGTATAAACGACAGACTAATACCTCTGTCTGCCCAGCGTAGGAGCCCAAGTAACAGGATGCGTCTCCGGCGTCGCCTCCTCATCCTGCTTCCACACCTTAATAGTCTTATCCGCCTCACCAGTAATCAACCGCAGCCCCGTCTTATCAAAAGTCGATGCCATAATTCCAGACTCCGCGTCCAACGAACCAGGCTGCGCCATGGTATCAATGGACTGGAACCGGTGGCCCGTCTTCCAGTCCCAGAAGGACATGGAGCCGTTGTCGCCGCCGGAGAAGAGCACGTTGTCCTCGTTTACGGCGAGGGAGTTGATGACGGCGTTTTGGCCCTCAAAGTTCTGCATGAAGGCCGCTTCTGGGCATTTCCATTGCTTGATGCTGCCTGTGCTGGCACTGGCGAAGGTGAATTCCGTTGGGTGGGTGGTGAGGCCGCGGACGCCCTTTTTGTGGTGGGTTAGGACGCCCATTGATTTGCCGGCGGCGAGGTCCCAGAGTCGGACGGTTGAGTCGAGGGAGCCGGAGATGATTTGTGGGTCGGCTTCTTGACATTTGATGTCCGCGACGGTACCCTTGTGGCCTGTGAGGACGTGGACGTTGCTTCGTGTACGCATGTCCCAGACTCTGGCGACACCGTCCCGGCCACCGGTGACCAGGAGGTCGAGACGGGGATGCAAAGCGAGCGTGTATACACCACTGAGATGACCGTGGTAGTGTCGGATAACCTTGTTCGTTTCCAAATCCCAGCACTTAACCATCTTATCCTCGCCACATGAGAACAGATACGGGTGTCGAGGCGACACAGCCAACCCTCTAACCGTCGAGATATGCCCCGTAAGCGTCAACCGCAGCTGCCCCGTCGCAAGATTCCAAATCTTAATCGTCCGATCACCAGCACCACTAGCAAACCACTCATTATTCGGTTCCACCGCCAAACTCCGCACCCATCCCAGATGTCCCGATATCACACGCATCAACTTCCACGGCGCGTGCCAATCCGGCTTCTGCTGTTTCGTCGCCGACGGCCTCTGAATCAAACTCTTCGGCATATCCTCACCACCAACGCCACCAGCAGTCGGACCGGGGGCCTTCTTCACAAGAGACATCGACGCGCCGCTTCCGTCCACGGGTGCTTGTGCTTGTGCTGTCGTCTTGGGACGCTTAGCTCGCCCGGCGGCGGCGGCCTTGGCTTGCTTCTCGGCGAGAGCCGGCGGTAGCTCCTTTATATCGTTGTATTCTGCTTTTCTGCGATATGAAGTACCGATCGAGCCGCCTGCGACGGAGGGTGTGACCATGAGGTAGTCGGAGCCGAAAAGTTCGGCGGTTCTCTTTGCGGAGGTGCGAACAGCTTCGTCGGCCGTCATGTTCGGGGGTACGATATCCATTTTGTGGATATGAGAATCGAGGTATCGAGTTAAGACGTCGAGGTTCGGAATAGAATCAATCGCCGTTATTCGATCGACCGGACGCAGCTAGACAGGTAGGCGTGTCGCGCCACTCAAACCCTGCGCGAAGGGTTGATAATAACAGACAAAGGTCTCAAAGACCACTTCCCCGCATTCGGATTGATGAAGAGATAAGCCCAGCGAAATAAAGCAATAGGAACGTGGTGGTAACAATTGTGTCGAGTCGGCGCGTTGATGCTGAGTCTTTTCAGTCGAAGTTGGAGCTTTGCTAGTTATGCGGAGGAAATTCACACCTAAGGAAACAAGGCCGCTACATCAGGTGTCGACAGTTTCCCCTCCGATCCGATCAACTCCACGGAGCTCTTATCACCAGTTGACAATCTAACCAGCAAAATGGAGTCTGATCGCAAGGACAAGTTCGCTATACACGAAGCCGCCCGGGAAGGGAACGGTACGTTATCCCCAATAGACACTGATCTTGTATGCTAATTGCTTGCAGTTCAAACCATCGAATCGCTTTTGAGCGTAAGCTCCCCGCATATCTAAACTTCGTCATCGAGCATTGATATGCTGGGTTTCAGATGCTGACTCTTGCGGCTATTAGGCTAATCCCAGGCTCGCAAGAACGAAAGACGACGATGACCGTCTTCCAATCCACTGGGCCGTGTCTTATAATCGGCTTCCTGTCGTGGAGCTACTAGTATCCCAGAAGAACTTCGATCCTGACGTTGAGGTAGCCACCATCCTTTCTCTAGGAGACTAGTTATGGATGAATGCTTACGCCTCGGACAGGATGGATCTGGTTGGACCCCACTCATGATCGCAGCTAGTCTGCGAGACGCCGAAGGAGACCCCATCATCGAACAGCTCCTGCAAAAAGAAGCCGACGTAAACGTCAAAAGCACATCCGGCCAGGTACATTCCATTTACCATCTTATGTAAAATCGTGGCTAACAAGCAACCCAGAATGCCCTCCACTTCGCAACCTCCAAAATCAACATCACAACCGTCCGCCTCCTCCTCACCAACAAATGCAGCGCCAGAGTAAAAGACAAACGCGGCCAACTCCCCCTCCACCGCGCCGCAGCCGTCGGCTCAGTGCCCATTATGAAGATGCTCCTCGAGGAAGGGAAGAGTCCTGTCAACGCGACAGATATGGATGGCTTGACGGCTTTGCATCATGCTGTTGCGGAGGGGCATGGGGATGCGGCTGTTTTCTTGCTTAAGGCTGGGGCGGAGGCTGATAAGAGGGACTCGGAGGGGAAATTGGCGATTGATTTGGTTCCTGATCAGAAGGTTGGTTCTTTTTGTCCTGTTTTTGTTGGGGTGAGAGGCTAATGCGTGACAGGTGCGGGAGTATATCTTGCAGACGGCTGAGAAGGAGGGCGTTGAACTTCCTTAAGTCAGCGTTGATCATTACGGCAGATTAAAAGAGAAACTGCTAGGAAAAAACTGTTTAGATACCCAAGACCACAAGGTCCACGTTTGAATTGTTCGATTAAATTTTTGATAAGAAACTAAAGTATGCTCTACATTCGTACATCAACACATGCCATCGTATAGTCGGAATTAAGCCCCGAAAAGCTATAGCGAAAAGGAAAATATGAAGCTTCTCACTTCATCGTACTATCAACCAACTCCCGATATATCTTCTTAAGATCAGTAATATCAGCCTGCAACTCTTCCACCTGCTCACTCTTCTCCCCCAGCATCTCCAGCGTAGTCAGATACCGCTGGTCCAACTCCTCCATTTGCGTTTGTAAGTCTTGAATACGAGCGTCAGTCTCTTTCTTCTGATCAGTCTCCCGCATCAAATCAACAACTTGCTTCCGGGCCTCGTCGCGCTGAGAGGTGATCCGGGCGAGTTCGTCTTTTGATGCGGCGCGCTCGCTTTCCAGCCGACGAACAGCGGCACTCATGCGTTCCACTAATTGGACGGATGGGCCGGCTCCGACGGTCGATTCGGAGATGATGTCGTTGATACCGCGGGACTGGGCCCCGTAGGCAGACGGCGTACCGAAGCCGCTCATCTCGTCCGGATCTAAGTTGATAGATGGCATTTCTGTGATAGGTTGGTTGTACAGACTGCCTGCAACCGGCGGAGAGAAGAGGCCTTGTGTCGAGGCGGGGAACGAGTTCTGTCGTGGTGGAGTGCCAATGTCTGGTGATGTGATGGGCATCACGGAGGAGCGGCGGCTGGTAGGTCGGGAGTCGGAGAAGGATCCCGGGGGATCGAGGGTCACTGCTTTGCGGTTAAATGTCACGGGGGATTCGTTTCGAGGAGACTGGAAGGCTGGTGCAGGGGGGATGATTTGCTCGCGCCATCTTGCGCGCTCGTCTTCGAGTTTCTGTGTCCATGTAGCTTCGTATGCTTTCTTTTGGTCGGTGAAGTCCTTCTGTGCTGCGGTAAGGCTGTCGGAGGCTTTCTGGAGCTTTTGTTCCAGCTTTTGCATTTCTAGGGTGCGTTCTTCGAGCTGGTTATCCAGGTCGTGCGCTGCTTCTTTGGCATTCTCGAGCTCCTCATCTGCCTTCTTGGCTTTGAGATTCTGCACACAAAATCAGTATATAGATCCAAGTGTCGAGAATAATGGATTGTGCTTACCACTTCCCGGACCTTTCTTCGCAGCTCTCCCTCTCGCTGCGCGACATCATCCCGCTCTCTCTCCAGATTCGCTAACCTCGACAGTAGTGAACCCTCAAGTGTCTGCCAGTTCTCACTGGCGACAGCATACTGCGTCTGCAAGGTTTCGATTTGCCGTAATAACTTGGCCTGGGATTCCCCTGCAGCTCCAGACGAAGCTTCTTCCGCCTTGGTGCGAAGGCTCTCCATCTTGCTTTCCAGAACCGACTGTTCGCCCTTCAGCTCGGTTTCAAGCATCCTGGCCCTTCCTTTCTCTTGGTCGACCTTCTCCTTGAGATCATTGATCTCTCTATTTAACTTCTCTTCATTCAGGTCGTGCTCGGTCTTGGCGTTCGTGAGCTCCTCCTCCAGCTGACTTGTTCGTCGTTTCTCCTGCTCAAGAGCGTCTGACTGAGCCTTGGATTCAGCAGTCTCGGCGCGGGCAACAGCTCGCGCAAGCTGTCCCTTCATTTCTTGAATGGTCTCGTTCAATGCATTCCGTTCGGACTTGACAGCCTCCAGATCCCGAGATGCTTTGGTATGAGAGGCCAGTGAGTCGTTGGCCCTCTTCTCGGCCGCCTCGGCACGCTGGGCCCTAGCCTCAGCATTGGACAGATCTGTTTCCAGCTTTTCTGTCTTCTTCTTTGCCTCCATTTGGCTCTTCGAGTTCTCGATAAGCTGTAGCCGAAGCTTCTTGAGCGCGGTTCTATGATCCATTTCCGACTTTGAAAGCTTCTGTCCTTCTTCAAGCAACAGCGCAATCTTCTCATCTTTCTCTCGAAGCTGTTTTTCAACGCTTCCAGATTCAGCGGATGCCGCTGCCTGTTTGGCAGACTCTGCAGCATCATTTGCCAGATATTTGAGCTTGGATTGCAATGCGTCTATCCGTTCGATATATCCATGCGTCTCCTCCTGCCATTGAGATTCGGCGGCCTTGTGCTCGGCCTGCAATTGTGCGATTGTAGTTTCGTCACCACTGCATCCTTGCGTTGGTATCTCCAGAGAGCTTTCTGTAGCGCTTCGTGCTGTTTCCTTGGACGCACGGGCACTCTGAGGCTCGTCGCTTTCCCGCTTAGTAGCATCATCGATTGACGGTCTGGTATCTGTCGACTCTTCAATTGCAGGCTTATCCGCAGCTGAGGCGACCTCTTTCGCATCTTGCGACGACATAGCGGACTCTTCGCTGCTTCTACCCGGTTTTGGTACAGTCGATGAGGCCTCTGCCTGAGTAGAGCTCTTGGGTTGTTCATCCACATCTACCGCCGGGGAAGCGCGGCCAGAATCAATATCCACGCTTGGACGCACATCGGTACTTGGTCTTGGACTGGCGGCTGGGGACGAGGCTGCGCTGGCGGAAGACTGAGAGGTGCGGTTCCCGGGCGTATTCGATTTGTTGACCATAGCACGAGCAAGGCGTTCCTGGAGACGGTCGTTTTTGCGCGCGCTGGATGAGCTTCGTGAGACTAGTATGAGATACCACCATTAGCCATGCGATGCGACAGGTACCTGAATGGTATAAGCGCCATACCCCCTCCATTCTGTTGTCCCTGGACCTGCGCAGCAGCGTTCTTAGATTGCATCTGCTGTATCTGCTTCTGTTCCTCCTCTTCAGACAGTATCAGATCCAATTTGGATTCTACCCCAGCCACGGCCTGTTGTAGAAACGAGCCGACTTTCCATTTCGGCTTGGAGCCTTGTGGGTTCTGCGCCATGGTGTATGACCGTATCGCTTTGTCCGATTATTCCGTTGTGTTGGTATCTTCTTCCCTGCGAATTGAGGACTCCAGCTACCTTCTCAGCAGCAAGATGTCTATTTTCATTTCATCAAAGGTAGTAGTTGTAGATTCGAATTATGCGAGCTTGTCGTCACCAGGCGGGACAAGGCAGACTCGTAAGAGAAACGAGGGTGTGAAACAACAAGAGCGTCGTCGCCCGTAATTTAAAGAAAACGAACGAAATGAACAGGATTAGCCATTCGAAGATAGCGTGTAGAGAGCGTGCGTGTAATAGTCAAGAGGAATAATCATCGGCCAGGCTTGCGCGTTTTCCGCTCCGGGAGGCTAATCTCTTGGCGTGGGGACTGGGCCGACGGCGGACAACTGAACGTTCCATCATATCAGGGTAACTGTCATTCCTCCGTTGCTTGCTACGGAGTACTCCCCAATCGCAACAGTACAACCTGACAATTTGGAAAAGGACCCGTGTCAACAATGTCGCTGGAACCGCCAACGTATCTCAGTTCCCTGCAGAACAACATCCGCGCCCGTCCTATCCCATGGGAGGGAGCTGTCCGAGCTGGTAACATCACCGACGACCACCTGAAGAAGATCAAGGCCGTGGACAAGGTTCGCAAGGAGCAGCGACGTCAGACTGTTGATGGAGATCTTCAGGGATATGTCAGCTTGTTTGCTGGGGGTGGAGATGGAAAGAGTGTCCTGGACTCGGCGTCGAAGAGGACCGATATTGTACAGTACATCCTGGTGTTGGCGGTGGACTTGATTACCGGTATGATCTTGAATTGATGCATTGTTTGGTTGCTATGGAGGAAGGATACTAAGACAGAGTTCTTTATTGCAGATGCCCCGTCACTCGCTTCTGCGCTGATTGCGCACGCCGACCCCTACAAGCCATTCCTCCCGCTCCTCCGCCATTCTACGAACGCTGAAGATCCCATTCCGCTGCTCACCTCAACATTCCTGACGAACCTCGTGTCTACAAGCTTAGTGTCGTCATCGAAACCCGCTGCCAGAGATGACGAGGCGCTTCCTCAGCTCTACGCTTATCTCTCCACCCTGGTCCGGAATCAAGATAGCGGATTGCAAGACATTGGAGTCCAGGAATACTCTGCATTGCTTCGAACAGCAAGGGCAAGAGAGCTCTTCTGGAACCAGGGAAAGGATACCGTGGAGCCGTTGTTCGAGATCCTCCGTGCCGCCGCTGGAGCAAAGGACAATGGATCAAGCACGGCTGGTGGCAGCAGTGTACGGGCCATTGAGCCCGGTCTTGCCGGTGGTGTTGGGATTCAGCTTCTGTACCGCGTGTTGCTAGTCTTGTGGCAATTAAGTTTCGAAGCTGAACTGGTTGGCGACGATCTCCAATCGTATGTATTCTCCGTGGGAAGAGCATATTCAGTGCTGACAAACGCAGTGATCATGAACTCATCCAACTTTACACACAACTGTTGCGAGTGTCGCCCAAGGAGAAGACAACGCGACTTCTTCTGGCAACCCTTCACAACCTCCTCTCCGAGAACCAAACCACCCTGCTTCCCGTCGCAGCGTTTGTCCGCTTACCCGCCCTCCTAACTAACCTTTCTAGCCGTCACTTGACCGACGAGGATCTCCTCGAGGACCTCAGGTCCCTATCCAGCATGCTCGATGAGTACACCAAGACGCAGACCACATTCGATCAATACGCAGCCGAGTTGCAATCGGGCCACCTCCGTTGGTCGCCGCCGCATCGGAACCCCACATTCTGGAGAGACAATGCGCGTCGGATCTTGGACGAGAGCAACGGCGCCTATCCTAAGAAGCTTGCAGAGATCCTTGCCAAGCCTTGGGACAACGACAAGCAAGTGCTGGCGATCGGGTGCAATGACGTGGGCCAACTGGTGAAGGTGCTGCCAGAGCGGCGGAACCAGCTCGAGAGGTTGGGGCTCAAGACTCGCGTGATGGAACTGATGGCCGACAAAGATGAATCGGTACGGTGGGAGAGTCTGCGAGCCGTCGGGGAATGGCTCCGTTATACCTTTGATAACTAATGTCTTTGCTTTCTGTTTGTGTTCTGGGTTTGTTATGCGTGTGATTTGAAATGAATACTATTCTTTGGTTGCATTTATTATGTGTTGTCCAGCGTATTATGCCTTTGCTTATCTTGATCTGTGTATTTGTGGATAGGGCAACGATGTTTTTCTTTCTAATTAGCCAGTCTGATATATGTTAGAGCATACCTTCAATGGATATCCAATACTCTGTTCTCCAACAGTAGATCCAAAAGTCACTGCCAATCGGCTCTACGTCAGTCCCGCCACCGAGAGGAGAAGCGAACCATATTCTCCAAGCCAATTCCTCGGCACCCGGACGATTGAGTTTCTCATATTTTCTTCATTTTCAGTCTCTCTTTCAACATTGACAACACTATCATTTACCTTATTACTATCCTTGATATATCTATCTCTACGCTCGTTATCTCAAAACCGCGCCCTCCGAACAATTTCTAAAGTCCGCAACCTCCGATCTGCAGTCCCCCGAGAAAAATCCCCGCAAAATACATCTCACTGCAATAAAAGGACGGAGGCTACGGACCACCTATGTCTCGGTCGTTCACGGGATGCAAAAGATGTAAGGCGCGACGTCAAAAATGTGACGAGCAGAGGCCAGTCTGCAGTCGATGTCAGACGGCGGGTGCGCAGTGTCGGTATGCGATGCAGCTGCAATGGGGAGGACGGGCGTTTTCGCGGTCGAGGTTTGGGGCTTGTGTGGGGGATGGGATGCAAAAGTTTGGTTTGTCACACCCTCTATCCTTGGGGATATATGTTGTTGAGTGACGGAGTGCTGACTGCTGGTAGAATACTCCCCCGGGGAATTTATATATACCACCAACGGCAACGCCAACACCATCGTGAAATCGTCACCTACCTCTCCCACAGATAACCACCTCCTAACACGACCGGTCGATCCCTTCTCGTCGCTATCCTCAGAACAAAAATCCCTCCTCCACCACTTCATCCACGATGCCTCCCAAATCACCGCCTGTCACTCAGGAATGCAGACAGATATCTGCAAAATGCTCATACCCATGGCCCTCCAAACCCCCTCCCTCCTCTACGCAACAACAGCCCTCTCCGCGATCCACCTGCAAGCGGTAAACAATCGATCAGAAACGGTCAAGTCAGCGCCCGAAATTGCACGCTTCATGGCCCTCAGCCTGGAACATTTCCGAAACGAATTGCAGAATCCCAGTACGCGGGGGTCAGATGCGCTTCTTGCTACGGCGAGGACGTTGTGTCTTGCGGAGATTCACTCGGGGGCTATTCATCCGAACTCGTGGCGGGCGCATATTGAGGGGGCGAGGGCGTTGATGGGGACGACAGCGGCGCGACAGCGGCAGGGAGGAGGGGGAGAGGCAGAGGGGTTCCGGTGGTATTTGGATCGGTGGTATCGGTCGATTGTGTCGCTTACTGCGTTGACGGGGAATGGGCCGCCGATTGGGGGTGTTACTGATCAGGCTGAGTTGCCTGCGGCGCAGCCTGAGGGTTCTTCGCCGGATTATCTGGATGATTACTGGGGTTTCACTGTGCATTTGTCTGCGATATTCCGGGGGATTGGTGCAGCTGCTTGGAGACGGCATCAGAGCCGGAGTCTCCAAGATGGAAGCGAGGAAGTCAGTGTCCAGAATGAAGCATCGGCTCTGGAATCCTCGGTACACCAATTGATGGACCGGGAAGCCGGGACTGTACCCACGTTCTACCCCGGTATAGTGGAGGGACTATCAGTAGAATCTATTCGAGAATTCATCCTCTGCAACGAAGCATTCCAGCACAGCGCATTGATCCAGATCCGCCGTCGCCTACGAAAAACCCCGACCTCATCATCCGCCGTGCAAGCATCCGTCAAGCGCATCCTTGAATGCACAGCAGAAATCGGTCCATCATCCGGACTGAGTCCGTGGGTGATGTTAACAACACCGTTATTTATCGCTGGATGCGAAGCACGAGGAGACGATCGCGAGAAGGTACGAGGATTACTCGCGTTGCTGCACGATACGATCCGTGTACCGAATGTGCTGCAGTCATTAAAGTTTCTAGAGCAATATTGGACGAATCAGATGGACGAGGAGGAAGACTGGAGTCATTATTTGGATCGGATGAGGTTTGATTTTATCCCGTATTGAACTGGTTTGAATCATGCGTTTGCCATTGTTACGAGCCAGGATGTGCTATGTATGCTATGTATGGTCGTTTGGAGTCTATATTTGGGTTTTACGTGCTATGTATATATTTGGAGTTTTATAGGATAGGCTTACTATGTATATTTGTGTTCTATTATTATCTGCTGGCTTGCGTGCAGTTATATATTCCTAGGGCTGGTCTAGGCCAATATTCTGTTTGAAATATACATATGTGGCCACAGCACAGACCACGGAGTAGATATACAAACTAGGACCATCTCTAGGCCAGTTTACAAGTACTCCGGAGTAAATACAAATACAGAGTACAAATAGCACAGACTGTCAATAACACCGGGACATAAATCCGGATCACACAGTGTGAACAGAACACCTTTGTGTGAAATCACACACTGACATGCATTAGCTATTGCTTTTCCGAGTTTATTTGAAGTGACAGTGACAGGGGATGATACGGAATATACATTGGCTGGACGGAGTGGAAAGTACGGAGCGGAATCTTCAGATAGACAGAAGTACGTACTTTGTCCCGTCCAATATCTCCAGTCCCTTGCAGACCCCTGAGTTTGTTTATCGGGCAAGCAGGTACAGTACAGATACTCTGCAAGTACAAGACTTCATGTCTTAGAACTGAATATTCTGCTCCCTTCCAGTCCATCAATCCATACACATATTGCACTGAAGACATGTGCCCTACGCACTCGATATGTAGCCGTCCCCATAGGGTAAGTACCCCACGACGTTATCAATCTCACGAGTCCGAGCTTCAGTGCAGGGACCCCTGAGCTGTCTGCAGGCCGTGTTGAAGGGCTACTGTAATAGGGATGCTCGGAGGGGACCGAGATCTACACGCGCTGTACAGAGTACTGTGTGCTCTGCGTGCGAGTAGAGTACAGAGTATATACAGGTAGGTGTGTCCATGGGTCAATTGGTTGTACCGTGGTTATGTGAATTCTATCTGGTCTTGGAATTGGTGTTTCCATGGCGTTAATAGTAACTTTGGCTGGTAGTTGTTTGCATTCAAATGTGCTACTATGCTGGAGACCCCCCTGAAATGTGGGTCGGATCGGCGGCAGTAGTAAATGCGGTACAGAGTAGAGGAATATCGTGATGGCAGAGTGTACAGAGTACAGGACAGATAGAATGAGCGGGAGTACAGAGTACAGGTAGAATAGAACATACAAGAAAAAGAGAAGAGATAATACATGTAGAGTCTATACAAACAGATAGTAATACTATACTTGTAGAAGGGAAGTACTGTACTATGGACAGTGCATTAAGTGTAGACCTCCACACTCCGGACCGTCTCCAACTCCTTTTCGGTAGGCTCTTTATCTTCTCTAACTCTAACTACGACACACTCATTCTACTACGTACTCTACTCTCACTTACTCAATACACTTTGGATCATCCTCCCTGACTGCTGACTATCTTTGCCAATCCATGCGCTGCCAATGATTCCCCCAGACGGTCCAGTGCGACCTTCCTCTCCTGTTGTGTCGCTCCAGACTATCACTCCCTCTTCTCCTTCACCAACCTCCTCTCCCTCTTCTAGCTACTCACCACATCCCCCGGTCTCGAGAAAACCCTTACCGGATAATGCTGCTACGTCAGCAGCCTCTTCTTTTCCTTCTGTCTCATATTCTCCCTCTGCTCCAATAACGTCCTCTTCTGCGCCTCTCGCTGCTCCTCCTCCTCCGCCGCCCCCTCCGCCTCCGGGCGAAACGCCGCGCGAATACCCTCATCTTCAACCTCCAATTGCATTTGCTGAAGATCCCTCTCTGGGTCCTCTGTCCCCTGCTTCGCTGGCTTCCTCTGCTTCCTCGTTGGTCGATGAGGACTCCCTTCTTGTGCCAAGGGACCTGGATCGGTACGTTATGTTTGGGTTTCGTTCTTTATCCGCCGGGGCTTTGTCTGCCTCGTGCTTTATTCTGGCCTCTTCTTTTACTTTTCGATATTGATTCTTGTCTTTTCCCTCTCCTTTCTCATCCTAAACTTTATCTACTAGCGACCAATTGCTCATTACTGACGTGTGTGCTCTGGTAGACTCCCCCATCGTGGTCCCTCCACAGACAATACTCCCTCCGCACCCGCTACGGAGCACGACGTTGACTACGGCTCACAATTTTCGAATGGGATCCAATTCCACAGCCGTCTCGTCAGCGAACCCTTCATCCCCGTGCTCCCCTCCCCGCCAGCAGGCCATCACCGCGACCAGCCCGCGATGGCCCTGCACCCGCCCGAAAACAACCGCCCTCCTCCCCTCCGTATAGATTCCGCCGGTGCGCGGAGCTCATCCGCCAACTCCTTCGATTCTAAACAACAACCAAAAACCCCCGGGAGGAAAATTAGCTCCTTCTTTGGCTGGAAAGGCCCCACCTCTCCCGGCGCCGAATCCTCGAGTACAGAAATATCAGACGCGGGCCGGTCCCCGCTTGCTTCACCCATGCCGCCCTCTCTTCCAAGCGCCTCCTTCTCCATCACACCCTCTACCACCGTTCCCCTCGATAACTCCAAACCCGCCCGCAATGGCTCCCTCAGCAGTGCCACGATTCTTGACACCAAGGTCTCCGAGCTGGAAAATGAATTGCGTGAAATCAGCTCCGAGTTGGCAGGCTCCATTCGCCGCGAGATGGAGCTCGAGGATCTCGTCGAGAGACTCCAGTCGGAAATGCCACTCGACGTCACAAATCGGCGCACAAGTGACTACTTCTCCGACTCCGGGACCAGTTCCACCATCCGCTATCCTCATGATTCTGGCCGTTCGGAGGATCTGGAGAAGTTTCGCCGGTCCGCTGAGCAAGAACGCGCACAGCTCAAGGTCGACCTTTCACAGAAATGGCAAGAAGAGCGGTCAAAACGACTGGCTACTGAATCGCATGTCCAGATACTAGAAAGCCAGGTTCAGCAGGTAAGTTTTCGCATTGACTTATCGACGTGAAAGCATCAATGGCTAACTGTCATAGCTTCGCCGTGAAAGAGTCAATCTCTCAGATTTGTCCTCTCGAAACCGCGAGCTGGAAGGTACGGTGGACTCCACTCGTCGAAAGCTTGCCGAGGAGCGACAGATCAAAGACAACTTTGAGGATCTTCTAACCGCCATGCGGGTGGAACTTGAGCAACTCCGGAACGAACGAGACCATCTCCGCGACGAAGTAGTCCCGCAGATCTCAGGTGGCACCCACAAGCCTCCATCGTCGTCGGCTGACCCGTCCGAAATCGAACGTCTGATGGGAGAAATCGAGGCGCTGAAGATCGAAAACGCTTCGTTGGCTCAGCTCCAAAGCGGTCGGTTCGCATCTATCGCCGAAGAGGATGATGGTCGGTCCTCGCGGGGAAGGACCTCGGGCTTGGGTATCAGCATGTCGCGCTCGAACTCGCTCGCTCGCATGCACACCAAGCCTTCCCGGCCCAGTTCGCTCTCCCGGTCGAATTCGTTCTCGGGCAAGGAGCGTGACACTCGCGAGAATTTGGCTGATCGCATGAATGACGTTGAGGCGCAGCGTGATGCGCTCCACCAGACCTTGCGGAACTTGCTTGCGCGCCAATCGGTCCAGGCCCGGGAGTACGAAAAGCGTTCTCGGATGCTGGAGATGGAGCTGGCGCGTGCACAGGAAGCAGGGTCCCCGCGCAGACTGGGTTACGAACGAGACGTCCGTAACCTGCGCGAAGAGGTCAACGACCTCCGTCAACGGGCCGAGGATGCCCTGGAGCAAAAGTGGCAGTGCGAAAAGGGTCTGGCAGGTCTCAAGATGGACCTGGATCGCGCAGAGCAGGAAACTTCTTCGTTGCGCGAGCTGCTGCAGGAGCACGACGTTTCCCTGTTTGAGAATTCGGGAGTAGCGGCCGAAGGACGCGACGGATTTGCCGAAGTCCTGGCGACTACTTCCTCTCTCGAGTCCGCCTATGAGCAATTGCAGGCCGACCGTGACCAGGTTGTCGCCCAGTCGCCAGTGGAGGCGACCGGCGAATTGGCGGAATCGCTCAACCGGACGGAGGCACTGACGACTCATGTGCGGAAGCAGCTGGAGTCCAACAGCACTTTGCGTCGCCGTCTGGCCGAGGCCATTGGCCAGGGTGAGAAGGATCAGCAGGTGTCTGCTGCCCGGATCAACGAGCTGCAATCGCAGCTCAAGTCGCTAGAGGACATGCTCCTGACAGCGCAGCAACTCTCCGAGGAGGAGATGGCCAAGCACGAAGACGAGATCCGTCAGTTGGAAGACAACCACAGCGACCAGCTCCAGCGCATGAAGAACGGATCTCGCAGCCCTGCGGCCCTCTCCCCGCGGCCGCCACAGTCGCCTTTCTTTGGCTCTCGCTCTCCTCGTCTGGATAAGACTACCAGCGGCAATGGAGTTCCATTGACGGAGATTGTCCAGCCGGAGATGCTGGCCAAACGGGTCCGGGAGCTCGAGCGACTCCTGCGCAACGCTGACATGGAGATGGAAGAAGTGGTTGGACGGATGAACCGGGCGCAGATTGATGTGGCTGAGCTGCAGTCGGATAGGTATGTTCCTTTTCCTCGTCTTTATTGTCAAGAATTGACGCTAACGAAAAACAGAGACGAGGCACTCCGTCAAACCCGGAAACTCCAGTCTGAAATCCTGGCCGAGCGCGAGCTGTTCAAGACTCTGTTGAGTCAGTAATTAATCATACCCTCTTGTATCAGCTTTGTATATTTATACCATCACGATGAGTGTCTGGCGTTTTTGGTTGATGATTCAGGGCCCAATTGTGGATATCCAGGCCTGATTGACATAACAATGTGGATGACTACTACTGTATATAGATAATCATAATTGTGCGATGTCTCTTTGATTTGTGCAGAGGTGTACTCTGTACAGAGGTAGTAGATGCATGTGACGGATATAGATAATCCCTTCCGCGGTTTGTTTGTTTTGCATCGACTGCCGCTGATTACTGCCGTACTTTCGGTATTCAACATTCAACGTTCTACAAAGAAACCAAGAAGTCAAGAATGAAAGACTTCTATTAAAAGAAGATAGCTATTCCTGCAAGACAGAGACAGACTCAAAAAACAATCTTCCACATCACACTCCCCAACTACCACATCTACGCAATACAGAGTCATCACTCAACATGGACTTCATACCAGGTACGCTACCCAACCACTTCCCTCTACACAACAAACCTATTCGGATACGATCAAGGTATACTAACAGAAAAACAGAATACCTCCACCCTCTCCTAATCAACAACCCCTTCCTCGCCAACCTAACCACCACCCCCGAAATCCTCACCACACACCTCACAACCGTCCGCACGACCTACCTCGACCCCTACTTCCTAACCCCCCTCTCCTCGCTCCTGACCTCTTCAACGCCGGACCTCGTTTCCGTCTTTCTCTTGCTCCTCATTCTATTCCTCTCGCTGAAGATCCTGGACTATACGCGGCGCATGGTGCTGTTTTGGGTGTGGTTGGTTTTTAGGGTTGTTTTTTGGGGAGTCATACTTGCTGTTGGGTACTGGGTGTATAGTGTGGGTGTTGAGAGGGCGGGGGTTGAGGTTGGAAGGGCTTTGGGGTTGGCGAAGGGGGTTTGGGAGGAGTTTGAGAGGGGGGTTGATGGGGGGGGTGCACCTGGTGGGCAGGGTTTTGGGCAGTATGGGAGGGAGTTATGATCTTGAGGGGCGTGAGGGAGTTTGGAGGAAGTTATAGTCTGTGGACTGCCGTTTGCTACGAGAGCGAAGATTGTGGTTTACGGATAATGGTTGGTTGAGTTGGAAGGAAGGATTGGAATGGTATACTTGACTGCGGTCATGATTATGTTGCTATGTGTTATGCTATGGCTGAGCGGATGCATCTTAGATACATGGGTGTTAATAGCATGGGTATCTTCTTTTCGGAATGGTTTCCTGCGCCGGTCGGTAGCGGTGTGTTTGCTGGGTTTCAGCTGACCGGTGTCCGACGACTGTGACGGCGTGGTGCGAGTGTAACTCGTAGATAAGACATTCTGTTCTCGATTGGTGGTGGTCAGGTTTCTCGGGAAGTCGACGTTACTCATCCCCATCCTCCAGATCGAATTCCTGCTCATCCTTGGGCTCCTTTGGTTCCTGCGCCTCGTGATACTGAATAGCATCATCGATATGGCTCAATATGCCCGCAACACTATCCTCGTCCTGCGCATCTAGCCGTAAGAACGAAACCATACTAAAATCATCAATCAACTGTGCAACGGCCCGATTCAGCTGCTGGAACGACCCCCCGCTCATCAACGCATCCTTCGACAAGGGATCACCCGCCGCGTCCTCGCCGACCTCACCACCCTCACTATCCTGCAGCAACTGCACATCCACATTCGTAAACCTCTTCAACTCCTTGCGCGAGATCATATCGCGCACCTGGTCCATCTTACTCAAGATATTGATATGCGGCATCTCCAGCATCAACATGGACGACATGGCACTCAGCGTGCCCGCGAAGAACTTCGCCTTATCAACCACGAACGTACTCTCGAGCAAATACGTCGCGCAAAGAGAGATATTCAACGGCCCCTGCCTGCTCAGAAACTGCACCAGCGACGGCAACAGCGGCACATGCGTATACAGCTCGATCTGCCCCGGCATGTCGAAGATGATCAAGTACTCCTCGCTGAGCGGGTCCAGCGCCTCTGATAGGAAATCCAGATTTTGTAAAAGGAACTCGAAGCAGTAGATTAGGCCGCCGTTGGGGCCCAGTTCCAGCTCCTCCATTACATCTTCGAGGGTGATGAGTTCGCGGATGTCTAGGTCTGGCTCGTAGGCGAAAGTTTCGGCGGCTGGGTCGAGGTTGACGTAGAAGCAGCTGCGGCGGGTGGTTTGGAGGTGTTGAATTAGGGCACTGCAGAAGGTGCTTTTGCCGGCTCCTGCCGGGCCCATCACTAATGCGCCGAATTTGGACATTATCCCTTGTTTCTTGGACTTTTATAGAATCGATATTGCAGCGTATCTAAGCTCGTGTAAGCTCGGCAAGTAAAAATGCCGCCCACTTTTTCTGCCAGGTCACACCGCCCGGAATCGCGCCATCGTGCATTTTCGGCCCGCATTAATTGAATATCCCGTTCCCCGCCTGGTTTTTCTCCTCTTCCCCTCTCTCTCTCTTCTTTTTCTCTCCTTTTCTCACGCTCGTCTTACTCTCTTTCCCTATCCATATTCTCCTCTCCGTACTCTCTTTCCCGTACATTCGGTCATTCTCAGTCACAATGGGCTCCGTCGCACCCAAGAACAACTTCCTCTTCACCTCCGAGTCGGTGGGTGAGGGTCACCCCGATAAGATGGCGTGCGTATCTGTTCTCTGTCCTCTATACGAACAATTGAGCTGACATTGAGTAGTGACCAGGTGTCCGATGCCATTCTCGACGCCTGCTTAGCTGAGGACCCTCTCTCCAAGGTAGGATTGATCGCTATCAGTAATCTTACATCGGACCAATCAATTAACTGTGCGGCTTCAGGTTGCTTGTGAGACTGCCACCAAGACTGGTAAGTGGTTTATCACTCAATTGCACGTGCATGTACCTTGTGGATCATGTACTGATAAGCGCAGGTATGGTTATGGTTTTCGGTGAAATCACCACCAAGGCCAACCTTGATTACCAGAAAATCATCCGTGGCGCCATCAAGGACATTGGCTTCGACTCCTCCGACAAGGGTTTCGACTACAAGACCTGCAATGTCTTGGTTGCCATTGAGCAGCAGTCTCCTGACATTGCTCAGGGTCTTCACTACGATGAAGCCCTCGAGAAGCTCGGTGCTGGTGACCAGGGTATCATGTTCGGTTATGCTTCCGACGAGACCCCTGAGCTCCTGCCCTTGACCATCTTGCTGTCTCACAAGCTCAACCACGCCATGAAGGAGGCCCGTCTTGACGGCACCATCCCCTGGGTTCTCCCTGACACCAAGACCCAGGTCACCATCGAGTACGCCCACGACAACGGTGCTGTCAAGCCCGTGCGTGTGGACACTGTTGTCATCTCCGCCCAGCACTCTGACGATGTCTCCACCGAGGAGATCCGTGCTACCCTCAAGGAGAAGGTCATCAAGAAGGTCATCCCCAACGAGCTCCTCGATGACCGCACCGTCTACCACTTGCAGCCCTCTGGCCGCTTCGTCATCGGTGGTCCCCAGGGTGACGCCGGTCTGACCGGCCGTAAAATCATCGTCGACACCTACGGTGGCTGGGGTGCTCACGGTGGTGGTGCTTTCTCCGGCAAGGACTACTCCAAGGTCGACCGTTCCGCCGCTTACGTCGCCCGTTGGATCGCCAAGTCTCTCGTCAGCGCTAAGCTCGCTCGTCGTGCCCTTGTCCAGCTCTCGTACGCCATTGGTGTCGCTGACCCTCTCTCGATCTTTGTTGAGACCTACGGTACCTCCGACAAGTCCTCGGAGGAGCTGGTCGACATCATCCGCAACAACTTCGACCTGCGTCCCGGTGTCATTGTCAAGGAGCTTGACCTTGCCAAGCCCATCTACGCCGCGACCGCCAGGAACGGTCACTTCACCAACCAGGAGTTCTCCTGGGAGAAGCCCAAGGCTCTCAAGTTCTAAGCGTGTGCCACTTAATCTGAGTGTGGCCGCGTAAAAAGAACTGTACTTTTTAATACCTGCCATTTTTTTCTTTCTTTCACGAATGTGATGATGTAATTTTTTACGCTTTGTTTTCAACAACTCAAAGCACGGTTATAGACATATAAAAAGCCTTGTCTTGGATTTTATGTTGTCTGTTTTTTGTGAGTTGTATTTTCTTTTGTTTGTTTGCATTGTTATCTTTGCAACGAGATGGGTTTGGCGAAGATGAATTCAACATGATACCACTGGCATTGGATGGGAAGGGATGTTTCGGCGTTTCTAGGAGCGACTGTCTTCAACATGTCTCCTACACATCGTCTATATAGGCGGTACAAGTTAGATATCGGCTGTTGGAAGGTATCTTAGGAGAAGCTGCTAAATTAAACATTAGCATCACTGCAGTTCATCAGTAGTTGGCGCCTCGCAAGTAGTCTTATCATCGTATTGAAGTCCAGTATGGAGTAGCCTAGGACACAATGCACCGTATACACTCTTTGTCCTGATATGCATAGTCGACTGTCTAATTGAAACAATTGGCTACAGTACTGCATCTTTATTCCCGCAGCTTGCGTACATCAACCCCTGGAACTTAGCAGAAGTACCACCCCACCGCGCAAAGATGAGAAGTATACAGCAATTCCAGGCGCAATTACAGTGAAACTGAATAGACATGAATGTCCTCGTAGTACTATATTCTATTCGAGCCCGAGAATTTAGAGTTAAAAAAAATAGCGATGGCGTGCTCAATCAACACCGACAGCATCAACCCCGCGATCAGCGCCCCGCTGTCAGAGGCCACGGTACCGTTGTAGAATTTTATCTCAGGACTCCTGCTGCATTCTCCCTCTCTTCCTTCAACAACCACCACCACAAAAATGGCTACGTATGTCCCCTACCCATATGCAAGCAATGAAGAAGCAAAAGCACTAACAAACCAGAAACATCACCTACCACGCCAGCGCCCTCGCCCGCCAAGAGCGCAGCACCCTGCGCAACCAACGCGGCCTAACAATCTGGCTAACCGGCCTCTCCGCGTCCGGCAAATCCACCATCGCCGTCGAACTCGAGCGCCAACTCCTCCACGACCGCGGCGTCCACGCCTACCGCCTCGACGGCGACAACATCCGTTTCGGCCTCAACAAGGACCTGGGCTTCTCCGAGAAGGACCGCAACGAGAACATCCGCCGCATCGCCGAAGTCGCCAAGCTCTTCGCCGACAGCGCCTCGATCGCAATCACCTCGTTCATCTCGCCCTACAGGATGGACCGGGATACTGCGCGCGCGCTGCACGAGGTGGCCACGCCTGGCGAGGAGAGCGGATTGCCGTTCGTCGAGGTGCATGTTGATGTGCCTGTTGAGGTTGCGGAGAAGAGAGATCCGAAGGGGTTGTATAAGAAGGCGAGGGAGGGGGTGATTAAGGAGTTTACGGGGATTAGTGCGCCGTATGAGGAGCCGTTGAAGCCGGAGGTGCGGATTGTGAATGATGATCAGAAGCCCGTGCAGGAGGCTGTTAGGGAGATTATTGCTTATTTGGATGAGCAGGGGTATTTGCCTAAGAAGGAGTAAGTTTGTACTCTATGAATACTCCGTAGTTAGGTAGATGGATCGTGTGGAATACAACATGTATATATGTTGATTTTTGTACTTCGTAGACTGGCATTGTACGATTAGACACATGCAATTATGCATGCAGCAATAACTCAATTAATTGAGCAAATTGAATGCACTCTGTCTGGGTGGTACTCCGTGCTTTACACGGAGCGGACAAGCTAGAATAGTCTATAATACACAATAACCAGCAAAATTCTCAGATGGCCGCTTAGCTCAATGGTAGAGTGTTGCTCTCCTATGATCACAGATTGTATGGGCTCCAAGCATTGGTTGCGGGTTCGAGTCCCGTGGTGGTCGGCCTTTTTTTGTTTTTTTGACTGACAAATTTATTTATCTTTTTTTTTTTTCTTATTTGGTCCAGCATTGAATAAATGAGGGAGTTTCTTCTATGTACATTATGCTCTGGCAAGACTAATCACCTTCTTCGCCGCATCTTCGAAACTATCGAATGCGTGGAGAGAAAGTCCACTTTCAGCGATCTATACAAGTCAGTATCACACCCTATAACCAACGCAAAGCAGAGAAAACCCCCCAAAAAAACTAAATAAATAAATAAAAATAAGGGGGGCATACCATCCTCTGCCCAGCCTCCTCATTCGTCCCCCTCAACCGAACCACGACAGGAACCTTCAGCCCCAAATCCCGAAACGCAAGTATAATCCCCTCAGCAATCATATCGCACCGCGTCAATCCGCCAAAGATGTTAACGAAGATTGCTTTGACGCGCGGGTCTGAGGTGATTATCTGGAATGAGGATTTGACGGTCTGCGAGGTCGCTTTGCCGCCTGTGTCGAGGAAGTTGGCGCAGGCGCCGCCGTGGATTGTTAGGGCGTCGACGGTGTTCATGGCTAGGCCGGCGCCGTTGACTATTGTTTGTTAGATATATCTTGCTTATGGGGAATGGGTGAGGGTGATGTACCTAGTGTGCCGATGCTCCCTTCGCCGTCGAGTCTGGTGATGGTTAGTTCACACCATTTGTTAGAGAAGGACATGGGAAGGAACGTACTTCACATAAACAATCCCATCCTTCTCAGCAACAACCTCCTCAGGAACCTCCTCCTCCTTATCCCGTAGTTTATGAACCTCCTCTTGCCGTCCGGCACTCCGATGCGCAGCATCATCGAATCCAAACCGCGCATCACATACCTCCAATTTCCCATCCGCAGAAGGATGCACCTTAACCTCTAACGAAAACGCCTCTTTTTCCTGGAAAATCTTCCACAACCCTTGCGCGAGGGTAACTAGTTGAGGATGCGCCGTTTCAGGAAGACCCAGGTTTGAAGCAATTTCTCCGATAACCGAGTTTTGAGTGTTTCTTAGGTCTGTGGTTGTGTATGGGAAGGGGAATTTGCAGGATTTTGCTGGGTCGAAGTCTGGTGTCGGGGAGGCGATGAAGCAGGGTGATAGGGCTGTTCTGTCGACGGTGAGGGAGAGGGAGAATTTGGATTTGGATTCTGATTCGGAGAGTGGTGTCTCGCGGACTGTGAGGGCTTTTTGGTTTAGTATGTCGAGGGCTTGGAAAGGTTTTATGTAGAGCGAGCGGGTCTGGATTTTCTGGGGGTGTGATAGATTGGGACTGGTATGGTGTGTTAGTGTGGTTCGTCTCATGGTATGGAGGCCTCGCTTTTGGTTGATGGCTGAGCTGGGGTTGGCCTGTATTCGTCAGTATATTCTTGTTGATTTGGCAGAGGGATGCATACAGCCACCCTGCGACCCAGAAGAGATCTCATTCCCTCGCCAAACTTCTCCGGGTGATTGACCATGGTCACGCCAACACGTTTCAGAGCCTGATACTTAGCTCTCGCATCAGGCTCACCAGGAGCTGCCCAAGCACCAGCATGACCCATGATGCGTCCAGGAGGAGCTTCCAAGCCACCGATGAGAGCCATTATCGGTCTGCATGCGTTAGTACTGTCATCAGCCAGATCAATAAGCAGTACATACTTATGATTTGCGCAGCGCCGCTGATAATCCTGAATCCACTCCGCAGCATCCATCTCCGCCGTGCCACCAATTTCCCCAACGACAATGATACCCTCTGTGTCAGGATCATTCTCAAAGATCTTCAGGGCATCCACGAAATTCGTCCCCGCTAACACATCACCACCCATACTTATGCACAGGCTCTGTCCCAGACCGGCACGTGTAGTGGAAGCCACCGTTTCATAGCTTAGAGTCCCCGATTTAGCAACAATGCCTACATTACCCGGCGCAAAGCAGGGTAACGGCTGGAACCCTATGCGGCATTTTCCAATGGCCGAGATAATGCCGGGACAGTTTGCACCGACTAGTCTGGTTTTGGATTGTGTTTGGAGCATAGAGTGGATCTACAATATTAGTATACCAATTGCAGATATATATAGAGAAGATGGCCTACCCGCAATATATCATGAATAGGCACATGCTCAGCTACAGCCACGACGAGCGGGATTTCCGCTTCGATGGCTTCTTCGATTGCCTGGGCAGTTTGGTTTCCGGGGACGTAGATGGCCGATGCGTCTGGTTTGGCTTTTTGCTGGGCCTGTTTTCATTAACATGGCACTCTCGCTTAGGTTGTAGACAAGGAGAGTACGTACTGCCCGGACTGACGGGAACACGGGTAGTCCCAGATGCTCGCTTTCAACACCTGGTTTCACGCCCCCGACGATCTTGGTACCCCAGGCTAGGGATTCTTTGACGTTTGCGGTGGCCTGTTATGGTTTAGTATACATTATGGACTGCTCTTCAACTAGGTGGTCATGTACCTGTCTACCTATAATCCATCGTCAGTACAATTACATGCAGTTCATCTGGGCACTTACCTGTAAACCCCTGAAACAAAACCCTCGTATGCGCTCCAATCTTTAAATTAGGAAGGGTATCCGCATAACTGGGCCTCCACGAAGACGTGGAGAAGCGACGGCTTGGCTTCAGTGTATGCCGCAGGGGCATCCGCGCGGGTAATGCATGAAATCCAACCATTACTATTGCTATCCTCTCAGATCAATTGTATCTCATTCAAAACACATCCAGAATCACATTGAGTTGTAGAAGTACTGGCTGTCGGAGACCGGCATCGGAACATCCGCCAACCTCTCCGCACTTCTTTTTCCGAGGCATAACATGAATGGGTGTCTGTATATAGGCGTTATGAACAGTCCCAGTCATCTACTGCTTATGCACATACATTGCTCATCGCGTGGATCGCCAAGAAGGAGAACCAAATATATCCCAATCTCTAGAATTCAAAAATAGAAACAGTAACCAGAAAAATCAATGATTCTGGACGTTCTAGAACGGCTCAACACGAATCGTCATTTAAAACAGAGGCAGACTCCAACTGCGGGCGGGGTTTGGTTTTCTCTCCACTGACGACATTAACTTGTACAGATTGTGCTACTATCGTCCGAGATACAGATACTGAATACAACAGAAATATATATATTGTTGAAATGGCTACTAAATCCACGCCAGTTAAGGGTATGTTAATGGATTACCCTTCACCTACCTTGGCCTGCATCTAACAACCCGAACAGACTCGGAGCTCCAATCCTCCCTCCGCCAACTCTCCCTCAACGACGAAGGTTCTATCAAAGACACCTCTCGCCCAACCCCAACCCAAACCCCAAAGCCAAAACTCCCCGATGTGAAAACAACAAAAAGCAAGGCTGAAGAGGTCGCAGACTCCTGGGAAGACGAAGCCGATTCCGACGCGGACTCCGGACCACCAACCCCCACAGCTCCTACAAGCTCAAGTACCCAGAAAACAACGAAGTTGGATACCGGGTTGGATAACGATAACGACAACGAGAATTACAACGACCAAGAAGGACCCCGCGACCCCCCACCAACCCCAATCTCCCCGCAGATATCACAGCAGCAGCAATCCTGGCCTACCCCAGGCGGACGCGAAGCCCCCGTCACCCCGGCATATGGAAACCCCTCTGGCACATCGCTGCGATCCGCGGGTCCAGCGCGTCGACCCGAGAAACAGACTGCTGTAGCGGGGAGGATGATAGCAGGGGCGTTGGGGATCCGGGCGCCGAAGAGGACGGAGGAGCAGAGGGCTTATGATCGGTCTGTGAAGGAGCAGGAGATTAGGAGGAGGAATCGGGAGAAGGAGGAGGCTGCTAAGGCGAGGGAGGAGGAGGAGAGGGCTAAGGCTGCGGTTTGGGATGGTTGATTTTTTGGTTACAGTTCTTGTATATGTAGTTATGAGAGTGTACTTTAAGTGATTATGTATATTTTGCTTGTGCTTGGGAACTTCTAAGTTTCTGAATCGATGGTCCAGCTATGCGTTGAATTTCCAGAATAGCTAGAGTGTGTCAACTGTTACTGCATATCGCTCTAGAGAACCAGACTTGATGAACGTAAATAGGGCCTCTGACCCGAGTAGAACAGAATCAATCGTAACCCGTAAGCATCTCATTCTTGCACAGTAGCAACCGCTTTAAACAGTGCTTTTGAAGCTAGATAAAAGAGAACAAGAAGAAAGCGAAACCCAACCCTGGCGATGCCTGATTGGACCGAAAAACACCATTGCGCCTGTGTGCTGTGTGGACCAAGACGACACAAAAAAGAGACCATGAACTAGTTAACCACCAATCTGTTCTTGGTGCACCTCCAGAGTGTCGCCGTCGGCCATCTCGAGCTGTAACCACTTGTTAGCCACCGAAAATCACAGAGCCTCAACGCGAGGGATAGTATGGTAGGAACGTACGGTATCCGGCGTGTCTTCGGGGCGCACACGGGTGCCATCGAACAAAAACCGAACGGTGGAAATCTGCTTCCCCTGGCGTTCACAGAACGCATCCATGAGCTTTTTGAGTTGCGTCGACCGCTTGATCTTGAAGAAGACCTCGTTGTTGTTGTCGGTCACTTTGATATTAAGGTGCTCCACGGTAGGAGGCTCGCTGGCAGGGGTTGGGTTGAAATCGCCCTCGGCAGCCATATTTGCGGACGGGTGAGGGATGCGTTTGTGGTATCTATTTGCGTTGAAGAGTTAGTTCCTGGGATCGCACAAGGTCTGTCGCATAGTTTCGCAAAGGGTGATAGGAGCAAGGGAAACGGTGGTACTGGTACTTACGCGTTTTTTAATGTTAGAGCGGCTGACGAGCAGGAGAGATGGGGTAAGGTGTGAGGAGAGGTGTGAGGAGAGAGGAGAGAAGAAGCGCTTAAGATAGCAAAGAAGACGTTGAAGGCAAACGGACCCCACTAAATGAAGAGAGCGGCGGAGAATTGTTTTCGCGGGAGTCGGCATATCATAGTAGAGACAGTATGGACGGAGCATTCATTCAACAACATCAGTGGTACTGTGCTTTATTCTTGTTGAAGTGTTTCAAAAGATACCTTTGACTGTGCTATTTACTGCTTCACTGCAATCTCGCCATTCCCTTCTGAAAACCCCCTATATCGATTCACCTCGACTTATTGCGTCATGGTAAGGACTGGATATAAGTAGCTACGGACAGCGTCACGAACTAACAGCTCCAGGGACTCAAAGAAGATCTGAACTACGATCCTCCATGCCATCCTCGAGCAGTATGTCATGTCCTTGTCCCTCGCAAGTAACCTATATGCTGACAATTGACCAGTGCGCTATCCAAGGTACACCAGCATACACCCAGCATTCCGGACAAACGACACTGACCCTACAGCCTGCCTGACCAAAAACTCGTACCGCGAAGACAAGTGCCAAGCGCAAATCGACGCCTTGTACGAATGTTGTAACGCCTTCTACCAGCAACAAGGCGACGAGGGCAAGACCGTGAGCTGTCCGAAAGCCAACCTGCTGCGATTGAAGATGAAGCAACGGGCGGAGGCACGAGGCTGACCTCTCGTCTATGCGAGAGACGACACTGTAACAATACTGTACATACTACAAACAATCCCCTGTGGATAAATAGATGTAACAATTCCCTTGCAGTCCAACCCCCATGTTGAAAGTAAAGGGCTAGGCTAGTTGTGAGAACTGCCAGATTGCTATAAGACAATCGGAGCACGCAAAGAGGCCTTATAGACCTGAAAGAAGATTGAACTCTTCGTCCCGAGACTCTATTGATTGCCTATGGTTAAGACATTTGTGGAAGAAGAAAGAGAAAAGAAAAAGGGAAAAATTTGCGGCGAAGACTTTTATGTCTCCCCCGATCGGCGCTAGTCTTCATTGGGCTTAGCGGCTCAACCGGACCGACCGCCCTGACGCGCTCCGTTCGCCGGGAAAGGATTATTTGGATTTCTGTCACAACAACCAGGCCGGAGATCAAGGCAGTTGTTCGCTGCTCTCATGGCTCCTTTTGCTGCGACTAGAGGTGCTGGCGGTTCGTCCGCTGGCTTTGCGCCCATTAATGTTAGTTTTGCTGGTGCTATGACAACTGGCGGTAGCTGACGTTTTGTTTCATTTTGCTTTGTCTAGGCTAACCGGGACCCCAATGCCAATGACGCTGAGATCATCGAAATCGACGATGACAGTAACGAAGATGGTGAAGAGGAAGTGACCGAGGAGGACGAAATGGACGAGGATGAGGATGTGCCATACAGTGACGAAATTGAGGGAGAAGAAGAAGAAGAAGAAGAGGAGGAGGAGGAGGAGGAGGAAGAGGAGGAGGACCACTTCGCAGGACAAGCGAATGGGATCAAGTCAAGGGTGAATGGCTATGCGAAGGCTGCTGCTGAGGATTCTCGAGGTTCGTTTTGTATTTGTAAATTGAATTGGAAAACGAGGAAAGCTGATTTGGTTGGCTTAACTGTAGCAGGTGAAACAACTACCCCCGAACTCTTCACCTCTGCTGGCGCACAGCAAGCATTACACCCCCTTCGTCGCACGGCTGATCGCGTAACGCGCCAGATCGAGGCATTCGCGGAGAAGTTGGATCGGTTCAAGCAAAAGGGCAACAGGTCCGATGACTTTGGACGCTTCCAGGCCGCCTACCAACTTGTGAAGAGCTACCAGACGTTTACGCAGGATGCTATTCAAGACATCTCGAAGCAATCTACGTTAAAGCGCGCCAAGATGGGATGGTCCGCTAGTCGAAACGAGACCGCAGCGCAGGACCCCAAGACCGAAGAGGAACTCCAACGACTACAACTGGAAGCGACTACCTGGCAACTCCTTCTCAACCTTATCAGCATCGACAACCCGGCCGGTCATGAAATGGACAAGGAAGCGCAGGAGACGGCATTCCAGAAGCTACACCGATACTCGTCCGATCGCGAAGTCTGGGAGCAATTCCTCACCGCGGATCCCTATGCCCGTGAATGCGTGATCGTCATGAAATGGCTCGAACATACTGCCAAGACTCAGTCTCAGGACATCGATTCGTTGATTGCCGATTTGGAAAAGCAGGCGGAGCGCGGACAAGGCCTGTGGGCACATGGCTGGCTTTACACCAAGGAGGCTATCAAGGGACAGAAGCGACTGCGGGCCTGGCCTCAACCTCTCGAGCCCAATGATCCCGGTATCACGATTTCGCTGCTGCGTTCGGACAAATCGGGGGCGTTGATCACTCAGTTGGATCCTGATGCGATTACGAGACAAAAGAACCTTCTTCAAAAGCAGGATCAATTCCACGAACGAGCTACCTGGATGACTTGCTGGAAGATGGTGAGGCAGGGTGAGAGCTGGACGAAGATCAGGGAATGGGCACAAGAGCGCTTGGAGCATTGGCGAGCGGTTAGTCTGTGTGGTTCCAGTGTCGATAAGGATTCGCATGTTGGAAAGACTCCTGTGGACGACGGCACTACCCGCATGATGAACTTCCGGTCCCATGGTCCCTGGCAGGCTGCCTGCTCAGCCCTCGCGCACAACTCGACCTCGGAGGATTTCGAGCGTGCGGTGTACGCGTTGCTTTGCGGTGAGACGGAGGCGGCCTTCAAGGTCTGCCAAAACTATGACGACTACCTCTATGTTCACTTCAACAGTGTCGTGCTCGGTCGTTACCAAGGATTCTGCAAACAGTTCCAGAGAAAGCTTGCTTTCTCGCCCACTACGCCGGCTGCCTTTTTGCCTGAGCCTGCTAGTTACAATGACACCAGCAAGTTCTTGCAAGCTGCCAAGGGCAATGAGCGGATTGGCGCTGAAGCACGGAACCCTTACCGTACTATTCAAGCAGTGATTCTGGGCCGTGGATACGACAGCTTCTTCCAGCGGTTGGCTTCGGCGGTTTCGCATGTGGCAAATAGCAAGTCTGACGGCTCCAGCTATGTGCCTGAACTGTCATCCATGTCGGTTGATGAGTCGCTATTTATCGCTGCGCAGGATGAGGACTCTTTGAGAATCGCAACACACCTTTACCTTGTTGCGGACTCGATTGGCTATGTCCGCTCCGACACGCAATTCTTCGAAAACGTGTCCGTGAACGTGACTGGATATATCCAGAATTTGGAAGAAAGAGACCTGTTCGACGTCATCCCTCTATATGCATCGCTTCTGCCTCAACACCTGGCGCACTCCGCTCTCGGCCAGATTCTGCTTCAAATCGTGGACCCACGGGAAAGAAAGCAGCAAGTGCGACTTATGGAGAAGCATGAGATCGATATCGAAGCTGTGTTCGAGGACCAGTGGGCGTGGGTTAGTAGCAGCGTCGAGGCAGTCGAACACTCGACGACCGTTAAACGGTACCCCAAGGTCCTGCGGAGGTCTGATGGGTCGCCATATCTGGCACCTGTGCGGAGGGATCTTATTGGAACATCTATCACGGAACTTGATGATTACATGATTCGCAGCCTGGAGTGGCTTCGATACATTGACGGCCAGTGGGGTAAGATTTGCTATCTGGGTGCTCAGTTGTATCGGAGATTTTTCAGTAAGTTTCTTTCGCAGTCTCGGAAGTGGATTATTTGCTAACGTTGATTAGTCTCCGGAAAACTTGCTGCTGCTCGAGAGCTGAGTCGACGCATGAATCTGTCACATCTCTCACAAGAATCGTTTGGATTCGACGTCGCTGAGTTCCCTATAGAAATGGAGGATAGCTCGGACGCGCCTACACCAGAGCCTATGAGTCCGAGTAAGATCAGACTCCCTGGCTCTGCGCATAAGCGGAGTCGGTCGAATGGCGTCACGAATGGTGCCCAGCAAAGCATCTTGTACCAGCAGTCGCAGACGATGCGTAATCTGGAAGCTTTGATTCTCGCGTTTGATGCACTGGAGAACTTTGCCATGTTATGGGAGAAGCTTGACAAGTATGTTTTCCTCCTTTACAGGGCTTACAGTTTACTAATGTGACTAGGAATCGCCGTCGACGGGACACTGGTACGACCAAGAACCTTCGGGTGGAACTGCAGGAAGCACTGGACGAAATCGGGCTGAACGTGGATGCCATTCTCGACGAGTGGCTCATTCCTGCTGATAACGGTATGCACCAAATCTCATTGACAACCCAACATGATGCTAACAAACGTAGAACCAAACGTGTCCGAACTCGAAGAAATCCGCCAAACATACATCCCCGAACTATTCCTCGACTACCACAACGCCCTGTACTACGCCGCGCACGTCCTCTCCGGAGAAATCCTAGTTCAATGCATGAACCTAGGAATGCAAGTATCTGAGAACGAGCATCTAACGCGCAGCTTCATCGGCGCTAAGCGCATGCGGGAACTCGTCGACGCGCTGGCCGTATCCAGCAAGGCGATGGTGAATACGCATTCGGAGCCGGGTAAGAGGTTGCTTGGAGGTGAGATGCTGGGCGTCTGGAATGTGCAGGTTGAGTCGGAGGAGGAGGATGAGATTCGGATGGCGAGGTCATGATATTTGCTTGGATTGGGCGAGGGCTTATTTAGCTAGGGTCGATTTGATCTGGGTGTCGGATGTATATTAGTACTATTATCTTCGTGGGATTTTGCTCATTGGTTTGATAATGGATGCGTGGTCGTGGATTTGTATTTGTATTAGGGCAATCGTCAGTGTTGTCACTCCTTTTCCCTTTAAGGTCATACACTCGTAGTTGACAAAAATGTGTTTTCTCCCCCCTGCTCCATAATTCAATACACCCACTACTACAATAACAATCACAATGGCTGACGCGCCCGCGCGAACACGACTCAACGTTTTATGGGCAGCAGCTAGTCCTCCAAAAGGAAATCAACATCACCGATAACCATGCCACAGGACTCGAAAAATTCAACATAAAGCACACTGTCCAGACGAATTTCGAGGACACCACCGACAACCCACTTTTGTTTCAACCGATGGACCAACAAGAGTTGGATAAATATCCCGTGGATCCTGCGGAAGAAGACGCGAATTGTCGATATCCGGAATATGAAAAGGAAGACAGAATTGATGAGTACATTAGTTGGATCTGTGAGGTCGTCGAACGTTGGGCATGCCTTGGTTCGTTGAGGCCGGGCCTCATTTCTCGTGCGGGTGTGGTTGATTTCGAATATGCTAGGGATTTAGAGGGGCTTTTCTTCCGAGCCGGAGATATAGCGAAGTTAGGGCTCGGTTCCACCCTGGAATAGGTGCTGTTTCGTACGGTCTGGTCGACACGGGAAAAGTTCTGCTAATACTGTATTTGAAGCACATCAAATGTACAATCCGAATTCCACACAAACCAATCCATCACCATGATGTCATCTCAATATAGTCCCTGTATAAAGCAGAGTACACACTCTATACAACACAGTCACCAAAGTGCGCTCCCCCACAAAATGACCAGCCCCATAACAACTTACGGCCTAACCCCCGTCCCCGCTTCCTCCTCCACTCTCCTCACCACCTCCCGCGGCCCACCCCAACACCCAACCGCCCTCCCCATAACCGCTCTCCCAATCCCCTCAACCCCCCTCGCAACCCGCATAAACACCTATGCCCTCTCCAATCTCACTCCACAAACCTACAACCACTCCAGACGGGTATACCACTACGGCCTCGCGATAAAGTACCACCGGTTTCCGGAGTGGGAGTTCTCAGACGAGACGTATTTCTGCGCGTGCATGTTGCATGATATCGGGGCTACGGAGAAGAACTTGACATCTACGAGGTTGAGTTTTGAGTTTGCGGGTGGGATTTTGGCGTTGAGGGTTTTACAGAGTGTTAACCCGGGGACGGAGTTGGATGGTGGTGGTGTAGATGTAGATGGGGATATCGATGCGGAGGAGAGGGTGGATAAAGGGCGGGAAATAGCACCGCAGGATCAAGCGGAGAGTATTGCGGAGGCGATTATGAGACATCAGGATTTGTGCGAGAAGGGGAAAATTACGGCGTTGGGGCAGTTGCTTCAGTTGGCTACTATTCTGGGTACGTCCCCTACACTGTATATTCCTTGTACCAACTGCGGAATTGTTGCTAACTGGGCCGTAGATAACACAGGCGCTCACGAATCCCTCATTTACCCATCTACTATTGAAAAAATTACGGGACACTTTCCCCGGATGAAATGGAGTTCGTGCTTTGCTGCTACGATTCAACGGGAGATCAGTCTTAAGCCTTGGGCGCATAGTACAGTCTTGGGGGAGGAGGAGTTTCCGAAGAAGATATTGGGGAATACACTTATGGCACCGTATGAGTAGCTAAGATGGTTTCGATAGTGTGATAGGATTAATTTGATCTAGTAATGAGTAATAGATCCATGCGACTGGTCCGTAGGCATACGGAGCGAATCAATTTACTGCATACAGGATGCAAGAATGCACGCAGTTACATGAGCCGGAAGTGAGCCTCGAAAGAGATACTTGAATACAGAGGGACATGGAGTAGTGGTAGTACTACCCCGTAATTAGTAGAGAAATCGACCCTCCAGAGGGTGGGTGGAACCGTGCCCTAGCTTTGCGCTGTCTGGTCATATCCATGTCGTTGATAAAAGGGGAAAACAGTCCTATCTTAAAAATCAACATATTGTAGAGATTATACTCAAAGCGCTGCTGATTAATATATGGCCGCAGTCCGTAAAGGGACAATGGCAGGAAGAAGGCGAGTATAAGAACGTCTACAATTGTCATCGTCTCAAGATGACATGAATTATTAGAGATGCCGCAAATGATCTTGCATGATTTTGTATGGGAATGTATCGCCTATCGTATTTTCATGTCGAGGAAAAACAATTCGATGGCCGGTGAACTACAGTGACGACATAAAGACGGGGATAACTAGTTAGTTACTCAAATTTTATTGTACACCTCAAGCTTCAGGCATGCCACATTGCTACTGGATTACTGGATTATTCTTCATGAACTCACAGAAACGGAAAGATCATTTGCTCTGCAACCGTGCCCTAATTCTGCTATATTGGCTGTGTTTTCGACCGGGTTTCTTATATGAACCATGCGACGATGACCATGATAGACCGTAGGATACAATGGTATCGAGCTTGATTTGGCCTGAGACTCGAATGACCAATCCTATTATTAGTTACTTTGGTATGCTAGTTATCCATGGTCCGCTATTAGGGGTAGCATGTGTAGTGAATGAGCCCTACCTGTTAATTGTTTTGAGCCGTCATGGAGAATTTCTTTGTGCCTACCATGTCCAGTCTAAGAGTTACAACCTTTCTTTTACTTCGCTTTCATCTGACCCGTCCCCTGCCTGTTAGTTTCAGTCGTGGTCTGTGTCTTGATTGATTCCTTGACTTCTATATTGCTTTCTTGAGGATTTCTTCTTCTTTTCTTCCGGTTCTCGCATTTTTCTCTGTCTTTTCTCCTCACAAACAATGGCGAGCACGTCGTTTGAGCTTCCCAGAACGACAGCAATGTGGGAGTTAATTGCTACCACACTTGGCTTGGTCAACAAACCTCCTAAGACTCTGCGAGCTTCGCTCTGCCTCAAAACCTTCCAACGAACAGTTTATTTTGTGTTGCACTGTCTGCGCATCCCTTGAGAGCCCCTGAGAGCCAAAGGAATCTCGATCCCACCGCCTTTGGCCTACGCTAAGAGGACTTAGCAGACGCACGGGAGACCCTTGATGCAGATCGTGAATACCGAGGCTATATAAGGCACGTTGAAACTGCTAACTGGCGATCCAAAGGCCTGAATTATTATTTCAGGTCTACAGTGCACCAACACCGGGCGGTCATCAAACCGCATCTGAACGGAAATCGTCCTCTTGCTAAGGATGAAACCTGTGTTAATTTCAGCACGCTACAGTTCCTAAATGCCTATCTGGATTTTGATCTGTCCTTGGACTTATGATGATTGGAGCATAGAAGAAGTCTTACAGCAGAATTTCGTCGTCCTCGCCGAGGGAAGAGGATCCCAGATTTTGTCGACATGACGGACGGACAACTCCAAGGGAAGATCACTCAAGCCATCAAGGTTTTGGTCGAATGCACAATTCCTTGCAGGTTTTTAAACAGGAAGCCAGCCAAATGGTAGCTACTGGACAACGCACCGGTAAGGACAACCCAGCCAAGCATGTGTCTGACAGTTTCTGACTATTACAGACGGGTTTCAGGCTTTGGAAATGCATAAGAGTGGGTACAATACCTGAAGAAACAGGGCTTCAACCCTCGACATAGTTGTTCAAAACTTATGCATGGAATGTTGCTACCAAGTAGTGTACTGCTTCAAGGACAGGTCTATATATCGCTGATTCGACTTGATAAGCCTAATGTACATACAAGCGCGAGTATCAGATCATCAGATCTCTACTTGCCCTAATCTCGTTTTATTTGTCAGAAGCAGCAGCTATGACGTTTGACTGTAGCCCGTGTCTGGCCAAATCGGCTGGCGGTAGGTACCGAGGGCGGCATTATGTCGGACTTAATCGGACTTAAGTCTACTAGATTAAATCCGAGCATCTCATGGTAACCGTTATATAAATGCCCGCTTACGGTCGTAGCGCATCCTGCTCAACAAATTGCAACTTCTCACACCATGGACGTCCTCTATAACCAATTCTTCGAAACCCCTGCATATCCGGTCGCGACTTTCACCGGTCAGACCGTTATCGTCACGGGCTCTAATGTTGGGCTCGGATTGGAAGCAGCGCGGCATTTTGCTCGTCTCGATGCGGCAAAAGTCATTCTTGCGGTTCGCAATGTATCCGCTGGCCAAGAGGCCAAGCAGGACATTGAGGAATCAGCCGGTCGCTCCGATGTATGTGAGGTGTGGGAACTAGATCTTGCTTCTTTCGAGTCCGTGAAGGCTTTCGCAGCGCGCGCCAGCACTCTGCCCCGTCTGGATGTTGTCGTAGAGAATGCCGGCATCGCGACGACCACATACACCAAATCCGAAAGACATGAGCGTACAATCACCGTCAATGTGATCAGCACTTTTCTCCTTGCTCTGTTGCTTCTCCCAAAGCTCAAGGAGACTGCCAAGGAGATTCCATCTTCTACACCCCATATCTCGATCGTGTCGAGCGAGGTGCACTCATGGGCCAAACTAGAGGAATGGAAAGCGGACCGGGTGTTTGACATCCTCAGCGATGAGAAAACCGCCAACATGCGGGAGCGCTACCCAGCATCCAAGTTACTAGAGATCCTAGTTGTCCGTCACATTGCACCAAAACTTGCGGGCTCCGGTGTTATCCTTAACATGCTTAACCCAGGTCTTTGTCATTCATCGCTCCAGCGGGAGAACATGTCCAATGCGTTTGCGAGGGTAGCTATTGGAATTGCCATGAGCATTTTCGCGCGAACCACAGAGGTTGGTAGTCGTACGCTTGTTGCTGCAGCTGCAGCTGGCCCGGACACACATGGGGCGTATATGACGAACGGTAGAGAGGGAAATGCGGCGCTGTCGCCTTTCGTGAAGAGTGAGGATGGCAAGAAGGCACAGGAGAAAATTTGGAACGAATTGAGCGAGATCTTGGAGGGTATTCAACCAGGCATCACGGCTGTGCTTTCTTGAGTTAGCATCACCGTTGGAGGTTCATTTGGGTGGGTACAGACATGAGTATTGTAGAGCTTTCCAAAGACCCTTGCTGACGCTTTGCTCTTACCCAGGGAAAGATTAAAGACTTCTGCAGCAATGAATGTATCCAATCAATTTCACCAAAAGGACCAGCGTCCACTCAGAGACTGAAGAGGAAATGAGTGAATTGGAGGCATATTGACGTGCTTGCCTTAGTCATCTATCTAGTCAATGTTCATAACGTCCTGCTTATTTTGACAACATCTCTTCTTTCTCAATGACTTTCCCTCTCCAGACTTCCATTTTATTTGACTGGGGCCTTCGACTTTCTCAGTTCGAAAACACCGAAATTTGCCGAATGCTACCAACGTCGAACCAATCCAAATCCATCCACAGTTCGGACAGCCGGACCCAACCAGACCACCAGGAGGCATCAAGGTCTCTCAGAAGCAAAATATCATGATGTCTCGTTTGTCTGCCCCAATATGTGCCCCTGTCTGGCGATCTCCAATGAGTGCATGGCGTACAGGTGGCTGGCCCTCACCAGAGCTGAACCCAGGGGCCAGAGGAGACGAGTGCCCCGTACAGCTATTCGATTCTGAACATCCCATGGGCATCTATCATGCTCCGCAGAAGGCCAACCCTGGCTATTTTCGGACAGGACCCGGCCGCGACAGTCACGTCGAGAACTGTGTACGAGTTTCTGACGATCTCTCGAATCTGGTTAGGGAAGATCTGTTGCCTATCGCCATTGAGTGATGGACACTACGTTCTCCGCGGACTTGAGGCTGTCAATGAAAGATCGGCGATACAAACAACGAATTGATATGTCAAATCTACCCCAATGAGTTACGACTTGAACCGTGAAGCAAACAATACGGACATGATCTTATGCTGAATTTGGTCTTCTGGTATTGGAATGAACGACCTATCTACTTTTGGTTTATGACAATTAGACAATCAAGCATTGGAGCGGTACAGTTCTGAAATTACCCAGACCCATAGCCACAAACTGTCCAACACATTCCCATCTAGCCTTCTTGTGAGTCACTGAAACTATTGGCGCTGCCCTGGTGCTAATGTATACAGTACATCGACGCTATAGTTACTCGAAAAGGCTGCCTGTTGGGTTGCCTAACTTGCGGACGAAGAGCAACTACTAAATTTGGCATTCCGGTGCCATCGTGATGGGAATCTACAAGCGAATTCGGGAAAGAATCCCGTACTTTGAGGTGGGGTGCTGAACCCGCGGAATGGCTTGGCGAGAGTAGCCTGCGCTAGCCATCTGGTTCATGGCGACCAATTGGCGTCATTCCTTTCAACTTTGTAATGGGCTAGACAACTTTACAGCGTGTTTTTGAGGGACGGTGAACGTGATGAACTGAGAATTGAAGGCTGATCGATCGCCTTCTACCACTCTCTACCACTCTCTACTACTTTAGTATGTCGATGCTATATGCAGGAGAAGCACACCGCATTATCTTGGTTTAATTCCGTTGGAACGTACCACCCTGGTGTGTCTGAAGACCTCAGCTCCGCTACGTTGCCTATCACATTGAAATCCCGCGTCAGGGACTCTGCAGACTGGGACATTGTTCCGCCGTCAATACGAGGGATCTACAACATATCTGCACCAATCGAAGTAAGCGTTCCTTAGCGCCAAGAGATGCAGGGCCATTTCTAGCCTTAACTGAACATTTCATAGTGTCATGAAATCGGACCCAATCTATACAACGATCATCCTTCGCATGCCACTATCTTCGTATCTGGCGATGATCGAAATAGAAACACGAACTTAGCGTTTTGTCCGAAGTCTGATTGAGACTTCACACTCTGCGCCTGTACTTTGTACCCTACATATTTCACGGGATAGGGAGGACAGGGACATCGAGATTCGAATATAAATACCCCCATCGTGTCCGTCTTCATCGACAACCATCCTCAGTTCCAATCCTCAAAAAAAAAAAACCAGAACTTCAAACAACAAATCCTCCACTTCTTCTCTTCCTACAAGCAAAATGCAGCTCTCCACCATTCTCACCTTCACCGTCGCCCTCCTGGCTGGCCACGCCCTCGCCAGCCCCGAGCTCCAGAAGCGCACCACCTGCCAGGCCTGCAGCGTCGCCGGCGTTGAGGGTGGCGCTGCCTGCTGCTCTGCCCACGTATGTTTTCACCGCCACGAGCACGTTGATGGACGTATACTGACTGATGTGAATAGTGCATTTCCCAGGGTAACATCCACGGTGGTCACTGCGATAGCGAGGAGTATGCTTCCTTTTCTTTCTCCACTTTCTGCTGAGTCAATACGGAATTACTAACTTTATTATAGTTACTGCATCTGCAACTAGATGCCTGATTGGTAAATTGATGAATAGGCAACCCGGAGGTGGATCTTGAATGGTGGATGTCTATTGCTATGTTGGAATTTGTATCTACTATGGAATGATACATTTACACAGGTCTTTGTCCAGACTTGACAGCGTAGTTGCGGTAATTAGAAGAAAACTTTCAATAGGCCGAACCGTATAATGACGAAGCATTGATGTCTCTTCGTAGTTCTTATTCGCACACTTCAATCGGAGTATGCCTAAGGTTCATCCGCTCCCCAACGCCCCTCATCACTTGGTGAAACTATTTCTCATCGCACCTTTCTTCTTCTGCTAGAGCCCTTTTCTAAATTGTCACAATAATGTCCTCTACCAACTCATACGAAGCCGCCTAGACATACGATACAACCAGCTCGCAAGCACAGAAAAAGCCCCCGTCGCCGACGATGGCTATCATACCAACAACCAAAGCGCGCTCAACATCCTCCACATACCGCAATTCGATTTCGAGCATCTGGACGTTGAAACAAACCCACAAATCCTGTTCAAGCCCATGCCTCTGAGCGAACTACAGAAGTACCCTGTGGATCCCGATGAGATGGACGAGGGTCGTAGTTTTATGATCTACCAAGATAGACCTGATTATTTGCACTGGAATGCAAAGGCATGCGCGATGCGTGTCTGTGACTGTGTGGAGGATTGGGCGACTGGTAGTGCAAGGGGGATTCCGGATCTTTTGGAGATTAGAGGACTGCAAGAAGATAGGTTAGTTGGTTTGGTGTCTACAGTCAGATTGAACCTTGTTTCAACTGCTAGCTGCGTGCTGTCTTAGAATGCCGAACCTCTTCCTACTCAACCACATCTAATATGGCTGTTACCCGGACACTAGCATCAGATATTCACATTGCACGATTCTCGAAACAGAGAGAGACAATTCCCAGAATGCGCATCCCTTCGTGGTAATATCAGGGTACCAACCCTGCAACGGCAAAGAAAACCACATCCTCTACGGTGAACTGGCACTGTGAGTCACCGTCATGCAAAACCGCGCAAAACAGCCCACAGCAAAAGATGAATAAGAGGCAGAAGAGCTCTTTAACATGATCCAGAAACTGTGGCTCCGCTATCATGATGGGCGTCGGTTCCTGATCGAGAAGCATTTTCCTGTTCTGTTGCTTTCTTTCGTTTGTTGGTCCGCAGCATGGGAGGATGTTTTATGCTTGTATGGACGAGGAACAGATGATTATTAGGCAGTCTAGGTTGCAAAGTTTTGAGCATGAGGGGAGTGCCCCGCTTGATTTGTTTGCGAGGTTTCTTTTGAGTCTCCCGATATCAGAGAACGTAGAACCACGGAATAAACGTTTACATACCGCACGAAGAGTACCAAATCCCCATCATCACAGGCTATCAAGGCAAATCCGACTCCGAAATCTGCAACGTCCCTCGAGAATTCCTTTCCAAGATAGATTCGGGGGTAAAACTATCCAAGAACTGGACCGCAGTGCTGGATGGGGATTCTGTTTCCCAGTCGGCGGTGGTCATGCACTACGCTTACCCGAAAGAAACTTGGGATCTCAGCTATAGTGAGCAGGGTATACCAGGGACAGGGGAGGTTTCCGATTAAGGATGTTTGGGGGTTTTGGTGTGCGTTTGGGAGTGTTTATGGGGCTGTTGAGTTATTTTCGAGGGAGGAGTATTTGGGCGATGATGGGATTTTGAGGACGGAGGAGCCTGTGGAGGGGAAGGGTAGGGATCAGAGGGGGGCGTTTTGATGTATCATACGAGGCAATGTTGGAGGTTGTATATGTATTAACTGTGCTCTACTTTGTACGGAATACCCTGTGATTGAATGCTACTTATTCATGACATTTGACTCGGAGCAAACTCGTAGTATGATCAACATCAGATATATATCGAAAGTCAAGTTCGATTTTGACTACAGATTACAAAGTACAGCGTGCTCTAGCTAGCTACTCCGTAATCAAAGTAACGTACTCTCAGACTTTTGGACAGATTGTTCGTTCTTAGGGGCAGCCAACCCAGACGCAGCCTCCACATCCCGGTGTGTGATTCGTCTTTAGTAGCCTCTGGATGCGGGATCTTATAACGAGCATAAACTGACTGACGTGTTGCTTAACTGTCCATGTCTTTGCTTATGCTTGTGCATATGGGCTGTGTTCACAAGTGGTCTGGTCATCTGGACCAAGTTCAAGCGTCGAGGACGATATCTACGGGATTCTCTCCCTCTCCATGGCAGTGGAGAGATGTACAATCACGACTGCTAGTTAATACTTACCATTTTAGTAATGCCACCACGCGCATTACTTGCCACATAACTGGGTAGTCCTTGCACGTAATGCCTGCTACATATTGATTAGGCCTGCAATGCCTGCAATAACGAGAGACCAACATAGCCACAAAAAAATACAAGACCTATGACGCTCCTTGTATGTGCTTGCCGGCTGTACGGAATGCCATCTTCCGTCCTCCCGATCCCCGCCATGTAATTCATACCAGGGGTAGAAGCAAGAAGCCTTGATATTGCTCCTTTGCTATGAACTACTGGCAGCGAGGATCCATCAATGATATAAACACGGGATCGGGCATACAACACCCTTGCACCGGACAGCACTGCAGGAAATGCATAGAGCTCAATGAAGGTATTTACATATTCTCCGCATGCTTATCAGTAGCCAAGTTTTTCTTGATTGAGTTAATGATACCATGACAGGTCCTCATCCAGGGTGGCTTAGACTGATGTACAGAGTACTCTGAGTACAATGGAGTGGTACTCTCGATGTTGATGCTCTGGTATTTGCCAGCATAAAGTGCATTCGGAGTACAAATACTCAATGTAACCCGAACAAATTAAAGTTCAGTGGGTCCCGCTAGTGGTGGCTGTGTAGATCGGCGCTTATGTAACGATGTGTCAATGCAGAAGCATATTTCAGTGTACTACAGAGTATGTGCTAGAGTACGGAGTACAAGTAGGAACTGAACTGAATACAGAATTATACAGAGTAGTTACTCCACACAGAGAATAGTAAGCGGAGAATGACAGATGATGTCTCATTTTAAATCAAGAAATATAAGTGATGGTTTAATAATAAAAAATGGAAGAAAAAGGAGGCATTGAGGCAGTGCAAGCGCCAAGCATCAAACATCAAACATCAAACCCGGGTTGGGCAGGTCGCCGGAACTGGTTGGAACTGTGCGTATTCGTCACCTTTTAATATCCAGCGCGTAGCTCCCTAATCTCACTACAGAGTAAACAAGTAATGTTAGAAGAGATTTAACGAGATGTTTATATTGGAGTCCAAACTAAGCAATTGTGTAGTATTGTAAGCTGTAAAACCGTTACCCATATGTGGTCTGGACTACTTATGTGGGGCATATGTGGCTCGGGAATATATGTGATTGGCGGAATAGCAAACAGGGTCTGTTACAGATGGTAATGGAATTACATGATTGACTTCAGAAACCGTCACAATTTGCTTTCTCTCCTCTCTCTCTCGGTCTGAGCTACTCCCATAGCTTCACTTTTTACTCTACCTTATTGTCCTTTTGTCGGTGTGTTTTGGGCAGGTTAAACCCCCGGAGATCTTCTGTCTGACTTTGCTAGACTCCCCGCCGTCGATTCCTTGTTCTCACAGTCCAGGGTTCGTTGCAGTCCAGCGCACACGATCTCGCCCAACAATCCTCCTCACTTTCCTCTTTGAACCCGACGAACAACGAAACGCGCTGTTCGTCTGAATCGCTGCTCTGTGCGTCGACTACTATTCACCAGTGCTTCTCATTCAACGCTCGATTCAGTTGCCGCCTTTCAGCGCTTCATCGACGTGGGTCGTTTTAAAAACCAGCGTCATTCCCCGGCCAGCTGGCTTCCGTTCCCGTTTCTTTTCAACGCTCTCCCCAGTCACCACACAATAGGCAATTTCTGAATTTTTGGTGCTTGGACGATCTATGCCGACTTCCGGTTGTCTAAATATTATTACTCCGGTTGTGCGGACTGCGATGGCCAGGTAAAAGGGAAACGCCGTCCATATACGAAAACGCTACCTTGCCATATGGAATACCTGCCTGAGGACGACATCCTTTGCTAACCATCGACTGTGATACGGCCAATTCGATCGAATATATACCCTATGACAGGCCGTTCGACTACCTGATTCGTTGGATACTCTCCCGGGAACCCGCCGCATTCTTAACCTGATATCACTTATCCCTTCCGCTCCCGTTTAGTCCTCCTCCTTCCCTTTCCTGGAAGAGTCATCCTTTGGTCGATCATGTCCGATTCCTCAAATTCCAACCCAGACCCGGAGGATTCCAGACAACCCACTCCCATGCGCCGGGAACGGGCCCCGACCATCACCATCGACACCTCCGCCGTAACCCCAGACAGCCCTCAACCTCCGCAGGTTCAACCAAGTGCGCCTCAGCCATCCTTGCGAGTGTCGGCGGGTAATGTAGACAATTCCGACACCAGTGCGCTTTTGAACAACGGCAGTGTTTCTCCTTCGGATGGCCCGCCATCGTCCATTCGCTCGTTCACCTCGTCCGAACCGCGAGAGCACGATAGCCGTCCAACGTCTCCCCACAACTTTTCCTCGCCAGCCTCCAAGATGACGGAAAGCATGCAGCACTCGAACTACCTGGCTGTCCCCGGTGCCAGGTCCCGCGGCAACTCCATTGAGTCTGAGGACACCAGTCCCTCTTCCAGCTCGTACGGTGGGGACACCTATGTCCCCGATCGATCCCAGAACTCCCGCTCCGATCTGACCAAGGATACCCTCGAGAGCGATGAAGACGCCCTTAAGCCTGAACCCGGCCACGAAGGCGAATTTGAGGTGGACGATAACAGCTTTGCCTTTTCACCGGGCCAGCTAAACAAGCTGCTGAACCCCAAGAACCTTGGCGCTTTTCACGCTGTGGGTGGGTTGCGTGGTCTCGAAAAGGGTTTGCGCACTGACCTGGCTAGCGGACTGAGCGTGGACGAATCGACTTTGGAAGGGACGGTGAATTTCGAAGAGGCGACGGCTGCGGCGCTGGCTGACTCTCCAACATCGTTGCCCAAATCGGGTGTTCAGGTCCAGCAGCAGCAAGTTTCCAGACCTGGGTCATCCAAGTCAAGTGACGAGTCGTACGCGGAGCGTAAGCGCGTCTACGGGCCCAACAGACTTCCCGAGAGAAAAGTGAAAAGTATCTTCGAACTGGCATGGATTGCGTACAACGACAAGGTCTTGATTCTGCTGACTATTGCCGCTATCATTTCGCTTGCACTTGGTATTTACCAGTCGATCACTGCTACTGACGGCGAGGCACGAGTGCAATGGGTCGAGGGTGTGGCTATCATCGTCGCCATTCTGATTGTGGTTATTGTTGGTGCGGCCAATGACTGGCAAAAGGAACGCCAGTTCGTGAAATTGAACAAGAAGAAGGATGATCGCTATGTTAGAGTGAGCCGGTCCGGAAAGACGGTGGAGATCTCCGTCTTCGATGTCCAGGTGGGTGAAGTTATGCACCTGGAGCCAGGTGACTTGATTCCCGTTGATGGCATCTTTATCGGTGGTCACAATGTCAAGTGTGACGAGTCGTCTGCAACGGGTGAATCAGATCTACTGCACAAGACCAGCGGTAACGATGTCTATCGTGCGATTGAGGATAATGAGAGTCTCAAGAAGATGGATCCGTTTATCATCTCTGGTTCCAAGGTGTCTGAAGGTGTTGGTGCTTTCCTCGTGACTGCTGTCGGTGTTCATTCGAGCTACGGAAAGACGATGATGTCTCTCCAAGACGAGGGTCAGACTACGCCTTTGCAATCCAAGCTTAACGTGCTTGCGGAATACATCGCCAAACTCGGTCTGGCATCGGGTTTACTGTTGTTCGTCGTTCTTTTCATCAAGTTCCTTACTCAGTTGAAGGACTATGAAACTGCCGACGATAAGGGTCAAGCTTTCCTGCGGATCTTCATCGTTGCTGTGACGGTTGTTGTTGTCGCTGTGCCCGAAGGCTTGCCTCTGGCTGTCACTTTGGCACTGGCTTTTGCTACGACACGTATGTTGAAGGATAACAACCTGGTCCGTCTGCTGCGGGCTTGTGAGACCATGGGTAATGCGACGACCATTTGCTCTGATAAGACAGGAACGCTCACGGAGAACAAAATGTCCGCCGTTTCAGCTACTTTGGGAACCAAGTTGAAGTTTGGAGAAAAGTCTCAGAAGGATGGACTGAGCGCCGACAATGCAGACAACGATCAGCAGAGCTCGAGTGGATTGCCCAATGACATGTCGCCTTCGGAATTTGCGTCTAGCATTTCCGCTCCCGCCAAGGACCTTCTGCTTCAGTCCATCGTGTTCAACTCTACTGCTTTCGAGGGTGATCACGAAGATGGAGGAACGACTTTTATCGGATCCAAGACGGAAACTGCTTTGCTTGGATTTGCGCGGACGTATCTTGGCATGGGGCCATTGGGTGAGGCAAGGTCTAACGCGACAATTGTCCAAATGGTCCCGTTCGATTCGAATCGCAAATGCATGGCCGTGATAATCAAGCTGGGTGATGGAAAGTATCGGATGTTGGTCAAGGGTGCGTCGGAAGTTTTGGCGTCCAAGGCAACTCGTATCGTCCGTGATCCGACAAGAGACATTGCCGAAGCGCCCATGTCCGAGGATGATCGCTCGACCTTGGACAATATCATGATGAAATACGCCTCTCGTTCGCTGCGACCCATCGGAATGCTGTACCGTGACTACGAACAGTGGCCACCCCGCGGGGCGCCAATGGAGGAAGACCGCAAGACCGTTAACTTCGACCAGATCTTCAAGGACATGACCATGTTTGGCGTCTTTGGTATCCAGGACCCTCTACGTCCTGGTGTTGCAGAGGCTGTGCACCAATGTCAGAAGGCTGGTGTTTTCGTGCGAATGGTTACTGGTGACAACCTCATGACCGCTAAGGCTATCGCCCAGGAGTGTGGAATTTTCACCGCGGGAGGTATCGCAATCGAAGGTCCCAAGTTCCGCCAACTTAGCACCCGTCAAATGAACCAGATCATTCCCCGTTTACAGGTCGTCGCCCGATCTAGTCCCGATGACAAGAAGATTTTGGTTTCCCGGCTCAAGGCTCTTGGTGAGACCGTTGCTGTTACGGGTGATGGTACCAATGATGCTCAGGCATTGAAGACGGCTGATGTTGGTTTCTCGATGGGTATCACCGGAACGGAAGTGGCCAAGGAGGCGTCTGATATTATTCTGATGGACGATAACTTCGCTTCGATTGTCAAGGCTATATCTTGGGGTCGTACTGTCAATGATGCCGTGAAGAAGTTCTTGCAGGTATGGATTTCTCTCCGAATCTCGTTTTGTTCTAACGCTGACATATTTTGTAGTTCCAACTTACGGTCAACATCACTGCTGTCCTTCTCACGTTTATCTCTGCAGTCGCTAATAAGAAAGAGGAATCTGTTCTTACGGCCGTGCAGCTGTTGTGGGTTAACCTGATTATGGATACCTTCGCTGCTCTTGCATTGGCAACCGATCCCCCGTCTCCCCATCTGCTCAATCGCAGGCCCGAACCGAAGTCCGCGCCCCTCATCAGTCTATCGATGTGGAAGATGATGATTGGACAAAGTATCTATCAACTGGTTGTCACGCTTGTTTTGAACTTTGCTGGAAAGTCAATCTTTGGCCATACGACCGAACACGAAGCGGACCAGCGCGAAACCGTGGTGTTCAATACTTTTGTCTGGATGCAGATCTTCAACCAGTGGAACTCTCGTCGCATTGATAACGGTTTCAACATCTTTGATGGCATTTTCCGCAACAGGTGGTTTATGGCTATTCAGTTGATTATCGTCGGTGGTCAGGTTTTAATTATCTTCGTTGGTGGACAAGCCTTTTCGGTTCAGCGTCTCAATGGTCCCCAGTGGGGTGTTTCGCTTGTTCTGGGTGTGATATCTCTGCCGGTTGCCGTCATTATCAGGTTAATCCCGGATGAGTTCGTTGGCAGATTGATTCCGACATTCTGGCGCCGGAGGAAGGGTCCCGAGCTCATGATCTCCGATACTGAAGACCAGAGACGATTCCAGTGGAATCCAGCCTTGGAGGAAATCCGCGACCAGCTGAAGTTCATCAAGACACTCCGCGGAGGTCGCTTACATCACCTGAAACACAAGCTCCAACACCCGCAAGAACTGCTCCCTCGCTCCCGCAGCGGTTCACGATCTCGCGAAGACTCACCCCCTTCAACCCCCAGCGGCGAAAGCGGTAACGGCTCACAGTCTCCCCAACCACCGCCCAGCCCTGACTCCCGCTCTCGCCGCCGAACCCGCTCCCGCTCCAGTTCTGCCTTCGGCCCGGCCGCTGCCATGGCTGGTGTTGTTGCAGGTAGTATCGCTGGTTGGTCGCCCATCGAGCGCCCACCCGAGGAAACCGAGGCCATCAAGCTTTCCGCCGATGCGCCGCATCGCGGATTGGACCAGCAGCAGGGCATTGAGATCCACCCCGAGACTGCGGCGGATGACCAGGTCGTGGAGGAATATAACGCTACTTCGACTACACCACCTAGTCAGAACCCGGATCTGATTCCGTTCTTTGAACATGCACCACCTGCACGTGCACCGTCCAGTCGGAGCAACAGGTCGCGGTCGAGATCTAGCCAAGGCTAGACTCACTGTTATAGTGTACCATTAAATATTTCCTTCTCTGTCAGATATTTTCCCTTCTTACCCTCTTTTACTTGCTCCATCTTTGCTCGTGGCCAGACCAGCTACCACTATGTTTTATAATCGCTTTCCATTTTTTCACGGGTTCACAGGACAGGACAGGCGTTTTCACTTGTGAAAAGTCCATGTACTCTTTTATTTGTCTTTTTTTTAAACTATTGTTTGCTGTTGCTGTTGCTGTTGCTGTTGCTGTTGCTGTTGCTGTTGCTGTTGCTGTTGCTGTTGCTGTTGCTGTTGCTGTTGCTGTTGCTGTTGCTGTTGCTGTTGCTGTTGATATAGACACTCCTTTGCATTGGGTTGGGTTGGCTGGCGTTTTATACACTTTGTTGATACTTAATCAGACTTGGTATGCTGTGTCATTGTCCGGCGTGTATGTTATGGGCAGAATTATCGCTTGTTCTTAGGGTAATGGAGCATATATAATATTTACTTTGAAACCAATGCTTCTCTATGCATCGCCATCCCTAACTGGCAATCACCAAAATATAATTACACCCTACAATGAGCGCGCCAAGGCGGCGAAATTGCACTCACCCGCCTGCATCCGGGGTTGGGTTGCGACACGAGATCGTAGCGTATAACCACCGCTTCGGTCTCGAGGGATGTCTGGACTTCGTAGTCGGAGATGTAGAAGCCGTAGATTGTTAGGATCTCGTTGACGCAGATGTCTTCTTTGTGGGAGCCCCAGGTTGAGAAGATTTGGGGGAGGAGGGAGGGGCCGTAGATTGAGGTTATTGTTTTGGTGCCGCGGGTGTAGAGGGCTTGCGGGTTTAGGGTTTGGGGGTTCCTTGTGGTGTTAGTATGGTGGTTTTACTGTAGGTGTGAGAGGAGAGATACGTGCCATTTTTCATTTAGTACGCTCGCATTTGATTTACCCTCGACGTCCCCCTCTGCCTTGGCTAATGGACCCAATACGCAGAGTACCCGCGGCGCACCAACGAGGGTAATCAGTTTGAGAAGAATATCTCGGAAACAAACTGAGATGCGAGACTTTTTGCTCTTCTGATTGGAACTCTGGATATTCGTTTGTATGGTGGGTGTAGAATGAGGCGAGAAGCTCGGTGTCGGGGAAGTTTGCTAGGGTTGCGGCCTGGTGGTGATGTTGATATGATAGAGAGAGATGGCGATGATACTTACTGTGATCCCATACCCAGGCATCTTTGCTGATTGCATCAGGGACGAGAGCTCGTACCGTTTGGCAGCGGTTTGTCCAGTCTTGGGTTGTTTTCGTAGACGCTGACATTGTGCAGGCGAGGATAAACAATGCTTGTTAGAATTCAGCAAAGAAACAATGCATTTCGGCATCCTGGTGGCTACTATCAACTTATACCACGCCAGGATGACTTAAATCTGCAACGGAGAGCGGAGTTAAGCAGGTTCCGCTCATGTATAACCTCTTATATTCCCGCACGGAATCCACAACACAACCTTTACTCTCACACAAACCGTTACCTTTGAAACGAATAGAGCAAAGCTTCCATCCTAGAGCAAAACTGTGCCCTTCAGGAAGATTTCTACCGCCGCGCGCCCCAAGACATGGGGATCTATCGGTCTTGGTCAGATGGGTATGCTTTATTCCTTGATGAATGGTGATGTGCACTTTGAATTGCATTAAGGCTACCCAATGGCAAAGAATCTCCGGGCACATATTCCGCCCCTCCGATAAATTCGTTGTTCTCGATATCAATCAAGACATGATGAATCGGTTTATCCGGGAGACTGAGAGCAGCGCTGGTGCGGTTACGGAAACGGCCCAGAACGCTCGCGAGGTAGCTGAGAAAGCCGTACGTTATCTGTCTATTCTATTTATGTATACCATATTCTTGACATATCGCAGAGCGCCATAATAACCAAAGTCTAGATTAAGGCAGAATCCAACAAATATATTAACCAGAACACAAGCAAAACAATGAAACCATCGAAGAAATAAGTTAAAAATGACAAAAGTTAAAGCAAAAGCACAGCATGACCCTGTCCTACATCGCATACTCCCCATCTGAAGTATACCTCAAGCTATCTGGACCCAAATCAGGTGCACATGGGCTCAGCCTCAAAAGGCCCCAATGGTGGCAGGACATCTCATTCCAAGGCTCATTATGGTCCGCATTCCTTGACGATGCAAAATGGTCGATACAACTAAAACCCGGACCATCTGTTAGCCATGCATATTCATCTTGAAAGAGGGAAGAGAAAGGGTGCTTACACTTTTCGCAATTTTCTATCCCATAGAAGATCCTTGAGATCTCCTACTTGCGGTAGAACACCAGCACGAACACAGGTCCCTGTCATTGTAGATATGAATGTAATCGCGAAAAAAAAAAAAAAAAAAAAAAAACACTAAAGTCATTCCGAAGAAGAAAGGACTTACATCCATGCAGTCCGAAATGCATCCCTCATCTCCTCCCGCTCGGAAGCACTCGAGCTCCAATACACGAAACCAGCTGATTTGTTTCAGTAGCGTATCCAAACGGTATACCTGGCGCTGGCTCGAATAGTAGGTGTATTATCCAGCCACCGGGGAACCATGCCAGTTTCATCCTGTACGCCAAAACTATAGCCATGTAGAGCAGGTGTATGTGTGCAGCCATGATGAGCTAATGTCGTCCTGGAGTCATACTCATATTGCACTGACATGGGAGGCGCTGTGGTGGCTTGTTTCCCTCTTTCTTGAGCGGGAAAGAGCTCAGTACCAGCACATGTAACCCTGAGATGAAGTTAGCACCACTGGTGTGGTATAAACAGGACAGGAGCATACTGCATTGTAATCTTCAATATCATCATTTTATCTGGGCCGTCGGAATTACTGCAGCGAAAAAGCCCAATATAATGAGAAGCTGCACCAAGTTCCTTATGGTCGTATGCAGTTTGCTGATAGACTTCTTCACTTAGCTTCTCGAGGACTGTCCATTTCAAAGGCTGCGGGGTGGTAAAATCGATTATTGTCCCAAGGAAGGATGGTGTGAAGAATCGGACTCGTGAAATTTCGTATTTTGAAAAGTCAAGGTTAAGCACGAAGCAGGAATCTCCTACACGTCTCGTTCCGCAGTCGGAACTGCCAAGTGCAGATCCATGGAACTAAGAACAATGGCTTTGTCTGCAGTCATGTACCAGGCATAGAGAAATCATGCCTGAGTGTTCGGGGCGTACCACGGAGAACGACTCGAGCCGGATGAGCCTTGATCGGAAAGGTGAAGCACATGGATGCATTAAAACTTGGAGACAAGAAAAGAAAGTACTACTACTCTTTGGGGGGCAAATTATTATGGATTAAATAAGTCTACGAGATGAACACGCAAAGAGAGCTAGAGCTCCAAATTTTCGACCTTGCTCACGTCACCAACTTCTTGTCTTCGGAATATTTCAAGACATCTCGGTCCTTGGGTGCCCATGAGCTCCTCATGAGGTCCCACGCGCAGAATTATAGGTCATATCAAGTTACATTAGAATCTGCCTCGATTGTTGCTTCGAAGCGATTGATGTAGCTAGAATCGAGAAGTCTGCGTTAGCCATGGATCCTCAATCCAGAGTACAAAAAAGAAACCTATACTTTCTTGGACTCCGGATCCCACCAAAGGCCCCCAAGATGTCCTTCCTGCGGTAGAATGCCAACTTCGACACAGGCCCTAAAAGATATAAGTGAGACATTTCAAAATCAGTTTGGAAGTGACATACTCCCAGGCAGCTCGAAACGCTTCCCTGATGTCGTTTCGAGCCGAGTAAGGCAAGCTCCAGAAGACAGTTTTGAATGTATCATCTAAACCTCCAAGTGGGATGACTGGCGCTTGTTGAATCAACATGTAGATTGCCCAACCACCTGGGACCATGTCATCTATTGCTTGCTCTTCCCATTTATAACTGTGAAAAAGAGGCGCTGCATAACAACCACAGGCTGATAGCTTTGTCCTAGCATCGAATTCGTATTGCACGCAGTAAGGAAGTCTTTGGGTAGCTTGCCTTTGTCTTTCATTCGCGGTTTCGAGATCGGTACCGGTATACGGAATCCTGGGCTCGAGTTATTGCGCAGTTAGGGAACATTCAACAACAGTGGAGAAAGAGAAATATACTGCATAATAATCTTCAATGTCATAATTTCATCCGGGTTGCTACTATCATGACAGAGAAATGCTGCAATAGAGCGAGAACGTGAGCCAGAAGTCATATAGCTGAGCTCATCCTGCTGATTAACCTCCTCGCCCAACCTCTCGAACACAGTCCATGTCAAATCATTGCCAAAATTGACACTTGTTCCTAGAAAGGACTTTGGAAAGAAGATCATTGCAGACATATTGATATGGATGAGGTTTCTTCACGAAGGAGCCATATGTCACTTGCTACGCTAATCCATATTTGAAATAGCTTACTCTTTATGAGTGTACGCTAAGTGGGTCTATAGAAAAGAAACGTACTGCATCATTATTTTCATCTTCATGACTTCCTCTGCATTATCAACATTTCTGCAGAGAAACACACCCACAGAGCGAGAAGCTGGACCAAGAGTTTCAAAGTTCCACTTGTCCTGCTGATAAACTTCCTCATTCAACTTTTTGAATAATACCCATGTTGACAGCCGTGGGCTGTCAAAACGTGACTTTTGTCCCAAGAAAGGCCGGGATAAAGAAGTCTTTTTTCTGACATATTGGGTGTCTGGTTGAAGGTGGAATCTGTTAGTAGATCGGTTTTAGATCATACCTACGCCCAATCTTGGATAATGACGACTCCATCAACATGCATGTAGGCCTCAGTCACTCTACAAGGCCTCTGTGCGGCTATTCATCGTCATTGTCGTGGAGAACGCTACATTTTGGCAAGGCCTTGATTGGTATAAATATGATTATAATGCATCGCTCGTTATCCATTTGTACATAGCACTGTACACTATTCTATCAAAAAAGCTAGTGTATTTGAACATTCTATGCGCCAGTGCTGCTGGGCATACCACTAGCAGACATGCTTCCACTAGGAGCACCACCAGCACCACCGTCATCACCACCACCACCACCACCCCCCATAGCCTTACTATCAGCATTCGCATACCCGCCATTCTTCCCCCGATAAGCCGCAATGCTATAATAGTCATTATCCGTATAATCCGCCGTCGCATTAACACCAATCTGGATCCACGCAAACAACCCATCCTCAATCTTCTCGCCCAGATACACATACTCCGGGAACGGATCGTAAGCGGCACTAGCCTGCTCGATACTCCACATGTCGTCGTCGTTGGAGACGATGTCCTGCGTGTTCGTGTTATAGGGGTATGTGGCTTCGACGGCGGAGCGGAGGTCTTCGGGCCAGAAGAGTTGACCGATTTGGGCGACGCTGCCGGTGCCTGCTTGGAGGGTGTTGTTGGGGAGGAGCGTGGCGTTGAGGTGGGTGAGGAGGTGGGTGTGGATGGCACGGCCGGAGTAGTGGCCCGGGAAGATGGTGTCGAAGTTGACGAGGCCGTCGTGGTTGGTGCGTTGGATGCCACGGAGGTAGGTTGAGTTGTAGCCGTCCTCGGCGTAGTTTCCTGAGACGGAGATTCCACTGTCTTCGTCAGCACTTGTACTTGTAACTAGCTAAGGGAGAGAGGGTAGGGTGTACCTGTAGACACCAGTAGCATTGGCTTGCCAGATATCAACAAACGCGCCCTCAACAGGACGGCAGCTGTTGATGTCGATGTACTGCACCTCAAGGTACAGATCAACACCATCGGAGTATTTCTCCTCCTTGACATTCTGGCGAATCGTCTCGCCCCAGGCATAGTACGGTCCATCCGTGATGGTCGGGGTTAAGATACAGCTGGTGTTTGCGCCGAAGATGATATCCTCAGGCATGTATGGGGTGTAGCCCACCACATTGGTCTTGTTGTGTTCGACAGTTTCCCATTTTTGGAGTTCCGCGAGGGTGCGACGGGAGTGTTGAGATTCTGTTCACCATGTTATTATTTTGTTTTTTTTGGGGACAGAAGGGAACGAGAGGGGAGGGAGGGCATACTGGTAGAAATCCCGCGCTTTTCACGCAAAGCATTGACGCGCTCCGCACGACGCTGAACATTTTTCTTGTTCAGGTGGCGGGCCCCAAGCGAAGTCGAGCAGCTGTCGAGAGCCCGCTTGCCCATGTGCGCAAAGGCATCACGGGCGTGGATCTCCCGCTTTAGAACGTGCGGGTCATGTTTCTCCCCGGGATGGGCGAGAATAGGAGTCGCGAGAGCAGCGAGGAGGAGCTTGGAGAAATGCATACTGCCTTGTTCTGACTTTTTGTGTTGATCTCAAGTCATTGCAGAACGGGTCCCTCCATTTATATCCTTCCAAGAAGTTTGACCAATCTTCGAGAAAACAGGCCGCGTCTCCCATGACGAGTACCCTCCTCCCATCCAAACAAGCCGCTGGGGCGCAAATCAACCAGTGTTTTGCCTGGTTCCTCGCTATACAAGCAATTTCTTGGCATCCCGTTAAATTCCGCTTACTCAGCGCGGAGCGGAACCCGGCGTGCTTCCGAGCGGATGCCATTTGCGAATCGGGCCGATATAATTCGCCGATGTTTTGGCAGGGCCGCGTGGCCGATAGATTGTTTAGAAGATTCTTTCTGCATACGGTGATTTTCCCGGCCAGCCCTGTCAGTTACGGAGGCTGCATGGGTACAGGGCTGCGTGGGAATGCTTGTTTTGGAGGTGGTTTGATTGGTTGTGTATTTAGGGTGCCTGGGTTGATGCTAAAATAGAACGGATTAGGGTACGTACCACTGATTTGAGATTTATTTGCGGTCTGGTTGGTGTCGTTGACATGCATTTCTTGATCGAAGAGTCCGTCAAATGAGGTCCAGCCGGGGCAGTCCATGGATCATCCCGATACACATGTTATTAAAGCCATATATCACAGCCTAACTAACAACAACAACTCCCAGTAAACACATACCCCCTTAAATCTACCACAACTAATACAACCGCCCATTATCCGCCTCCCTCCCCTTCGGCGTAATCCCAGACCTTCTCTTGAACACCCTACAAACAACCCTAGCCCCATCCACAACCCACCCAATCAGCGTCGTCGGATTATAATGCTTTACCCGGAATATGTAGTATAGCGCCACAGTGCCGAAGATGTTGAATCCGATGTATGCCCAGCCTATGCCCCAGTTGCGCCAGCGATCACCGTATGCTGTTCGATTATGGTTAGAATAATGCTGATGTAGATGTGAGAGGGAGAAGGTAGGTCTTACAGATGTTACTGCTAGCGAGGTATTGATCCGCATTCTGCAACTGGCAGAACTGGCAGTTCTGCGTGGCGGTTGGGTTGTACAGCTGGCCGGGGCTGTACTGGAGGTATGAGCTTAGATAGTCGCCGCATGTCATCCCAGACGGAGGATTAAACACGCTCAACTCCTCGCTCGCACATTCAATACCCCGCCCATGCAGCCCCGTCGCCGTAAGACCAGCAATCAAATAAGTCAGCGGCGAAACCCGGTACATAAAAATCCAAAACCCAGGCAACGCATCCGGCGGCTGCATCACACCGTTAAACACCAGCGTCAACATAAACATCAGCGTAGCAATAGTGCCTCCCGTCTCTGCATCCGGCAGAGCGGCAATAACAAGCGAAGCGAATGTCGAAGTAAACATGTAGAACTGGATCACGAAGAGGAGCATGAGGCCTTGGCGGTGGCTTGCTTGGCTGGCGCCGTAGATCGGGTAGTAGTAGCATGCCCAGGCTATGATTCCGGCGAAGACTTGGTAGGGGATTTCGACGAGGACGTTGGCGATGAGGAAGGCGGCCCAGGAGTAGGCTTTTGAGGGTCGTTCGCGGACTTCGTAGAGGGATCGTTGGACGACGAATTTGGGCATGATTCTGCAACCGTTAGCCGGTTTACCTTAGAATAACGGGGGGAGCTTACTGTTGGACTAGAGTTGAAAAGACGGATGTAAGCATGAAAGCACTGAACAACACAGACTGAAACCCTATAAGCGAGCTATCAGGCTTGAAAAAAGTAAATCCAATAAAAAGCGACGACGCCGTAGCAAGAATAAGCTTAGCCCAAACGTAAGACGGCTCTCGCCAGTACTGCTGGAACACACGATTCGTTACATGCCACAACTGGTTAGTAAAAGGCATGGCATATTCCGTCTGTTCGACGGCACCGTCGTCGTCGAGTCCTGAAGACCGCTCTTCATGGATTTTGTCAAGTTCACCTTGCACCTCTTTTGCTTGTTGGCTGTCGTTCCAGACTGATGGCCAGTCTTGATTGGATTTTCCAGAGGCGCCTGCTCCGATAATTTCGAGGATGTATTCGGCAGGCTGTTTGTGTCAGCAAGCCTGTCAACATGTATAAAATGTGTAGACTTACGTTCTCAGATGATCCACACGCTCTCGCTCCATTGGTCTCGAAGTAATCAAGCAACGTTCTTGAATCCTTGCCAATGTCACCAAAGTAAACAGTCCTTCCTCCTTTGGCCAGGAAAAGCAGCCGATCGAATTCTTGGAACAACAATGCGCTGGGCTGGTGAATCGTAGAAAGAACAGCCTGTCCATGATCCGCAAGTTTTCGCAGAAACGCGCAGATGGCCCACGAACTCTGCGAGTCCAGACCACTAGTAGGCTCATCAAGGAAGATCAACAATGCTGGCTTCGCGGCAAGCTCGACTCCAATTGTTAGTAGTTTTCGCTGTTCGACGTTCAAGCCCTCACCCGGACTTCCGACAATTGCATCTGCGAATTCCTGCATGCTCAGCATTTCGATAACCTCTTCAACGTACTTGTACTTTTCACTTTTTGGCACAGTCTTGGGCTGGCGTAGAAACGCACTGAAACGGAGCGCCTCCCTCACAGTAGTTGTCGAAAGATGCAGATCCTGCTGCTGAACATATCCCGTCTTCCTCTGAAAACTATTATCAAGTGGCTTCCCATCCACAAGCATATCTCCAGTAACAACACCAATCGACACCCTCTTAGCCAGCACATCAAGCAAAGTAGTCTTCCCAGCACCCGAAACACCCATCAAAGCAGTGAGTGTACCAGGCTTTACCCAACCAGAGACATTATCCAGAAGTCGACGTTCACCTCCTTTGACAAGGATATCGTAGCAGACATTCCGCCAGGTAAAGATACTACTCTGAGTTGGGATTACATCCGTTGTTTCTTCTTCCGGTTTATCTTCTTTGTGGGTTTCGGGTGCTTCTGTTGGGTTTTCTCCTCCTTGGCGTTTGTCGATGTTGCGTAGGTGAGGTGGGACATGGCCGCGACGGAAGACGAGGAATTCGGCTTTGGATGTGGTTGCGGAGTTAAGTTCTGTGGCGATCAAGTAAGTGGCCATGAAGAAGATCCAAAATCCTATTAGGATTCCGAAGTTTCTCCATTCGTGCGCGTATGTGTAGGTGTACTGGGATTCGATGTAGGCATCTCCAGAGACCGTCCTTTCTCCAGGAACAGCACCCCGAACTGAGCATATGAAGGAATCACCACTCAGGTTATCATACCCAGGGATGAATTGCGAGCACGTAAACCGTCGCCCGTGAAACTCGTTTGCAACCAATGCTTCGAATGTGTAGAATACTGGATTGATAAACCGGATCCAACTGAACCATGGAACAGAACTCATTTGCGGGACGGGAATGACGAAGCCTGTGTATATCACGATGGCTAGTACTAGGACACCGGCCATGGACATTGCTTGGGCGAGGGTTTTGGTCGATGCAGCCAAGGTTCGGAATATTCCGGACATTGCAAGCGTGCTGATGAATGTGAATAGGAAGAAGATGAAGAATTGTGATGGTTCGTATCGCTGCACTTGGTTAGAATGGGCTTATCTTGAGCTGTACTGTATTGCACTTACCAATCCAGCCAGAAAGTAAAAGATAATGTTGAACACTACCGCAGAGACGAATTTGACAGGAATGTCGGATACGATGCCACCAAATGCTTCAGCGAATGGATGTACGAAAGCGTATGATGCCTGTTTCTCGATGATCGGCCGTTGATCATAAAGCGAGTTGATCTCGGTGATACTAATGAGGGCATTCATCCTAGCAAGCTGTTAGTACTGAAGTGCAATGGTCCCTAAGCAGCAATATATATTCTTTTTAACGCGACGACTCACAATACAGCAAAGAACAGAGCAGCACCTTTACTCTGAAAACCAACTGAAGCATTTGGCGTCCTGATGTCATGAGCACACGTCCTTGAAAAAGGCTGAAGAGTAATTACCCGTAGTATATCGAACCGATAATCAAAGACATAACAATCCGACCAATAAGCGTTGTCAATGTCGAGGGTTTGTCGTTCCAAATCCTGGCCCTGTCAGCATAATCCAAATTCGCAATAGAGAAAGAAAGGCAAACATACCTCTGATAAGCCCGAATCGTACAAAGCCTAACCTGCATCGGAATCGAAATAACATACGGACTCTTCGGTCTCACATGCTTCGCCTGCCTAAACCGCTTGACCTCTCCAAAATCCACCTCCTGCTGCCCACCCGGCGGGAATTGCTCACGATACTCCGCAATCTCCTGTTTCAGCGCCTCATACTGAGGACTCTTCTTCCAGTATTCTGCAAAGTCATCAGCAGTACGCGGGACCCGGTCCTCCATGCCTTCTCGAACTTGGCGTTCCTGGGGATTGGTAACAGCAGTTAGGAAATCACCTGCTGTTTGGCGCGGTGGACGGTACCAGCCCATTTCGGTGAAGTAATCGACTGCTTGGTCACAGGGGCCGAAGTAAATTTGTCGACCTTGGTATAGGACAGTTACTTTGTCGAAGATGTCGTAGATTGCCTGTGATGCTTGGTAGATTGCAACGGCGTGGGCTGTGCCGGCTAGGCTGCCAGCGACTCGCAGGGCTTTTGCGAATTCTAGGGCACTTGCGGAGTCGAGGCCTCGAGTGCTGTTGTCCCATGTACCAAGGGGGGCCCCGGATACTGAATGTGGTTAATGGATGGTTTTCAGAGGTTAATGGATCAAACTTACACGCCATCTCAGCAATACTGTAGATCTGTTAGTGAACGGTTGAAGCCCAATGAAGAAGGGTACATACCTAACGCGCTTCCTTTCACCTCCTGACACACCTCTGATATACTCATCACCCACTGGAAAGGCTTAGTTTACACAACAACCACCATTCTGAACCGGAAAACATACCCTTGGTATTATACGTATGCGACAGCCCAAGAACCGCCATCGCAACCTGCGTAATATGCTTCGAGAACTCCTTCCGGCTGATCTCACGCAACCGATGCTCAGGAGTCCTTGCCGCAGCAGCAAATTCCAAAGTCTGCCCAACCGTCAAGTGAGGGAAGTGTCTGTCGACTTCTTGGTTGTAAAGAACTTCACCCTTGAATTCCGTGTGCATCCTCTCCATTGATATCCCGTTGTATTGAATTTCGGAGCTATTCCGAAGTTTGAGGCCGTGAAGTTCACCAGATAAAATCTTGAGTAATGTCGAGCATCCGCTTCCAGGTCGTCCAAGCACGAGAAGCAACTCACCACTTCTCAATAGACCATCAAAATTGCGCAAGATCTGCTTCTCCGGTCCAGAACGAATAAAGCTAAGATACTCCTGTGGCCGGAACGGCGCCAACACCACAGACCCCACATTATTCTGATACTGCAACGCAGACCCCGACCCCGAAACATTTAGATTCTCAAAGACTACCCCAGTGGACGGCGGCCTAGGAAACCCCTCTTTATCCATAAGCTTCAGCATCATGCGCGCCCACTTGTAGTGATCGAACTTCTCGCTCGTCGGATCAAGAACTGGATCTCCGATCTCGATGCCTTCCAGTGTATCTCGTCGGTGGATGCTATTATCCATTCCACTGACTCCAGAGTCGGCGGAGCCATGGCGTCTGGGAAATTTCGATGCAACGCGCGCTAGCTCTGCTCTGGCTTCGGGGCTTATGTGTTGTGATAGGGTGCTGTCTTCACGGGGTCTGGCTTGTGGTGGTGGAGATATATCGTCTTGTCGGGTGGGAATGGGCTCTAAGGCCCAGTCGTGGTCTCTGAACTCAGCCATTGCTGCTCAAACCTGAATAAATAGCGGTAGAATAGTTAGTTTAGTTGCAAGGAACCACATAGTCAAGACAAACATGCCTGCGAAACAGCTTCTTCGGAGTGCCCTGAGAACCAACCTCGGGGACCGATTGCAGTCCTCAAATATGTGAGACTAATATCCTCGAAAGTCCGCCGTAGCCGGTAATATTCACACCCCTGGCCTACATCAAAACTCACCGAAGACAAACCAGGGAGTCCGAGGTGATATCAATGGCTGGGATGAACCCTGTAGGTCCGATTGGAAATAGAAGCATCATTGAAGAATCATCAGAGCCAATCAATGCTGATGACTGATGGTTGTGATTCAAATGGATTGGTTAGGTAAGGGTTGCAACAACTTCCGCATGCAGGTATTGGGGATGGTGTAACCCCAGATGGGGGAATATTTGATTTTGCTTATTCCCCAGGTGAAAGCCACCATTTATGGGGTATCAGTCTACTTTCTTTGTCTTGAGGTTACAAAGCGGGGTGTTTAATGGTGTTTAAATGTATGAATTTTGTGGTTCCACAATGGGTAGTTTGTATGCTATTTTTCTCACAGCAAAGAAGTGACAAGAACATGAATTTTAAAATCACACAGTAGCAGTGATACTGTCTGTATGTACCTTTTCCTTTATTCCCTTCAGTTAGCCAATAACACACGACGTCAGAGAAAAGTATGCTTTGACAATGAGCAAATAGGTTGCTACCAGCAGCATATCCCTGGCTCTGCGTGATAGGCCCAAGGTAATCTCGCAAATTATCTTGATAGTCAAAGCTCCCGACACACTCATTCGACCTGATGCACTGAGCCTGCCCCATGTTCTGGATCTCAAAGATCTTGCATTGGTACTCCCTGAGCAAATAAACAACAGACCTCTGAAAGTCCTTGAATGCGTCCTTCAGTTGGGAGTCGAAAAATACTGCTGGGGTTATTCCGAGCTCCCGACACAGGATCTTCAAATCCACCGGCGTGACGACGTCTCTTGGGCACGGGACTTGTTTGAAAGCATTGGCTCTTATAGCCAATTCAGCACTTACCTGGTATCTCGGTATGGCTTGTCGTAGATAGCTCAATACAAAAAAAGTATTGACATGAGAAGGATTCCTTGACGGCAATGTCCTAGGGTGGCAGTGAGTTCGCTGTAGGAGTATATCTGGAAGTCTCTTTCAGATGCCTTCAGTCAGTCGAGGAACGGCGAAGTGCTGAAAGATAGGCATTGGTATCTTTGGCTATCATTGTCTGCCGGTTGAGAGTATCGTCGTCATGGAGCTTGTAGTGTATCCGCCAGTTCTCTGGATCCGTCTCACGGCGAGACGAAGAGTCGTCCAAGCTCGTACAAGTGTGAAATTCCTGCTTGAAACATTCGTTGAACTCGCGATGAGTGGGCTCGGGTGTATTCAACGTCCGTCACCGGTACATCATTCACCGGGACTGACGATGATTTGGTCAGGCTTCCTGTATCAGCAGAGCTGTTAGCAAAGGAACTGCGCTATGGTGGCTACTACCACTGATATTCTCCTTTGGTTATAAAAAGGCCTAAGGCACGCCATAAACTGGCGATACGGCACTTCTGAACGCGCACATGTGCAGCATGATTTCCAGTTGAACGAACATGCTCATTATCACGCTTTCGTGGATTTGCAACGGTAAGTGGAATCGCAAGACATGGAAGGCGCAGGCAATCAAGAAATAAAACAAATAGCCCATTTGTACAATGGTAGAAGATAATAGTCAGCAAATGCTAGAGAGTTGTATGGTTTAGGTCGGTTCCGTGATGGAAGTAATTGCAGTTTCCCAAAAGGGAGTTATATAGTTTTGGCCAATAATGATCCTCCTTCGAGCCCCGCATCCATTAGACCCACACAAGAGGCAATCGGTGCAAATTAAGCAAACAATACAAACACATCACCAAAAAAAAAAAAAAAAAAAAAGAGCATCGGATATCTTCGTCGTCGCAGTCCAAGCAAGCAAAACAAAGCACCAACACTATTAGAGGTGCAATTCTCTCAACAAGTATCGCGTGAATTGGTTGATGCGATTGACCTGGCGACATTGATTATATCTTGTTTTCATTCTAAATCAAGAACTCGGCGCAACATATTGATCTTGAATTGACGGCTCTACAACAACATTCAGCCATGACGGACGTACAAAGAACTCCCTTTGTTAAGGACCTCGCCTCGAGCGGTATGTGTCCTCCCTCTCACACCCAATAAGCCATACTAATTCGAACGAACAGACCGCAAAGTCCGCGACAAAGCCCTCGACTCCCTAACCCTCTTCCTCCGCTCCCGAACAGACCTCTCCCTCATCGACCTGCTCAAACTCTGGAAGGGTCTTTTCTTCTGTCCGTCCCTCCCCCTCCTCCTCCTCCCATATCATCAATAACTAACAAAACCAGGCTTCTACCACTCCGACCGCCCCCTCACCCAACAAGCCCTCGCGCGCTCCCTCTCATACTCCCTCATCCCGACCCTCCCTCGCTCAACAGTGCATAGGTTCCTGCGCGCGTTTTGGATTACTATTGGCCGCGAGTTCCATGCGATTGATCGGTTGCGGTTGGATAAGTATATGTATTTGATTAGGTGTTATGTGGGTGTTGCGTTTGAGGTTTTTGTCAAGGGCAAACAACAACAACAAACAGGACAGGATGATGGTGGGAAGAAGCGCAAGCGCGAAGAGGAAGAAGCTGCTGCGAAATCGAAGAACGCGAAGAAACAGAATAAGCGGTCGAAGGGGAAGAAGAACCAGGAAGTCGACGAAGAACAATCCAACGGAGCATCCAACGGCACAACCAACGATACCCAAACCCCTATTACAACAGACTCAGACGCTTCCAAATGGACCGACCTAAAATCCTACCTCAGCATAATCTCCGAAGGCCCCCTCAATTCCCTAAACTTCGACCCCGACCAAGACACCTCCATCAACGAAAAAACCGACTACGTGCCTATGCCGCACGGCCCCGACGGTCTGCGCTACCATCTTCTGGATCTCTGGCTCGATGAGTTGGAGAAGGTTCTTGAGTTCGAGCAGGAGGATTCCGAGGAAGGAGAGGAGGAGAAGCCAAGGAAGGTTGTTAGTGAAGTCCCTATGGATCTTATCTTGGGTCCTATTGAGACACTCCGCGTGGAGGGGTTGCATAAGCCCGTGAGGACTCGGGCTGGTGAGGCATTGGAGGATGAGAGGTTGTACGAGTGGGGATTTAAGGAGAGGAAGGTTGTTGTTGATGAGGATGAGGAGAGTGAGGAGGAGTGGGGTGGGTTTGACTAATTTCTATCCTCTATACAAAAGCATTGATAGCGTTGTACATACTAGAACTGGGAATGGCGCTTAAAATATCGCATACATTATCCTAAGTACTACCTTGTAGTCTAGTCTGTAGTCTAGTCGGATTACAGCAGTGGTGTACAGGAATCAATCAACGTCAAGCAAACCAGTGCTAGTCCGATCTCGCGAGGGTATCATACAAATGCGAAGACCAGAACCATGATTATAAGTATACCGTACAGCCCCACATTACTTCCTTCACTTCCCGCCAGGAGATCCTGGTATCACATCCTCGGTCCCTCCGCTTCATACAGATGACCAGACTTCGACAGCACGGTGCCCAGACCCTTGTGGACTTCTACCTGGAATGCCTCGAAGGGAACCTTTTCGCCGTCCACGCTGATGAAGCCTTCCTTTTCGCTGGGGACGAGGCGATACGCGACGGCCTTGCGGGTGGTGACTTCTGGCATGTCGAAGAATCCGCCGTTGGGCACTTCGGACATCATTTTGAGAGTTGTCATGCGAGGGACAGTTCCGTCGACGGTGACGATGTCGATCAAACCATCGCTGGGAAGCGCGGCAGGGAAGAAATTGGTGTCCTTAGACACGATAGCCATTTTACCCGCGTAGAAGTTGCCCATCGTTTCGCCTGGGACAACCTCCCAATCGTCCGGAAGGTCGTCCAATACCGTGCCGTATTGCAATTCGGGCAGACCCCCGGACTGACCGACAGTCTCTTGGGGATCGCGTTTGATGGGTTCTCGCTGCGTGTATGAGAGATAGTGGTCTTTGATCGCCTTCTTGTCGTCCATAACCACCTTGATCGCCAGATCGCACGGGTATACCGTCCGCTGCATGAGCCGGACAAGGAAACCGTAAGTGAAACGATGCGCACCCATCCAGCGAATATCATCAGTTCCCAGATCACAGTCCGCCACGATCCCAAACGACTGTGACAAGAACGAAAGCGTACGAGTCGACCCCTGAGTAATCGAAACCAAGTCCATAGGCGTCAGCAACCCCTTGACAATAGCCAAAGCAGCCACCGAAACACTTCCAGTCCCGCAAAGGTTCCAAGCCATGCCATTCCCCGAGCCACAAGGAATCATAGCCACAGCCACCTTCGCCAACGCCTCCTTCGCATTCACCTTCTTCGCCAGCCCATTAAACACCTCATACGGCAACCCATCCCCAGAACAGCACACGATCGCATCATACGCGTTCACATCAATCTTCTCACAAATCTCCGTAGCATGGCCCATGTGCGACGTCGTCTGCACATCAACCCTGCACCGTGCAGCGGCAAATATCGGCGCCGCATAGCTGTTGTACAACGCGGATGCAGAACCCTTTCCGCCAAAGGGATTAATCAGGACCTTGAGACGTTTGTAGCGCAGGGCGTCACCGTATGCAAGGTTGAGGAGTTTCTGGACCCATGAGTCGGCATTCTTTTTCTCTTCGTCGCTGATGGGGTATTGTAGGGCGTTGACGGTGACATCGTCTTTGGTCGCGGGTTTCGCATAGGTGATGGTTAGGCCGGCGGGGGAGAGATCGGCGTCGAGGACGTTGTATAGCGAGATGGCGTGGGTTTCTTTGGATTCTGCACCACATCAACGATCAGCTTTGTCTTTTTCAAGGCTATCAGGGGGATAGGGTATTACGGGATTTGAGGAATCCACAGCATCCGTCGCGATCCGACTTGCGTGAGGCCCGCTCATCTGCCACTTGTGAATATTCCTGAAAGCAAGAAATTGACAGAGCAAAGGGAAGACATACCGACAATAGCAAGAGAGTCACTCCCTAGAGTCAGAGACACCGACTGGCCAACAATCAGGGTCGAGTCGTGCTCCAGCAGCCGAGACCCTGTATCCGGGGATTCCGTGCGTACAGTAGCAGTAGCAGTAGCAGTAGAAGGGGACATTATGTGATGGTGGTTAATAGAGAGTCATAAGGATTCTAAGGATGAAGCAGTGCGATAGACGAAAACGAATGGTAGTAATAGATAGAAATAGAGAGGATGGTTGGAGATAGCAGTACTCCGGAGTTGGAGGAAGGATCGGTCTTGGTTGCCGGTAAACGGTCCACTTGACCAACTTTTCAGGCACGAAATTCCCCGGGGCAGTTGGGAGTACTTGGCATGTGTTAATTGTGTTTGGGATTGAGTCTCATTTTTCAGATATATTCAGGCACAAATTCGAGTTCAGCTGAGCCGAAAACGGAGCATACTTTCTACTTTTGGAAGTCTATAGACGTCTCATTGAAATAAATAATATAGTAGAACAAGATAGTAAACACGACCATACAAGAATATCATGGGTAACTAATAACGCTTCAACAGTGTCAATAATCTATTCATGCCGCAGTCGCCTTGAGTCCCTTGAGTGACCCCAGACTCAACGCCAGTCCCTGCGACCGACTTCTTATCCGCACAAATCCTGTGATCGGTCCGTCGTCTCCTTCTTTTTCGATGCTCAGGTTTGCCAGTGCGTCCTCGCCTGTTCAAGTTAGTAAACGATCCTTTGTTACGTGAAACGAGAAACATACCGAATACACTCCGGGCATACAGGTTGGCGCTCAAGAACCGGCAGTCGCCTTTGAGGGATGCCTCCGGTGTCAAACAGGCCATGTTGGTGCTTTCCATCAGCTGCTTGAGGAATTCGCGAAGAGTCTTCGCCTTCGAGTTGATGTTGACCTTGTTCTCCCATTCGAATTCGGTCCACATGGTCCGGAACTGTGTCTCCGTGCAGTGCGCGGGCTGGATGTAGTCCATAATGTCCGCGTGGATATCGTTGAGGATAACCACGTGGGTTTCCGTCGAACTAGGCCCATCATACACAATGTTACCGAAGATGACACCGGTATCCGTCGACGAAACCTTGACGGTAGCCTGAACATTCAGGAAGTCGCGCGGTCCGAGGTTGTGGGTCGCGGGCCGCTCAACAACCTTAAGGTCTCCAAGTGTCGCAAACTCTACAGACAGGTTCTGCAGGGTCTCCAATGTTTGGTTGACCAAAAGGACGTCGAGGACAATGTCAAACTGGTGAACGGTAACATAGGCTTCCGCATAAACAGGGTCAGAGAAACCGGTCAATTGCACCACCCGGCTGAGTTTCGAGGAGGCAGTCTCCACAGTAGAGTCGCCGCCGGTGGCCTTGGCCAAGTCGAGCTCAATTTCCTCAGCACCCTCAACGTCCGTCTTCTTGGTAAACTGCCGGATCGGGATCGCGTCGTCAATCTGCACGGCAGTCTTTGCCTTCTCAACAGCTTCCTTGGCAGCCCGCTTCTTGTCTTCAATTTGAACCATCGCACGGAAAGCCGTCCGGGTATCCTCGAGGAAGGTGGTCTCCAACTCCTTCTTCTCGGAGAACTCGGCCAGCGAACGTACACAGGTCATGATACGGTCGACAGAGTCTTCGTCGATGGGAGCCTTGACGAAATGCGACTGACCAACACGCATAATCGAAATCATGATCAACATGGCTTCGGCGCGGAGAGCGTTGGTACGAGCAGCTTCTTCAGAAACCTCAGAGTGACGCATCACCAACTTGGTCAATGTAGATGACAACACAGTTGCCAGGTAGTAGTCACCGTCCAAAATGAGCTGACGGAGAGGAGGCTTCTGGGCAGCCTTGACGGCCTCGAGTCTGGCAGCCGCCGCGGACTGGCTCGTAAGAGCACTTTCAGTAGCGTACGTGCCATCAGCGAGGACCTTTCTCGACCCTGTCGGGGCGGAAGGCTTGGCACCATTGAGCTGTTCCTTCACGGCCGCAGACTCATCCGGAACTTCGTCAAGCAGTCGTTGCTCCGAGGCCAGGATCGGGATCTCTCCAAGACTTGCGCGAATACGTTTCCAAGCTTCGCGAATATCCTTCTCCTCCAACGAGTACTCTCCGACAACCCACAGGACACCACGGTAGACCTTTCCGGCGCGAACCTCACTCAAAGTCGATACCAAGCGATTCACAATAGAGGCCCGCAGCTTGGGGAATTTCTCCACGACCTCCTTGACGAACGAGATAACATCCACGGCAGAGTTGTTGTTGAAGTCGGCAATAAAGTCCATCAAGAGATCCACGACGCTGGCGGCGATTTCCGAGAACTTGATGGCGCAGTTGTGTATCGACTGGATAAGGAGTTGACGGTATTCGGTGTTCTGCTCATATGTCTCATCGACAGTCTTGGCCAGCTCCTTCTTCAGCAACATGACAATCTCTTCCACATTCTTGCTGGAGACCATCTCCAAAGCGATGCCAAGAGCCTTGCGACGAACGTCAATGTCGGGGCTAGAAAGCACGCGCAGGATTTCCATGGTTAGATCATCCAAAACGCCCTCGTTGCGAATGCGCAGTTGGTCAACACGGTCCAACACGATGAGCTTGACATTGTTGTCCGCCTCCCGGATAGCGAGCTCGATCAGTTTGCCGGCAGCGGCCTTGACAGCCACGGGGTTGCTGGTGAGCGCAGTAAGAGACGTCGCAGCTTCGTAGATCACGGTACTCGTAGATGCATCAAGGAGATCGAAGATCAAGCGGAGATATTTAGCCTACTTCCGTTAGCAAGCTATGAACCTCCTGTGCCTTCCCGCCTGCCGGACCACCCACCTTGTTCTGCGAGTTCTGCACCGCATCCTTCCTAATAAACTCCAGCTCCACAAGTTGCAACAGCTCATCAGTGTTCGGAATGGTATCGAAGGTAGTTGCCAGGTATTCCAGGGCCTTGGTGTGGCTAATGGACATGAGAGCGGCGAACGCATTGCGCTTGCAGGTGCTGTCGGTTTCACCGTCGAGGAAGGTCTGGATGAGTTCTGGTGCGTCCGGGATTAGAGGTTCCGAGTGTTGGAAGATTGAAGCAACGGCCCAGACGGCGTTCTTCCGGACATATGCGTGACGGTGTTCCAAACACGAGCGTGCGGAGGAGAGGAGCGGTTCGATGAGTTCCGGTTCTCGGAGCTTGCACAGGAATCGCAGGGTATTGCCTCGGATGTATTCGTTGGGGTGTTGCAGGTCGTTACGGATTCCGTTGCTAGACGCCGACAGTGTTATTAATTGAACGAAACCGCATGTATCAATCACACTCACCAGACCAAGATCATCTCCTGCTTCAGCTTGCCATTCGAGTCCAATTTCGGGCAGATCTCATAGTAGAAGTATAGCAGCTTCTTCAATGACTTGCTCCTAGACGGCATGACAAAGCGAATAATGTGCATTAAGAGTTGGGACATCGGGTCTCCGTTCAGCATGATCGTGATGATGGTCCTCATCGTCTCCATCTTGGTCTCATCGGTGCCCTTCTCCAGCTGCAATTTCAGCTCCGGCAAGGAAGGCTGATCCGCAGTGTTGTCCTGATGGATCAAACTGTACGCATTTTCCAGGTACGACGCCATGGTGGTGATTGTTCGAGTGGGAAGTAGGAGGGGGAGGAGGAGGGATCTAAGGAGACCTGCAACTTGTCAATACTCGGTCCCAACGAACAAACACCAGGAACAACAGCGGGGGAAACACTCACTTCTCTCCTAAGCTAGCAAGATCAGAGAATAGACAGAATTAAACGGTATAAAGCAAGCTCCCCTCACCAGCCTGGAATGTCATCCGCGCAAAGCAATTGTATGTATGAATGAACGAGAATAGAATGAATGCTGTCCACTTGCGCGGCGGAGCAACCTGGCCGGAGTGTGTGGGTGACTAAGCCGCCTAGACCAACCCTGCGATCCGCCTCCAGATTTATTACTCTCTCTTTCACGACTCCAGAATAATAAACAAGACAGTCTGACAAGATGGCGCAAAACGACCCCTTCTATCTTCGCTACTAGTAAGCCCGATGTGTTTTTGAGGCCCAGGTTTCCTCAGCTGCTGACTGCCTCGCAGCTCCGGTCACTCTGGGCGGTTCGGGCATGAGTTCCTAGGTTGGTTATCTTCATTCGCGACTAGAGGGTGTTGCTAACTGGTTCCAATAGAATTTGACTTCCGCACCCTAGGAGACGGTCGCAGCGCAGGCGTTCGATACGCGAACAACTCCAACTACCGCAATGATTCCCTGATCCGCAAAGAGAGTGAGTGGAGGAACAAACATGGTCGATAGCGCAGTCGTGCTAACGGGATGGACAGTGTGCGTGAGCGCAGTGATGATCCAGGAGATCAAGCGTATCATCAAAGACAGCGACATCCTGAAGTATGCGTCCTGCGATACCCCTCGATCCTCACGCGCTAATCCGTCGCCTCCAACAGGGAAGATGATTCGAAATGGCCGCAGAAGAACAAGGATGGTCGACAGGAATTGGAAATCCGCTTGGGCAATGAACACATTTCTTTCGAGGTATTTCACCAGTGGACAGGTTTACACCTTCGGTTTGTTTGACGGCTTCTGACGATGGTAGACCGCGAAAATCGGCTCGTTAGTAGATGTCACCGAATCGGCAGATCCGGAAGGACTGCGTGTGTTCTACTACCTCGTCCAGGATCTCAAGGCTCTCATTTTCTCCCTCATCTCTCTTCACTTCAAGGTAAGAATCAATCTATGGTCTAGTCTGGTTATGAGGACCGTTCTAATAAATATTCCCATGCAGATCAAGCCTATCTAAATCGAACGATATCATGAAAGCGATTTTGGATTCTACGAAGGAGCATCGGGCGTTTTGTATTGAAGTGACCGGATACCAGAAACAGCAATGACACAATCTGTTTTGGGTGACAGTACCATCTTTTATGCACAGAATTAAATCAAAGCCATTGCCATTCGCATGAACCATGTCTACTGTTACCATAGGGGACATTTCTTCTGATCATACTGAGTATATTATGAACGAGAAACCCACTACGCTATTCAATCAGCAGCTCATTCCCGGGACATAATCTCCAGACTTATTTGATACTATCGTCCAGCAGTCGGAATCCATATTTGATCAGCACCATCAATATATGTACATGGAATGCTTTGTTCTCCAGGGGGATTGGGTATCGCTTCTTTACTTGAAAGGAAATTTGTGCATTGTCTACCTCATCTGTGGCACAGCCACCTGCCAGCGTTTTGTCTGAGGACAAGGCTGACGCTGTAGTGCCCCATGGTGAGCCTTGCCGCCTGGAAATGGCTTATTGACTATATCTTTCCCCCGCATCCTTTCACTAAGGAGCTGTTTCAATCTCTCTACCAGCCTTAGTGAAGAAGGTACTCATCTAACTAGAATACAGAAGTCTTTACAGTATAGTCGAGGTTCTTGGGCTATACATACTCACCTAAAGGTATGAACTGGCTATGGAAAACATTTCCAGAAAATAGCTAAATCGAAAAGACAATGTCATCCGCTGCAGACTGCCCGACATTAAAGGCCGTGGATGAGCTTATTCGGTTTGCTACAAACGGAGCACGAAGCATACACACCGTCTGTCCTCGACGCATTAATGTTCAAGCCAAGATGGAGAAAGATTTTCTCAGACGAGAGGTGCCACCAGCTTCTAGGGGAGATCCTTCGCTCGAAGAAGCCAAGTGTGATACTACAATGTTACACAGAATACTACAAAAACCCCTGGATGCAGAATTTCAACCTCCCTCGCAAAGAATACAGGCTGTACCGGAAAACCATCACAGATGACGACGAGACGAAGACCACTGTTATTCAATCCTTTCACCCATCCGTTGCTGTCAACTATAATCGTCCTCGGCCTGAATACAGAATATTACTATTATATCATTTTGCCCGTGCATTCTCGCACCTACAGGGCACTTTGTTCAAGTTTTCTAGCTCTATCAGGAGTAAATGTGCCTCGAAGTTGTGAGATTCTCTTCTGCTTTTGTTTTCACATAGGTATGGAGCTAACAGCCTTGGTTTCAGGTCTGAAAACAATCCTGGCGGTAATGCAACAATATATCATAAATTATCGCAGGCATTGAATCCAGATGTCGGCTCAGAAACTGGGTACCAGAGTTATTTTTGGGCGTTTTAGATTCTCCCTCGTACAAGCAAGTGATACGCGACAAGAACTGGTGCGACAGCATGTACGAGCAATTAGTTCATTTGTCTGAGTTCCCCCAGCCATTAGGGGTGTTCAAGATATCTAGGGCTATATACACCTGGGAAGAGAAATTCAATGATCATCCCCTGTATGCACAGGTGATTGGATTACTGTTTAAAAGGGGCAATGAGCAAGAGTCCTGGTGCGAACCAAGAAAGACAGAGAAACTTAAGACAGCCACAGTCGGGGTGGAATCGGCCTTCTCGAAAATGCAACTAAACGATACGGATGCGCAGCAGGACACACTTGATCAACTTACTAAAAACAACGAGTCTCAGTCACCGACAGGCCAAGGCCTAGACGGAAACGATACCGGTAACATCGAGGAGGGACAACAAGAAGAGGGAATTGACTGGAACTATCTGCATGAAAGGATTCAATATGCTGAGGAGCAGTGCCTGGTATTACAGAACCTGGCTGGTTCCTCTCTTTCTAATCTCAGTCGCTCACTGAGAATTTGCCGTCTGGTATTTTGGCTACAACATCAGATTCAACTCGTTAGAGCCGATGAGTTCAAGGAGGAGAGTCTGGAGAAAATGGTAGGGGAGGTGGAGGATTTTATCGAGGCGAGCGATGACTTGAAGGCATTGGTGGAAGAATAAATATCTGTACACAATCTTACTACGGACTAGCTGTCCATTTTGGGGCGCACTTCGATATTAAACATTTCAAATCGAATTACATCCACACATAAGCCACGATGTCAGTTGCGGGCGCGATGCAGCTCAATGTCACTTGGGATTTCTTGCCTGTACATACAAGTATGTACTTTGCGGCCCTTGGACATGTTTTTGCAATTGATTGGCGGGCTTGGTTGCTCGGCGGAGAATGATAATAACGGCTCCGAACAGCGCAGCAAAGTCGCCAACGATGTCGTTGTGTTCCTTTCGTCCTGTACTTTTGCATCGGTCCAGATGCTCTGCCCGCAGCTGCGGGCGTGGATCACACCATCTCTTTGTTCGGCCCGGTGGGATGAGGCTCGCAGTCTGCTCAGTGTTCGGCTCGAGGTGCTACATCTCATGGATGTTGAATTATACTTGTTGATATTGGCCCATGTGTGCGGCTATTTGTTTGTAAGGTCCAGAAGGAGCTAGATAATATGCAACAGCGGGGTGCTCACCCCACGGTGTTCCCTCGCACTGGGGGTAACAGCAAGAGAAGACGGGGTATGGCCTGAGAAAGGACAAACGCAAGATCAATCCCAAATTGTGGATTTTTTTACGCCGGCTATTTGCACAGAAGTATGGACGGAGCTCCGGGAATGACGCCGAACCCGGGGCCAGTGGAGGCACCGATACATGGACCAGATACGAGACACAAGATGCTCAGTACATATGCCCAGTTAGGCAATTGCGGCACCAATCCATAGTAAACAAGTCTGTAGATCCTCGGGAAAGCTCTGGATTACCAGTATTCATTGGCTTGAGGCAATCTGCGCCTGGTATGCGCCCCGGGACGCGCGGCGCCGCTTCGTGACAGCACAACAAAGCCAGCAGTAAGTGTCAGTTTCAGGTTATAACGTGTGCCTAAATCTCTCTTCCTACCCCTCAGCCTCGTGTCTCTTTCCTCATACTCTTGTCACTCGTCTTATTCCTGATCCTGTAAATAATTATCGCACCATGGCGGCTAAGCAAATGTACTCTTATCCCTATTAACCTATTAACGATTGTCAGATTACCGTGCTTACCATCGGTCTTTCAGTAATGTTGATGTCTTGGTTATTGGCGCTGGTCCGACTGGGCTGGGGGCTGCCAAGCGGCTACAGCAGTTGGTATGTCAGATATTAGGGTTAGTTACTCCGACTGTGCTGACCAAACCGCTTTCCGCTCTCTAGAACAGTGCCTCGTGGTTGATCATCGACTCGAACGAAAAGCCCGGTGGTCTAGCCTCGACCGACATTACCCCAGAAGGCTTTCTCTTCGACGTAGGAGGCCATGTCATCTTCTCCCACTACAAGTATTTCGACGATTGCCTCGAGGAAGCCCTCCCCAGAGATGAGGACTGGTATGAACACCAGCGTGTTTCCTATGTGCGCTACCAAGATCGCTGGGTGCCCTACCCCTTCCAGAACAACATTTCCGTGCTTGATAAGGAGGATCAGGTCAAATCGATCAGCAGTCTGATTGATGCAGCATTGGATGCTCGTGCTCGTGTTGCGACGGATAAACCTGACAACTTTGATGAGTGGAACCGTCGCAATGTTGGGGAACATTTGAATGAGATCTTCATGCGACCATACAACTTTAAGGTCTGGGCGGTTCCTCCCAGCAAGATGAATGCCACTTGGGTTGGAGAACGCGTTGCTGCGCCTAATCTCAAGACATTGACGAACAATGTCATCCTTAACAAAGTTGCTGGCAACTGGGGTCCTAATGCCACCTTCAAATTCCCTGCCCGAGATGGCACTGGAGGTATTTGGACGGCGGTTGCCAACACCATTGCTAAGGATAAAACTCGCTTTGGGGATCATGGAAAGGTGACCAAGGTTGATGCTGATGCCAAGAAGGCCTACCTTGCAGACGGTTAGTTGAAGCTATTCCCTGGCTTTATCGGTCAAACTAACAGGAATGCATTTTAGGAACCGTTGTCCACTATGGCTCGCTCATTTCTACAATGGCCGTGGACTTCCTGGCCGAATCCATGGGCGATACTCAATTGCAGCAGCTTTGCAAGCCACTCTTCTATTCTTCCACCAATGTGATCGGCATCGGCGTTCGTGGTAAACGCCCGGAGCGTATCGGAGACAAGTGCTGGGTACGTTCCTCTCAACTATATAAACGACTTTTCTGACAATGCACAGCTCTACTTCCCCGAAGATAACGCTCCTTTCTACCGCGCAACTATCTTCTCCAACTATTCCCCCTACAACCAGCCCGATGAGTCGGTGAAGCTGCCGACCCTGCAGCTTGCCAACGGCGAGAAGCCTGTCTCCACTGATGAATCCGGCCCCTACTGGTCCATCATGTTGGAAGTCTCCGAATCCTCACACAAGCCCATCAACCAGGACACTTTGCTGGCCGATAGCATCCAGGGTCTCATTAACACAGAGTTGCTCAAGGCCGAGGATGAAATTGTCAGCACTTATGTCCGCCGTTTTGACCATGGCTATCCCACACCCAGCTTGGAGCGTAATGGTGCTCTAACTGAGATCCTTCCTTACCTACAAAGCAAGGATGTTCTTTCGCGTGGACGGTTTGGTTCATGGAAGTATGAAGTCGGGAACCAGGACCATAGGTTAGTAGTGCTATGTTTTTCTTTGGGAAAGTTTGATCAAATGCTAATCTACAATAGTTTTATGCTGGGCGTTGAAGCTGTCGATCACGTTGTCTCTGGTGCTGTTGAATTGACTCTAAACTATCCTGACTTTGTTAACACTCGTCGCAACACTGAGCGTCGGCTGAAGAGCATGACGACTGTCATCCGGTAATATAACGAGAATGGAGTTTATGATGAGCGAATGTTTGTAATTACAATCGATAGGGACATACGTCTAAGCCACTAGAATAGAATATCAACACCGTGTAGTCCCTTTTTTACCCTAAAATCAAGTATTTATGCCTGGCTTTTATTCCCGTTGGAATCATGCATCGCACACTGCGTCGAATAAGCCTTGCAAAGAATTACTGCATAACATTCGGTAGTTTTGTTGCCAAAATATATATCGTGTATGGTAAAGCGCAGAAGTAAACCGCTTATATGCCACGAAACAGTTATAATGCTTCTTTCGAGAGAATCTGACATATTTGCAGGCGATATGTACAAGTCTTCGACGTGAGAAATCAACCCCTCCTGCCAAGATACTTGTTAATATTCGGATCCTACGGAACTAATGGCTACCTATCAATGCCCGGAAGAAAGGTTTGTACTGATTCCAATTGTACAAGCTGCAAGTTCAGTGACTGCCAGCCTTATTTGCATGAAACGTAGTAGCCTCACACCATGCATCAATGTACGGCAGTCACTCTCTTAAACATGTCAGAAAAGCTATCCGACACACCGTGTCCGGTCAATGCTCTGCCATAAGCTCATTGACAATAAGCAAATGGTGAGTATCTAGAAATTGCAGAAATTAAGCGCCGTGGTTGTGCTTTCTTTTGATTCATGTAAGATGTGCTGAAACCATCTTGCAGAGTATGCACCTGAAGTATCGACATCAATAATTCACTTTCTTCAGAGCAAATATGGCTCTCGTGGTTATTTAAACTCGATTCACCGCAGTTTTTACTCCGCCTTGCTCAACGCAGCTTGCCTATTTCCCTTTCGATAAACTCGACAGTACAGCATCCCCAAAGCATTACAACATTGAACGTGATATATCCTCTCTTACAGTCTCAAATTCCTCAACCAAAATGAGTACACCTCTCACAGAAGCAGACTACACCCTCCCCATCGATTACATTAGAGTTATAATCGAAGTCCCCGAAACAGGCCACGAATCGGACACATACAGCGGAAGCCATCCATCGATCTACCTCCTTACCAACGATGACGGATCAGTGCGCCTGAATATGTCCAGGGCAAAACCTGACGATACTATGGGAACCTATACACCAGAGCGGTGCTCGTACCGGTGTATCGATTATCCCCTCAAGGTCGTCGATCTGTCAGCGGTAAAGGGCTTGACTGTTGGGGATGTTACGAGGCTTATTAAGGGTAAGGGGCGTGATAGATATGAGTTGGTGGTTAGTGGGACGGGGTGTCGGTTTTGGGTGTAAGTGTTCCATCAAGCGCAACTGCGTGTGGATTCGTACTCACTAATGCTACAACAGGAAGACTGTTATCGACGATTTGAATGCTGCGGGCTATATCGATGAAAGCGCGGCTGAGGTTACACAGGCGCAGAGTAGTTTGTACAAAAACTACCGGATGGAGGAGGAGGATTCTGAGTACGAGGAGATTGTCCCGGGGGCATTCGTTTAGCAGTGGCTTGGATGCGGGTTCATAAACTCGTATTTCAGGTGAAAGTGCCACATATCTTGACTGTCTTACATTTGCATTGAAAGCACATTAGATGGTTGAGAGGAACAGAAAATGCGATATTATCCGTTGTAATCTCACCATGCATAGCTGTACACTAAGTCTTAACCGCCAGTCAATGATAAAAATAAATATAATGTATCTAGGGACCCTGTCTCGAATCCTTGTTAGATGACACGCTTGGATGCATATCCTGGGATCTACTGGAGCTCTGCGGAGTGGTTGAAGCGAGTCCTTAACCCCTCTTGAAGGTGTCAGCAAGCATATCCGACAGACGATGTCCAGTCAATTTCCTCTCACGCAGGCTCATTGCCAACCTGCAATGAGCACATTGAAATTTAAAGCAGAATTTGGGCTCCGTTTTGTTGTTTGCTTTGCTGACCCAAGCCCCGCATGTCAGATATCATGAAGCCATCTTCGATCCGGGTCTTCAGTACTATAGATTACACGGTATCCGGACAAATAGAACGCTGACGGGGAATGAAGTGATATATCTAAAGCCTACGGCGTAGCTCTTCGCTCAATAACACACTCGTTCCTCTCGATACACTTGGTAGTACACCATCAACATCCCTCCTGCGCCGAAATCATTCAGCTACAATGAGCACAATACCTCTCACTGAAGTGCACTATGCCTACCCTGTCAAAGCTGTCAGGGTCACCGTGCACACCGTTGGGAAAATGTTCGACACAGACAAGCGCAGTATAAACCATGCGTCCATATTCCTTATCATCGGTACAAAACAACTAGCGCGCCTCAATATGACCAACGAAGGACCTGTCGGGGTTATGGGGTTATATAAAAAGCAGATGTGCTACTACGACAATTCCGAGTCTTCCCTCTTTAACATTGGCGTTTGTGTAATCAAAAGCGGGCTGACAGTCGGGGACTTCGTTCGACTTATTGAGAGTAAACGGCGGCACGAGTATATGCTGGCGCCTACCGGAGTGGGATGTCGGTTCTGGGTGTGAGTTGTCAGCTGTGTGTTTGGTACTTGCTGACACAGTCAACAGGAAGTCTGTTATTGAAGATTTTACCGTTGCGGGTTACGTTGACCCATCCGATGCAGCAGAGATGTATAATGATTTACAGTATAATTACTCGAGGAACAAGGAGCGTCTGTTTGAAGCGATTGTCCCTGGGACATTTGTTCGTTAGCAGGGGCTTACACAAGGGTTCCAGGTGGAAGCTATCTATAGTTTGATCAGCTCTGCGCTATTACACTTAGTTTCCAGTGCATTCATGAGTTACATCAACAAGCATGCAAGTACCCTAGTCACTAGTAACCAATTAGCAATGATCCAGGTCACTTTTCTTGTTATTTCTGGACTCACAATGAATGTCGCAAACTAAGAGCACGGGCTCTTGTAAGAAGTTTCACACATTCTTGCTCCCCATCTGAGAGCTCCATTGTCTTTGCTATGGCTTGACGGAGGCTCTCTATGTAAGGAAGTTTATCATTGTAACATGAAACAGCTGCAACCTCGTAGAACCGCGGGAAAAAGCCCGCATGGCCCCAGTCAAGTAAGCATATCGAGTTGTCTTCCATGAGCTTGATGTTACGGCGACAGAAGTCGAGGTGGCAGAGCACAAGTGGATATGAACGCAAATCTATCGTGTCGTTTGTGAACTTGAGGCGCTTGTTGATCCAATGGTTCAAGTCGTCAACAGAGCAAATAGCCTCGCTTGTCCCCTCATCACCGAACAAGTACCCTATAAGCCTTCTACTGCCGATTGGTGATCCGGGTATGCCATCGCCTGTGCCTGTGACCTTCCCTAACTCAGAGACAACATCTGCCAGGCGTTTAGTGATATCGACGGCGCTGCTAAGCTCGAGCTCTTCCAAAGTCTGCCCGGGTATATATTCCATAAATAAATAACCTTCCGGCCACGAGGGATCTATTTGGTCTGGAACTTGAAAGTAGCGGTAGACCTGCGGAACACGGACGACACGACGGTTGAGATGTTGATTGGCGTACTTTTGTGTAGCGACCTCGCCTGGCAAAACGCCAAATCCACGTTTGACTGCGATTTTGTCTGAGATTCGGAGGACATGATTCCCTCCTTCAACGCGATTGATGACTGTGTTCCGTGCTTCGGCCTGCTCGCATAGGTAGATCAACTGGGTTTCGGGGAGTATATATACAAGCCACTCCATGGGCAGAATATAAGTAAGCCAGCCTGTGGGGAGAGCATAGTTAAGCCAGTCCATGATGCAAGCGAACGGTGATAATGCTGACGTTCAATAGAGGAGTGTTTGCTTATACCGACTGTTAGTTAACTAGTTAGTTATGCCGAGGGATGAGTCAGCTATGTACGACATAATTATCCCACGTCTTCCCCCCGCATGACCCGCGCTATATCCCTTTCGGTGGTTAGTCCAATTCATCCCATCTTCTTGATTCTTGCCTAATTCTTTCTATTCTGCTCTTTGACAATTCCTTCTTCATTCCTTTTTCCTAACTGCCCTCTCAGCTCCGATGTCCTCTCTTACCTGAAAGTAGCCTCCAATGCCGACCCCGAGTGACAACACACCACAGCTGTCTACCACTTCGCTCATCGACGATATATCCTCCCATACTACTTGTCCACCGGAAGTCGAACGATTGCCTTCGAGGAGCGATTCCCCCGAACCCTCGGCTATTGCTGAGCGCGATGCTGTCATCAATAATGCTCCATCCCCCGCCCATACGACAGCGCATTCCATGTTGATGCGGTCAGAAGATGGCGCTATCGCAGATCCTATGAGGGTTGATTCGGGCTCAGGTGCTTCTGGTTCTGCCGTGATGAAGGCAACGACCAAGTCTGAGGAGGAATCGGCGGTGGGGAGACTGAGTCCGGCTGGAGAACCGTCATGCTTGGCACAGCAGCCTTCGTCGGTAGCCAATTCGCCGTCTGTTACATCGCTTCTTAACTATGAATTCTCCAATGTTCGGGTATGTATGCGAGCGGCAGGTATATCATGCGTCTAGTTTACTGACTGCAAAGCTTCTCCCTAATTACACATCCTCGTTTCTACGGCCGGGGAGTAAATTCACCGGAACTCAGCAATCGGATCGCCAGGTGTACAATGTCGACGTCGAGATCAAGCATGTTGACATGGCTGAATCATATCTTTGTGGTTATCTCCGGATTCAAGGTCTGTATTTCCCCCACCTCCGTTGGAATCCATCTGACAAGTATGCATCTAGGCCTCACGGAAGACCACCCTACCCTGACGACGTTCTTCGAAGGAGAGATCATCGGTACCAAACACACCTTCAAAACCCGCCATGAAGCATGGGGCGCGACCGAGAAAACGGACATGAACCATTGGGCACGATTTCCGGCATGGCGACCGTTAGCCAGACAGGCAAAGAAACCCGATTTCACCTACCGAAATTTCGCACAGCGCGAGCACATCTTTATGCGGTGGAAGGAGTATTTCCTCGTCCCTGACCACCGCGTGCGAACTATATCCGGTGCTAGTTTTGAGGGCTTTTATTATATCTGTTTCAACCAGATCGAAGGGACAGTGACCGGAATCTACTTTCACGCCAAGAGTGAGAAGTACGTATGCATCCTGCCGATGTCGAGGGTTTTCTTACTAACGCTCTTGCAGATACCAGCAACTTGAGCTCAAACACGTCGAAGACCGTGGCTGTACCCCCGCTTTCGAATTTCGTTGATTCATCTTATCGGCCCCTTTACGGCCTCTCCATCCCTAGTCCACCTTGTATACCCGAGACGCTCCACCATACCCAGATTGTACCTGACATCTTATCCTTCTTCTCATCTCCGAATCCTCACCACTTCCATTCCATGTTCATTTTCCCCCATTCCCCCTTTGACAGCGGGGACCAACTTCTTCTCATCTTCGTTTTGATGCTTGTACACCTTTCAACTCATTTGTTTTCATTCTATCATTGCCTTCATGCCTCATGACCTTGGTTTCTTGACTTGGCGTCTCGATTGGACAAACGGTTCGGCTTCTATTCGGTTCATATTTCTCGTCTAATTTTACGCTGGGATTTCTTTTTGACGGGCGCGAGTTCGGTTGCCATGATTATATCTTACTATGTCCTCATTATTTTTTGTTTTCTTCGAGATGAATACATATTTTTGATGTTTGTAGCATATGCTTCGGCTAGTTCAATGAACATCCACACCTGGGTATCTCTCTTGATTGAAAGTTCTCACTTCACCACGCAAGCAGTCAGTTCGGTGAAAGGTCAGTCATCGCCCGTTCCCTACACTCCAAAGCCTCCTCAATCAACCCCCTCATCCGCCCATCCCCATCCGCCCTCGCACCCCTCAACCTCTCCCCCCAAACCTCCCATCTATCCCGCTCATACATACCCCTTCCACCCACGATCCCTAAACCTCGCACACCCCGGCCCCAACCCAAAGTCCTCACTGTACGTACGACCACGCTGGACATTCTCCCACAACCGATTCCCCGCATAAATAAACCACATACATGCAGCCTCCATGGCAGCTGTCTTGGCGAGGATCTGCATGGGAATGTCATCGTTTTCCAGGGCAAAGAGGAACGCCCAGACTGCGCGGTGAGATCTGTCCAGGGGGTGGATGTTGAATCCCTAGTCTAGTGGTGGTTCATAGCTTATGTCTGCGGCTTGGGCGATCTGGGCGATGAAGGCATTCTCATTTACCCAGCGCTTCCTTTGCTCATCTTTCAGATCAGGAGTGAAGGGATCTGCAAGTACAAGTAGGCCTTGGGTTAGCAAATGTACTTATCACATACATGATAAAAGAGCTAGTATAGACCTGTATAATCCCCCCCAAACTCCATCCACGTCTCCAACTCCGTGTACCCAAAAGACGGCATATCCATCCAGAGAACATCGCCACTTGCTGCTCCAAGTGGATCGCCTGTCGATAGGTCTGTTGCTGTCACCTTGTGAAGACTGCAGAGGAACTCAACCAGCTTTGTATGCTTTGTTGGCTCCAATTGCTGGGCAAGTGCCATTATGGCCAGGGAGAGATCATAGTCAACGTCACCGGGGGTGTAATGATTCTCTTTATTAGGGGCTGTGTGGGCGGTTATTGTTAGAGTGATGAATTGGTGCAGTGCATTGGTGACTGTTGTGTCGGTGTTGATGAGGTCGTTGAGGATCTTGAATTGTGAGGAGTCTTCGATTGATTCGAATTCGTAGTTTGGGGAGTTCACCATGGTTGCGTCTCTTACTGTATAGAGATAAATAAATGCAAATATAGATGATTATAACAAAGGTAGAATTATTGATGGTATATTCTTATCCAGAAGACAGGGCATAAGGCTGATTCGGGATAGGCGGTGTTACCCTTTTAGGAAAGTCACAACATCAGCTCGATGATCTATTGAACAGTCATTGTTCACTACACCCCAAAATGTCCAGCACTTAACCTCTCCCCCCCCCCCCCAAGCATTTCACTTACGTTTTCGATTATTTTTTTCGACTCACATAAAGATTCTATGATAAGATCGTATTATTATCTTAACTATGTGGCTGTGTATATATCTATTGTCCCCCGGTCTGAAGTGGTCGAAATCGGCGAGTTTTGGTGACGAGCGGCGACTTTAGAATCCTCTACGCCGAGTACGAGTACTGGAGGTATGTTAAAGGCATGTTAAAGGCAGGCTAGAGGCATGCTTTAAAGCTGGATCAAATCCATCAACAGACCTAATCAAACTATCTATTCTAATCTGACTCCATTCTTGTTTCCATCATGAGATTCCTTTGCTTGCACGGAATGGGCACAAATTCCCAAGTCTACGAAGCCCAGCTAGCCCCCATTCGCCACCTCTTAGACCCTACCTACGAATTCGAGTTTGTCGACGGCCTAGTCGAATGTGGTCCAGCGACTGGTGTCCCTTCCTTATTCTCCGGCCCCTTCTACTGCTACTACAACAAACCCACCGTCGAGAACCTCCAAGCCGCATACGACCTGGTTCTGGAGATCATCGAAGAAGAAGGACCCTTTGAGGGAATCTTCGGCTTCTCGCAAGGCGGCGCCCTGGCAGCCTCGCTGTTGCTGCATCATCGCAAAACTAACCCCCATGCCCCCGAGTTGTTCAACTTCGCCGTGTTCACCTGCGCCAGTCTACCCTTTGATCTGCAGACTGCGGCCCAGGGAAACAAATACAACACCATCGTCGATCCCCAGACGGGCGAGGTCGATGTTCGGGACTGGGTCGAGGGGGATGTTGTCAAGCCGGCTGAAATCAACGGGTTCATTACGGCCAGTGAGCCGGGAGATGTGGTTCTGCGTCGGTATCATCCGGATCGGGAATCGGCTAGGATTCAAATTCCTACCGTTCATATTATGGGTGCGTTGGATCCGTTCTTGCCTCAGTCGAAAGTGACGGTTGGGCTTTGCAGTCAGCATTCAACAATTGTCCATGATCAGGGGCATAATCTTCCCCGGGATGCGAGATTTGCCTTGAAGGCTGCTATGGCTATACAACGGGCGATTTCTACAGCCATGTTTCAACATTAATGTTCTTTTTTTTTTTTTTTTTTTTTTTTTTTTTTTTTTTTGTCAGGCTTACGCGTGCAGTACTCTCTTCAATACTACGCATACAGTCCGCAGTGCGCTCACCACGCTGTCTCAATCCCTCCTTTCTCACAATGGCCGACGGATTGTTTATAAATAGGCCCTTATGCTTGATAGTTTTCTCAATCACAGTTCTTTCTTTATTCAAACCAAATAGTGCCTAAGATATTCTTCCGAGCTATTATAGTTGACAATGGAATATAGCCAGTTAATCATCATCCTCAAACACATGGACAACTATTCCCTCAATGCTTCTCATTTGTTTAACACCGTATTCATCGAGGCTAAAGTTGAGTCAGAAATTAGGACCAGCCCATTCATAAGATATATAGAAACAATAGTATTGTTGGAGGGGGCCATACGTAACACCAAAAATAATTGGAGGCAATGACCTGCTTTCGGGGTGGGACTCGATTCCAGTTAATTCCTCAAGTAGCCTGAGATTGTCAGCCATAGCATATTCTAAGAAGTCCCTAGGACATTTCTGCTCCAACATACTTGTTAACCTCCTCACGTTTGTCCTCCCATTCCTCTACACCCTCAAAAGTGATCTGAACAAACTATATGTAAATTAGTATAAATAACAGTTGTCAGGGTTGTATTATATCTAACCTACCTTAGACATTGTCAGATAATAGGAGAGTTATTGAATATAATATTCAGAAATATGTGTGGTACTGCCTTGATAATTGTTGACTCTTGAGAAATCATGTTTGTGGGCTGATGGTATCAGAATATATAATTCTATGCTGCAGATGTGGCTGGCTGAGGAATCTGCACATACACCTCATCATGCATATCATCATATGGCCCCAGCTTTGCCTCACCCAGTCACGCAACTCATCATTTATTCATGGGCAACTATTGGCAGAACCCATGACAATTGTCCAGCTGAAGCCCCACAAATTAGCTGCAGTTCAGTGGATTACATGCGTCATTTTACCCTGAGATACATCCGGAGGCAAGATTGAATGAGGGAAGCCGACTGGCTGTGCAACCAATTATGAGGGGAAGATACTGTGGATCAGGCTATGGCAAAGAAAGGCATTGACGATACTATATGTATTCTGTCTCTGTCTGGATGGATGAGGGTGGATCTCCTCTATCCGGCAGTTGTGTGTGTGAGCTCGCTAGTGCGTTTTAGTGGGCAAGGATAACTAACTAGTTAACTAGTTGATTGGATTGAGTGCCTATCGGCTCTGGCTAGCTATGTCTAGTTACCGGGCAGAAAGCGAGGGCGGTCAAGCACGTGACCCGATGGGTACTAACAGTGCGGGCCAATCAGGAGCGGGGCATATTGGAGCCTGAGGCTCTCCAACAGATACTCAACTCCCCCAGCTCAGCCGACAAATGCGAATGTGTGAGAAGGGATGCCTAAGACAGGGTTGCCCAATACACAACCAACTTACTCAACGGACGTGCTCTGGAGGAAGCAAGCATTCAGTGGGCCAAACAAATTTGCCGCTAATAGGGATTGACTAGGCGTATACAGCACTTTATCACACCAACATGATGTGATGGCTCAACGCTTCAACGCCTGCCATGGTGGCTGATATCAAGATGGCAGCTCGATGGCGTGCCGCCGTCACTTGGGCCATATCAGTTGACACCTTTGTTTACAGCATGCGCACAACTGATATCTACTGTCAGCCATCCTGTCAAGCGCGCCTAGCCCGGTGTGCCAATGTCGAGCTTTTTGACTCTGCAATACAAGCAGAAGCTGCTGGATTCCGACCAATAATACTAACCCTAATACTTTCTGTTACAGAGTCTTCATCACCTGGCTGATCCCCTCCTAGTTCATTTGAAAGATTATCGCCATCAGCTTAATAGAGTGACAGGCCACAAAATGCAACATTTGTCATTGACTTCCCCCATGAGTCTGCCTAACAATACCATTCATCATCTACAGGCGTTCCCGAATATCCCCTTCCATGCCTATAAATCCCTCTGATTGCCGAAGGAGACTACATGGTTGGCCGCTGGATTGGTGGTGGCAGACATACCGGCAGGGCATTTGATGACCTTGCAGTTGGCAAGCTCAACAAGATCACATGATTGCTTTGTGGTCATTGAATTGGAACTGACGCTTTCCAATGAAGATTATGGATGGGGAGGGGGGAGGGCTGTGCATAACAGTTTCTGTAATATTGGATCACTCTGGAGACAAAATACTTGCATTAGAGTAGGAGATTGTTTCTACAGTGGTTACAGATGTAGCAAAGACCATAGATGCTTCTGTGTTGTACAGAAGAGCTCATTGCGTGGACAAAAAGGGATCTCTGTGTTTTTGTCAGGGCAATCTCTAATGTTGGATGAGCTGTTGAGGTCAGGCTCGGGGTCTGTTAATGGGATGGATGTCGTCCTGATCTGCTTGGGCCGTCCATGAAGCAGGCCACCTTCTAGGACGTCACAATACTGCACAACAGCATCCACTGCCTCATCATGCCGTTTCCATTCATCCTCTACCAAATTGGAAGTCAGGTACGAGAGAAGTCACTGAAGAAGGAGTAACTGAAGAGGATGCATATCATCCTGTAAAGATGATTCTTCATCCTTGCTTTCATCCTTTACTGTGGTATTGGACAACTGCACCTCAATATCCAAAAACACTTGCTCTTCATCAAAATTCTCTCAGACTTGATGTCACGGAGCATAGACATTCACTGAGCATGGACAGTCACTGAGCCTCGCTTAAACCCTTCGCACACATTAGATAGCTCGTCGCCGGCAGGCCTGCCTCTTTCCTTTTCTCTCCTCATGTTAGAATTTTGTCAGATAATCTACCAATATACTCATATTGCTCGAGACCGTCACACTTGATGCCATAAGGCCCTCAACAGCTGTTGTCATGTGTTCTTCAATTCTTTCTGTCATTGGTGGATATGATTCAGTAAGCTTGCTTGCTGGGACTCCTTGTAATGGGTGCAAGCATTGTGTAGATTGCAGTGGGCCCTTTCCAGGTCTGGGTGATCCTCTACCTTCAGGGGCATAATCTTCCCCGGGATGCGAAATTTGCCTTGAAGGCTGCTATGGCTATACAACGGGCGATTTCTACAGCCATGTTTCAACATTAATGTACTTTTCTTTTTTCTTTTTTCTTTTTTTTTTTTTGAGTTCAATTTCTGGTTTCTTGTTAAATACATGTCATAAAGCGTAAATCGTGAATGCTATGCTACTTTCTTCCACTTTTCCATGAACACCTGAAGCTCTTTATGTGTACTCTCTAGTTTCCGACGCACTTCTCTCTCATTATTTGTTTCCGAACATCCCCAGCCAAAAATACCTTCCAAAAGACTGAGATGGAAATCCATCGTGATGCCGTCGGATAAACACCGCAGTCGCGTATGAGTATCAGCGGGCTGCTTCTCCAAGAATGGCGATGATCGAGATGTGATGGAGATCGGGGGAGATGGTAGCGCAGAACGTGAAGAAGAGGGGGGCTGCATGAGCCCCATTGACGGACGGAGACCGCCGTCCAAAACTCGCTGGTAAATCTCCACCACGGTGCTGATCATCGAGATGATCAGAAGAGGACAGGGAGATAAAGATAAGGTAGGGTCGGATGCACTGGGTGCCGATTGCGAGAGCCAAATCAAGACATCGCAGAGGGATGAAACCGTGGAGAAGATCTGTTCAATTGAGCTTCGGTCGCTGATGCCGAGCATTTCTCCACGGCAGAAGGTGTCGTGGGCCAGGTGCAGGGTGAAGAGGAGTTGGGAGAGTTGCCCATATACGGTAATCAGACTCTTTCCCTTGCACTCGGGGCGATCTTCCATGTATGATTGTTGTGGTTGCTGTTCGGGGACAAGGGCCGGTGATGTTGTTGTCCGAGGTACACTGAGGTTTTTGTTTGGGGAGAGAAAAACCAAGTCCCGTTGCGATATTTCGTTCTCGGTTATCTGGGAAGGACTTTGACATAGAGAGCCGACTTCATCGGGCGAGAAGAATGGGAATTCATTGTCAAATGGAATCGACGGCTCTGTGAGTCTGCGGATGAATCAGTCTGCTGAATCGAGGACATCAATCTTAAATCAACGGGTGAGGATGTTACGTACGACATTGGGAACGGTTCCAATGCACTCTCCCATGGAGAATGCATGTACGAGGGTTCACTTGCGAGGGTAGTTTCATCAGGCAGACTTGCATTACCCCCGTCCGCTCCACCCAGCATTATACTCGGTACAGGGGTGGTATATCCGGGGACGGGGTCGAAGACTGTCGGTATGTGACTTCCTGCATTATTATCCCCATCCGTCTGTGTAAGACTCGGTGTTCTCGTTCGGTTGCGTTTGGAACGAGATGGTCGCACTCGAGGACGACCAATTCGACTGCGAGGACTGAAGGTGCAGACCTGACCACTGGCTCGACAGTTGGTGCAGGGACCGCCACCATCGGACGGGCAGCGAGTCTTCCGGCGATGGCAGTTATCGCATGCTTCACGCAGGACAGTCTCCATAATTGTATAGATAAAGATTACGGAAGGAGTATGGTTAGAGGTTGATCAGAGGTTGACCGAAGGTGACATACATGTATAAAAGCATCCAAGTCTGTCTATGGAGGCTCGGTATTAACATGTTCACCAATAATGCCAAGAAGAAGAAAAGGCAAAAATACTAGACAAGCACTTACACAGCCATAGAATGCCTTACTCCTTGTGAAGCTTACTTGTACTTAAGCAATGCCCGGTCATGGGGCGGCGCATAACAACCAATCGCTTGAAATGTTAAGCCAACAAGCCCCATACGGCAGGATCTTGATTGTGTTTCACATCTGTCCTAGTCTGCAAGTCATTTCCATTTTATCTTATCTCACGCAAATCTCATACTATTTTGTAGAAGCTGTGGTGAGAGGTGAGATTTCTCCATCGCCCCATGCCATCTGGGGGCGATGGATTAAAGCCGCCGATGAACCCTCAGTATATACATAAGGTTTGTCTTTTTTTAGACCCATGACGGTTGATGATGTACTCGTAATGTCGATATTTGTGAGCCCTATCTGATGAATTGTCATTATGGCAGTGCGCCGTGTAAATGTCAAAACCTTTACACCTCCTAGCTATCTAGTATTCCACCGTGCATTTCTCTCAGTTATTGAATAAATTACCTCTTCAAAATGGGTTCTACAGATCCGGAATCCCTTCAAAGTTCAGATACAGTCAATGCCCAGGGCAGCAATGCAGAAAGCAGTAGGAAACTGCCTGTTGCCCGCCTGACACATCTCAGCGGATGGAAACTATGGATCACGATCTTCTGGTATGTAATTCATAAATTGACTTAAAAAAAAAAAAAAAAAAAAAAAACAATTACATCGTCTAACAAGATAGCCTCTGTCTCGGGCTTCTTTTGTCTGCCCTCGAGACTAGTATCATTGCTACGTCGCTAGTCTCGATCACGTCGAGTATGGGAAACTATGAAAAGGGAAATTGGGTGGTAACTTCCTATCTGATCACTTATACAGGAAAGAATGCTTTCTCTTCAGTTGTAACTTGGGCAGTCCTGCTAACATCTTCCAGCCTTCTTGGTTATCTTTGCTCGAATGAGTGACTTGTTTGGCCGGAAAACGACCTTGATTTCTGCGCTAAGTTTGTTCACGACCTTTTCCCTCGCCTGTGGACTGGCACGTTCAATGGAGATGCTGTACGTATTTCTGTTCCTTTTTACATTCACAACTCAGAGCAGCTCATTCCGTTGTCTTTCTGATAGTATCATTTTCCGCGCTTTCCAGGGCATCGGCGGGGCAGGACTGTACAGTCTTGCTATTTCCGTGATCGCAGAAGTGACTCCAATACAACATGCCGGTCTAGCAGTTGGAATGATGAGCTCTGTCTTTGCGGTGGCTAGTTTATTGGGTCCCATCCTGGGGGGCGCTATCACCAGCCATACCACCTGGAGATGGGTATTTTACCTCAACCTTCCTCCGGGAGTCATCATCTCCATCCTTGTCATAGCCGTGTTCCCTCGCAATGCAGGACCGCTGCCAACAACATGGGCAACCATCCAGGGCATTGATTTCATCGGGATTGCCACCTCCTTGGCCGGATCAGTTCTGCTAATCTTTGCGCTTGAATCGGGAGGAACGTTTTACGCGTGGGACAGTGGCACCATTGTGGCATGTTTTGTTGTCGCGGCGCTCTGCTTCATTGCATTTGGTACTTGGCAATGGTTTCTCTGTCGCTCATCCCTTAATCGAAGGATTCTTCCCCTCTTCCCCACTAATCTCGTCACTCAACGATTTTCAGGGCTTGCAATTCTGTACGTAGCCGTGTCTGCCTATTGACTCGAAGCCCATGGAGATAGCTGACGCAGCAGCAGGACGGCTTTTCTAACCGGATTTCCCTTCATGATGACCCTCATCTTTCTTCCGCAGCGACTGCAGTTACAGAATGGGCTCAGTCCGGTCGATGCCGGTGTAGACATGTTGGCCCTGCTTTTGCTATCAGCCTTTGGCTCTTTCCTTGCTGGCATGCTCATCAGTATATTTGGAATTGGCTGGCATGTCCTGGTCGCATCACTCTTTTTACAGATCATTGGGCTCAGTTTGATGACAACGCTCCCTGTCACGTCCGGTCCAGTCCCGTCTGCGCAGTTTGGCTACCAGGTGATTCTGGGATTGGGCTTTGGCCTGGCACTGAGTAGCCTGGCTATGACCGCGCGTGTGGGTATGAAAGAGCAGGACATCAGTCAGTCAACCACCCTGGGAAAAAAAAAAAAAAAAAAAAAAAAAAGTTTTTTCCAATTCAATATTGAGCCGGCTAACTAACTGTGCTAGGTATCTGCATGGGCTCTATTACTCAAGTTCGCGTCCTGGGGGGCGTAATCGGTATCGCCCTCGGGCAAGCGATCACCACATCACATTTAAAGTCCGAACTACTCCCTATAATCGGGGCCAGCAAACTGACCGAACTACTGAGCTCCACCGAGGCCGTCAAGGCGTTCCCAGCGGCAGAAGCAGTGCTAGTGAAAGAATGCTACGGACGGGCCTTTGCCCTACAGGATAAAATCATGCTCGCATTCACCGCGGTCAGCGTGCTAGCCATGATGGGAGCCTATGTCAAGGACACCCGGTCAGCCAAGGACCAAGCCACGCAACAGTCGCACTCATCGTCGATGGAGAGTGCAATTATCAGCTCGAGCCCACCGCGGATCGAGATGAGTTTGGGAAATCCTACCGAGGCCAGTCTGTCGCAGGAAGTCGAAAAGGCTACGATAGGGACGTTCTTCTGGGGTAAAAGGCTAAGCCAGGCGAGCACTCAGAGGGAGCCTCAGACGGCCTCGTCTATGTGGAGTACAATATTTAGTCCTCACGGCCCGCAGATCGGGATGGCTTTTGGGAATTATACAGAGGACAGTTTGACATCACAATTCGAGCAGGCGACGAGGCATTTTGTATGATTTGATGGCATGTGTTAATGATTCAATTGTATATAGCGAATGCTCATTCTCAATTCAACTATTTTGTTTATTACATTCTGCCTCTATTTATGTCTCTTTCTTAGTATAATGATTGAAATTATTCGTTGACATAGTCGATTTTTCTGCATATCTAAATATAGTACCCCTTCACTATACATATTTCTATACTATGCTATAGCCTGGATTCTACTCTCTTATGATCTATGATCATAGAAAGAACTTTTTATAGAACAAGATGCTGGAACATTGATAACGTATCAAGAGATGGAACCAATTTTCAACATGCGCAGTAACATTTGATCCTGTCGGCGACTTTTGAGCACTCATGAAACTTCCACCCTTCACCCCACCTTTGAGGCTGTTCGGTGGTAACTGGCTGTTCTCTGCAGACCACAGATATCGCCTGCTCGTGCTCCTAATTTATTATGTTGGTTGTGTTCTGTCCCCCAATAATCTGCCAAAGCCTCCGCCCAACATCGGTGCCGATCATTAGGCGTTCGGCATTCAAATCCTTTGAAGAGGGCAGCGCTCGTACCTTGCCATTTCCTTTCCATAGCCTCGTCTCCTTCTACTGCGCATTCCCCCTCGTAATGTCATTTAAAACTTCGCTGGGTCTTGAATATGGCTGTCGTCGACCATATTTCCTTCGCCTCTTCTCAATCAGCCCCCTCACCCTCACTTTCTCTCATTCTTTTGCCTGATTGATTACAATGTCCTCGCCGCCGGGGCTTCCCCCGTACATTGTCACCTTCGGTCCCCAGGCTAACTGCACGCTGGAGATATGTCCGATCCAGTATTCCCTATACGGGTATCGGCCCAGCCTGGCCGCCAATGCTAGCTTTATTGGGCTATTTGGTCTGGCAGGGCTGATGCACATCTGGCTGGGGATCCAATCGAAGACTTGGTTCTTCATGGGTGCCATGTCCGTCGGCTGTGTGAGTGCACTCCTCGGATATGTCGGTCGGGTGATGATGTACTATAACCCGTTCAACTTTAATGCTTTTATGCTCCAAATCAGTAAGTTCCTGCTCATCACCATTCAAGTTCACTCCGGTAGAGGGGGGGGGACAAGAGTTTTAATCAAGAATAGTTCTCGTTACAACCACCCCCATCTATTTCTGTGCCGCGATATACGTGACCCTCGCTTTCACCATTAATGAATTCTCCCCAAGCCTGGCGCGCTTCCCACCTAGATATATCTACTGGGTCTTTATCAACTGTGACGTGGTCTCTCTCGTCCTGCAAGCGGCCGGCGGTGGCTTATCCACCTCGACCAGCGGGAAGAGCCAAATTGGCGTAGACCTTGCCCTCGCCGGTCTTGCCTTCCAGGTATTCACCATCTGCATCTTCTGCGCCTTGCTGGGCGACTACCTGTTTCGGTATTCCCGTTCCGGCCTCCTGGCAGCCAACTCTCTGCACTACCGGTTCTTGATCTTCTTCGCCTTTCTCGTTATCACCATCCTGATGATCACCATTCGATGCGTCTACCGGCTGGCCGAGTTACACGCCGGGTATAGTGGGGGTTTGATTCGAGATGAGACGCTGTTCATCTGGTTTGAAGGATTGTAAGTAGCCAGCCAACTCTCGAACACATCGGTGAGCTACTACTGATACAGCCAGCTTGATCCTCGCATCGGTGTATTCGATGATGCTGGGCCATCCGGGTCTGGTGTTCCAGACACGTAAGAAGGAAGAGGCTGAGCCGCCGCGTCCTCAGGGTCCCGAGTCATGATGTTTTACGATGATATTTTTTTGAATGAATGAGCCACTGGGTTCTATAGCGGAAAATTATTTTCATGATAGATGAATAGGATGCCGAGATTATGAGGTTAAGATAAGCTTGGATTCCCGTGGTTTAGTAATGCTTAGCATACGTAGTTATGTCTAGTAAAGCCAAGAAGTATATATCCGCCTACTAACCGACCACTCATACTTTCACTTATCGCATATACTCACAGGTACGAACAACACAACCGCAAATTCCATTTCCCCAAAAAGCACGACGATCGGAGATCCAAGGAAGAACCGTCCAAATGCTAACTACTTTTCATCCTCCCAGGTCAAGACCCTACATCTAACTCCCTTGCTTCCAACCTTTGGCAATGGCAAAAAAGCATCCACCGCACACTCTATATCGCTCTTATCCGTCTCATACAACTCGAGATACCCAAGATCCCCGGGCATCCTAACCTCCGGCGAACCATAAGACGAAAAAAGCCGTCCGAGCAGAAGATACAGCTCCGCGAGGGCCAGATGCTTCCCCAGACAGGCGCGCGATCCCTTGGAAAACGCGACTTGGTATCTGATCAGCCCTGGATCCTCAATCCACCGCTCTGGCCGGAATGCAGATGCAGACGGGAAGATGTGCTCGTCGTACAGGATCAGCTGCTGGCTCATCGAAACTGGGGTTGAGGGTGGAATTTTCCACTCGCCATCACTCTTTGCCGAGTCTTTCACGGTGAGAACCTCATCTGGAGCTACTCGGGAGAGGCGAGTCGATACGCCGACCGACAGTCTCAATGCTTCCTGAATCACGGCGGTGAAGTAGGGTAGTTGTTCCAATATAGGCAGGATCGTCTCGTTGCGGTCATCGTTGGAACCGGGGGTGAAGGCGTCTGCCAGCTCGGTCTTCAATCTCTTGAGGCAGCTGGGGTTGCTTAAGAGGTGGAATACGGCGTGTGTAAGCGACCAGGACGTGGTGATTGTCGCTGCACCGACCAGCGAGCCTGCGTCGGAAGCCAGCCGGTTAAACGACTTCTCGTGCTCGGGGATTTTACTGTCTAGGATCTTGTGGAATACGGTGGGTGCTTTGTTGGCGGGACTGGGATCGTCCAGGACGGACCTAACCTGCATCGCAATGTCCTGCCCAGCGCATTAGATTTGATACTTGATAATGGAGAGACGTTTTCATTTACCTTGTGCATCGCAAAAAACGACGACATGGAAGGGTTGAATTTAAGCGTCATGTGAGGAGGGATTGTTCGAACCACTTTGAGCAGCCAAGGGAACTGTCGTGTTAGGAAGAGCTGTTTGCCACCGTTGATGCAGGCTGTGTGGAAATCATCGTCGAAATCGGGAGCCTCGACTTTACGTCCAGGACGACGAAACGCATACTCGGTAATCACATCTGTGTTGGGTTTGTCAGTCATGGATCTTGCTAATGCTAGGATCTGTACACTTCCAACATACCGGCCGAGAATGCTCCAAACATCACGTCCAGAGGCAGAACACTCCCATCCGCCTTGAACTGCCTCACTCTCTTCATGACGGAATCAACTCGACCTTGAATGAGTGGCTCTAACTTGCGTACCTGAGCCGTGGAAAAGGACGGATTCAGCGCTGACCGACGGATTCTGTGATCCTCATGCCGCTCAGTCGCAAAAGTGGAAAAGTCTGCCCCGAACGCCCGCGACGCCCAGTACCATTTGTGTCGAGTCCGTCCTCCGGCCGTATAGAGTTGATTGTAGAAGTCGAACTCGTGGACATGCAGTTCGTGCGGGTTGATTCGGACGACAGGGCCGTATTTTTCGTGGAGGCGAGCAATATGGAACGTGTACTGCCCGCCCAGAACGACATCGTAGTAAAACTCGTACCTAAGGGTGAATTAGTTTGTGTCTTACTAACAAAGTCGAGTTGCGCATCTCACCAGAAGGTGGCCGCCGCCAGTCGAGGGCCTGGGAATCTCCGTATAGGACTGAAGAAAAGTCGGTAGACGACTAAAGCGACGCTATACAGGGACACTGAGAGTACAGCAATCGCTGCCAACCACCCTGGAGTGGCATATTGGAGTAGAAGCATCGTTACGTCCTCGTTAATTGAAAAGTATGAACTCTGATTGCTGTGGTTGCAGGTACTATTTTAGTTGGGGGCCAGAAATCGACGCAGTTCAGACAGCCCCAACTCAGCCTGGTCTTACTATTTATCGTCAAACCATGCTTACAACCTCAAAACTCGCCGACAAAGGATTCTTTTAATTAACCACCGAGCCGGCGAGTTCGCATAAAAATAGTTACCAACAATAGATGTCAGATTTCGGCAGCTGTGATGGTTGCATTCTATGCGAAAAGCTTCCGCGGCGACATCTATACAAGGAAGCAAGGCGTTTTCTCGCAATTGGTTTTAGATCTCTTCAACACGACTTGAGGATAAATATCGAGCAAGATCTCCGGTAGAATTGCCTTTGGAAATCATCAAACATCAATCTCAGAACAACTCAACACAACTCATTGCTACTCTTTGTCCACCACGAATCAAACACCATGTTTCAGTCCAACACCACCAAGCCTTCCTTCTCCGGAATCGAAGAGGACCCTGTGATGCCAATTGCTATCATTGGCTTCTCTGGCCGTTTTCCCGGTGATGCCGAGAACCCTACGAAACTGTGGGATATGATCGCAGCGGGCAAAAGTGCCCTCTCCGACATTCCCAAAGATCGGTTCAATGTGGACGCTTACTACCACCCTCACCACGAGCGGCACGGAATTCTGAATGTCCGAAAAGCCCATTTCATGAAGAGGGATATCTCTGCATTTGATGCACCCTTCTTTACCATGTCCATTCCAGAGGCGGAAGCTATGGACCCTCAGCAACGAATGGCGCTTGAATGTACCTATGAAGCTCTCGAAAACGGTAAGCTTACACTGGAAAACCTCGTGATATTGAGAAACTTTAATCTAACCTTATTTCTCTTTCGTTAGCTGGACTTCGAATGGAGGATGTCAGCGGATCCAGCACATCGTGTTTCGTGGGATGCTTCACTAGAGACTACAGTGAGATGCTAGGCTCTGATCCAGAGGATCTTCCTCTCTACCACGGAACCGGAACTGGATCAGCCATCATGTCCAACAGAATTTCGTGGTTTTTTGACTTCAAAGGACCCAGTATTAGTTTGGACACCGCTTGCTCATCATCCATGGCGGCTCTGCACTTGGGATGCCAGAGCTTGCGTACAGGAGAAACCACCATGGTATGTCCCTTGATAGCCCCCTCCTGCATACAATAGCTAATTTAGTGGACAGTCAATTGTTGGTGGTACCAATCTGATTCTCATGCCCGGTATCATGGGTTCGATGACCCGACTGCACTTCCTTAGCCCAGACGGAAAGTGTCAGTCTTTCGATCACAAGGGCAATGGATACTCTCGCGGAGAAGGTAGGCTTTCTCATTTGACAACCCGTTTTTGAGCAATGACTAACGTCATGGGATAGGTGCTGGGTTCTGTGTACTGAAGCCACTTGATCTGGCTTTGAAAGACGGCGATGTTATCCGGGGTGTCATCCGCAACAGCGCGGTCAGCCAGGACGGACACACTCCTGGAATTACCCTTCCTTCCGGAGAGGCACAGGAGGCGCTCATTCGGCGTGTCTACGCAGAGGCAGGTTTGAGCCTCGCTGATACACAATATGTTGAGGCCCACGGAACTGGAACACCTGCTGGAGACCCTGTTGAAGCGGGCGCTCTAGGAAGAACTTTTGGTAGCGCCCGGGGTACAGGGAACCCGTTGATTATGGGCTCTATCAAATCCAACGTTGGCCACCTCGAGGGCGGCTCGGGCATGGTACAGGTTATCAAGGGTATCATGATGATTGAGAAGGGAGAGATTCCGCCATCGATCTGGTACGAAAAGCCGAACCCACGAATTCCAATGGATGAATGGAACCTACAAGTTCCGACTCAGCTACTGCCTTGGCCGACCGCGGGTCTCCGCCGTGTTTCCATCAACTCCTTTGGGTACGGAGGCACCAACGCTCATTGCATTATCGACGACGCGTACCACTATTTCCAGGCCCACCGTATCACCGGAAAGCACAATGTCCAGGCCATCGAAAGCCCTTCCCCATTCGGAACCCCCGATTCTGGAGTTGAGCTCTCCAGCAACCGCTCAGATGCTATGTCGTGGACCTCCGTCAGCGACTATTTCTCTAATCCCTTTGTGTCGGAAATTCCATCGTGCCCCAAGCTGCTTTTGTGGAGCTCTAACGACCAAGGTGGCGTCGAGCGAAATGCGAAGGCCTTCGCCCAGTATCTCACGGATAAGGTCTCTGATGATTTGACCGAGAAGGAAGAGAAGAAGCTGCTTGCCAAACTTGCAATCACCCTGGCGAACCGGAGAAGTGTCCTTCCGTGGAAATCCTTTGTGGTTGCAAGCTCGTGCAAGGAGGCAATCGCACAGCTCGAATCGCTCCCTGCCCAGCCTGTTCGCACCTCAAGCGGGCGGACGTGCCCCAAGCTTGCATTTGTCTTCACCGGGCAAGGAGCCCAGTGGTTTGCTATGGGTCGCGAGTTGTACGCACAGCCTGTCTTCAGATCCAGCCTGGAAGCCGCAGGTAGATACCTTGTCACCCTAGGCGCCTCTTGGTCCCTGCTCAATGAGCTGTTCCGTGACGAGGAAACCTCCAGACTGGACTCCCCGGATCTTTGCCAGCCGCTATGTACAGCCCTTCAAATCGCATTGGTGGACCTATTCAAATCATGGGGTGTCAAGCCAACTGCTGTCATTGGTCATTCCAGCGGTGAGATTGCCGCTGCGTATGCGAAGGAGGCTATTTGTCGCGAGGATGCCTGGAAGATCGCATACTACCGAGGCCACCTTTCCAGTTGCATCCGTGGCTTTGCGCCAGGCTTGTATGGTTCAATGTTGGCAACTGGGATTGGAGCGGAAGACTCGCAGAAGTATATCAGCCGTCTCCCTCGGGGCAACGCGACAGTTGCGTGCATGAACAGCCCGGCAAGCACAACCATCTCTGGAGACTCAGTTGCAATCGACGAACTTGAGCAGATGATCAAGCAGGATGGTCACTTTGCTCGAAAACTCAGAGTTGACATCGCCTACCATTCCCCTCATATGCAAGTCATTGCGGACAAATATCGCCAGGCCCTGGGAGACATCATCCCCCTCGATACAGCGGAGACCCAGGTGCAGATGTTCTCTTCCCTGACTGGCGAGAGAGTCAAGGCCAATAATGAGCTTGGCACAGACTACTGGGTCTCCAATCTGGTTTGTCCGGTGAGCTTCTCTAGTGCGATGAAAAGTCTTCTGCAATATTCCGAGAAGAAATCGAGACGTCGCAACAACAAGGCTTTCGTGGAGCATTTGATTGAGTTCGGTCCTCATGCTGCGCTCAAGGGGCCCATCAAGCAGATCCTTACCTCCGACTCGCTTGGCCCACTTGGCGAGGTGTCGTATCAATCCGTTCTTGAACGTGGAAAGAACGCCTGCGAAACAGCAATGGCAGTTGCAGGTCGCCTCTTCCAAAATGGATACCCCGTCACCGGTGACTCCCTGTTTGATGATTTAGATTCGTCAGTCAAGGGCGGTTACCTCGTCGATATGCCACCATTTGAATGGAACCACAGCCTGAAGTACTGGGCGGACCACCACACTGCACGTCACCATCGATTCCGCAAGAACCCCAGGACTGACCTCTTGGGTGCCGAGACGGTGGACGGCATCGATGCTGAGCCGCGATTCCGCAATATCTTGCGAAACAACGACATTCCCTGGGCCCAGCTTCACAAGGTCCAAGGAGCTGCCTTGTATCCGGGAGCTGGTATGATGATCATGGCAATCGAGGCCATGTGTCAGAGAGCGGATTCCTCGCGCCCTATTGCTGGATATGAGCTGCGAGACATCATCATTAGCAAGGCGATCGTTGTGCCCGCCGACGACTCTGGCATTGAAACAATGCTCAATGTAAGGCCATACCGGCAAGGAACTCAGTCGCTCGACGCTGCCTGGCAGGAATTCCAGCTTTACTCCCGCAAGGATACGTGGGAGCTGAACTGCTCTGGTCTTATTCGCATCGACTACAAGACCTCTCCTAACACGGTGTTTGTCGACGAGGATGCGCTGGCTGCAGAGCGTTATGCAGGCCAATACCAAGCTGTGCAGAATGCCTGCTCCCGCCTCCAGCGCCCCCGAGACTTCTACGAGCAACTGAACTCCATCGGCCTGTACTACGGTGGCGTGTTCCAGGCTTTGACGGAGATTCACAAGGGCGACTATTGCAGCACCTGTCAGGTCAAGGTTTCGGACACGAAGAGCATTATGCCACACCAGTTCGAGTTCCCCCACGTGATTCACCCGGTTACTCTGGACAGTATTTTCCAGATGGCCGTGCCTTCTTCATTGAAGGCCGACGAGGACTTGAACGCTCCCAGGGTCCCTGTGGGGATCGGACGTCTCTATGTCTCTGCGGATGTGCCCAAGTCCCCTGGCGATATCTTGAACGGCTATGCCACTTACGAGCAGACTGGGTTTGATCAGGGTGAATCAAATATTGTGGTCTCCGGCGAACAATGGAACAAGCCTCTTGTTGTTCTAGAGGGTATGCGAGGAAGAAGGCTCAACACCAAGACGAGCAACGACACAGACCTTCGCAAGATCGGCAGCCACTTCCACTGGCAGGAAGATCTCTCTCTCATGCAGCCCGAGCAGCTGCGCAAGCTTTGTGTCAGTGCCACTGGCCATGTCAAAAACGAAGATCGCCAAGTTCTCTTCGACATTGAGATGGCCTGTATGGTCATCATCAAGCGGGTGATGCAAGAATGCTCGGTTGAGGAATCTGAATCCTATGCCTGGAACTTCAAGCTATTCTACGACTACATGAGAGACTACATGGGACTTGCCCAAGAAGGAAGCCTGGGCTATCAGCTGGAGACCCCAGAGGTTGACTGGCTGAATATGACTCCGGAGGCGGAAGAGTCCCTCCTAGAGCGCGTGTCGAAAACATCCACCGATGGTCGAGTTCTTATTGAGCATGGCAAACATCTTCCCCAGATTCTGCGTGGCCAAATCCCTCCCCTTCAGATCTTGATGTCCGATAATTTCCTACACGATTTCTATCAGTCCGGCATCGGCACCAAACAGCACTATGCTCAAATGACCTGGTACGTCGACCAGTTGGCGCACAAGAATCCCGACATGAAGATTCTTGAAATCGGCGGTGGTACTGCTGCTGCCGCCCTGCCCGTGCTGCAGACGCTGGGCGGCTCTGGAGGTACAGACCCCCGATTCGAAAGCTACACATTCACCGACATCAGTGTTGGGTATTTCGAGAAGGCCCAGAGAAAGCTGGCACCTTGGGTTCCCTACATGAACTTTGCCAAGCTCAACATCGAAGAAGACCCTGTCACTCAGGGTTTTGAGGAGGGTGGATATGATATGATTGTGGCATCTAACGTTCTGCACGCAACCCGGTCGATTGGAAAGACCCTTCAGAACGCAAGGAAGCTGTTGAAGCCGTAAGTTTTCATCCCTTTTTGAGCATAACAGTAGTACTAATTGCGACATGTTGTATAGAAATGGCAAGCTTGTCCTCAGTGAGCTCACTCAATTCCAAAAGATGAGGTTCCATATGGTCGTCGGGTCGTTGGAAGGCTGGTGGTATGGCGAGGATGATGGCCGCCACCATGGGCCAACCCTGTCAATGGACCAATGGAACGACGCCCTCTTGCAAGCTGGCTTTGATGGTATTGAAGTCGACTTCAAGGATTTCCCCGATCCCCGCGACACCGGCTTTTCGGTCATGATTAGCGGAGCTTCCGCGTCCGAGAAGCCACCGGCTCCCAAGGAGGTTATTATTGTCCTTCCTGCTAATCCAGAGCCAGATGTGGCCGTTGCTAGTGAACAGATGAAGGCGCGATTGCAGGAACGTGGATCTCTTGTATCCACCGCTTGCCTGCAGGACACTCTGGCGTTGGATTTGCAAGAGAAGTCGTGCCTTTGTTTGCTGGATGCCAACCGAGACAATGCGTTCTTGCCAACCATCTCTTCGGGAGACTGGGATGCTTTAAAGCACCTCATTCTCACCACGCGAAGCATTACCTACGTCAGTCGGGGCGGTGCGGTCAACAGTGAAAACCCACAGTCTAACCTCATGTCCGGGCTAGCGAGAAGCATCCGATCGGAAAACTATCACATTTCCTTCACATCATTAGATGCCGAATATGGTCGTCACCTTGCCGATGAAGACGCTTTGGCAGCTATGCTGGAGGTCTTCTGCCATGCAAGTGACTCCAAAGACTCTGATCGGCCTGACTGGGAATATGCAATCCGAAATGGCATGCCAATGATTCAAAGGGTACTTCTGGAGAAGGGTATCAACGACCTTTCATCCTCCTGGTACGCTGCTCCAGCACCGGAGCAAGCACCCTTCAAGCAAGATGGCCGGCCCCTCACTCTGGGAATTGGTACCCTGGGAAGACTGGAGACCCTTCGATTCGAGGATGACCGGGTCGCCGCTGAGCCTCTTGGAGCTGACGATGTTGAGATCACAGTCAGAGCCGCCGGCCTGAACTCCCAGGACCTCATGGTCGCCATGGGACAACTGTCCCGGTCCGGACTTGGGGTCGATTGTGCCGGTATCATCCGCCGGGTCGGTCGCAATGTCAAAACACTTGAGCCGGGTACTCCTGTGATGACCTGGAAACTGGGCACCTTCGGTAACATTGCCCGGGCACCAGCAGCAATGGTGCAGCGCGTTCCGGACGGAATGGACCTCACCACGGCTGCCTCGCTCCCTCTCATCTATAGCGCTGCGCTCTACTCCCTATCGACGGTCGCTCGCCTCAGACCCGGAGAGACGATCTTGATCCATGGAGCAGCCGGAGGTGTAGGCCAGGCAGCAATCATGCTGGCACAGTCCATTGGGGCCACCGTTTTCGTCACAGTTTCCTCCGAAGCAAAGAAGAACTTGCTGACAACCACATATGGGATTCCAGAGTCGCACGTTCTCAACAGCCGCGATGATTCATCCTTTGTGCAGGGAGTGATGCGTCTGACAAGCGGCCGAGGTGCTGATGTGGTGTTGAACTCTCTTGCTGGGGAGGCACTGCGTACCAGCTGGGGAGCCATTGCCCGCTTTGGGCGCTTCGTGGAGCTCGGTCAACGGGACATCGCAGGCAATACAGGCCTAGACATGGCCCCCTTCCTCCGCAATGTGTCCTTCCACTCCGTGAACATGCTGGATTTGCTCGACTGGGATGTTGCGACCGCATCTCGTGTATTCGCCGACGCTGTCGACCTATTGCGTCGCCAGGTCGTGAAGCCGATTGCGCCGGTACAAGCCATGCCATTCTCACAGGTTGAAGAGGCATTCCGTCTGCTGCAAACAGGTGCGCATACTGGAAAATTGGTTCTTGAGGCCCATGACGACGACCTTGTATCTGTCGTCCCTGCGGCCGCTGCCCCGGTACGATTCCGGTCAGATGCTACTTACCTGATTGCTGGTGGCGGTGGCGGTCTCGGTCGAGCTATCGCTTTGTGGATGGTTGGGAATGGTGCTCGAAACATCTTGCTTCTTTCACGATCTGGAACCAAGAAGGCAGCAGCAAGAGATCTCGTAAGCCGGTTGACGGCCCAGGGAGCTCGAGTGGATGCCTGGCCATGCGATGTATCAAACGAGGAGCAGGTCGCTAGGGTCATTGAGCGATGCCGGTTGGAATCTTGGCCTCAGGTTCGGGGTGTGATTCAGGGCGCGATGGACCTACAAGATGCCGTAAGTTTTTTTTTTTTTTTTTTAAAACACTACCCAGACTTTTCCAGACAGACCGGGATCTCTAACACCACAACAGCTCTACCAAAATATGACACACGAGCAATTCACCGGGGCACTCCTGCCAAAGGTGAATGGAAGCTGGAACCTCCATAAGCACCTTCCCGAGGACATGGACTTCTATGTTCTTCTTTCATCTGTCATTGGAATCGCCGGTTCCCCCTGCCAGGGCAACTACTCGGCCGGAAACACATACCAAGATGCGATCGCCCACTACCGACGCAGCAAGGGCATGGCCGCATGCTCCATCGATGTCGGCATGATGCTCGGTGTGGGATACATCGCAGAGCAGGGCACGGAGGGCCGAGTGCACGACAACGCCAAGTCATGGAGTTTCCTGGGTATCCACGAACACGAGTTCATCGGAATCCTCGAAGCAACGATCCGCGGCGAGAGCACACCCGGCAGCGTGGTCCCGCCACAGGTTATCACCGGTCTTGGAACCGGTGGTATGCTGACGCAAATGGGAGAGAAATACCCCTGGTGGTTCAAGGAGATGAAGTTCGGTCATATCAAGCGGGTTGGCGCGCATCAGCAGTCCAACCAGGGTAGCGGGAAAGATGAGATTTCCGTGAGCACACAGCTCGGAAAATGCCAAAGTCTGGACGAGGCCAGCGACATTGTCACCGGAGCGCTGGTCAAGAAGTTGGCCAAGTCTATGGTGGTGTCGGCGGAGGATATCGAGCCCTCCAAGCCTGTCAGTAGCTATGGCGTGGACAGTTTGCTTGCCGTGGAGCTTCGGAATTGGATCTATGCGGATATCAAGGCTGAAGTATCTGTGTTTGATCTCTTGAGCAGCGTGCCCATTACATCCCTTGCAGGGAAGATTGCTGGCACGTCTGAGATGGTTCCTAAGTTTTCTGATGAATAGTTTGTTATTGTATCTACTAGCATAAATGGAGTTTTTTTTTGGTGTAAAGAACTAGAACGCAAGAGGGAGATATGGCCACATTGATAGATCGTCACAAAGAAAGCATCTATCTAGAACATTCCGTATAGCTGCAAAAAGAGCAGGCATTTCGTTTGAGTACAAACGGATATATGCCTACATACTTGTGTAAAGCATAACTCTTTAACTGTGCATAACTCTTTAACTGTTTCAACATATTAGCATATCAACATATCATAAGAATAAGAATTACCATCGATGGAAATTACAGTATACTATAGTATTAGTATGGCTTATACTGTGCAATTACAAGGACAATTTCTAACCACATGCCTGTATGACGAAGCCAAAGTCACCAAACGTTCTCCCTGAGAATACGCTCTATTCAAAAATAAGACCGAAAAAAGCACACCAGTGACCGTGTTCGTTCTAGTACAGTAATTCTATCGATTCCTAGATTTAGAAAAAACGAGCCATAACAACCGCAGCAACCAATAAACCAGGTAACGCCATCAACGCGAAAAGGTCCCAATTCCTCGCCTTCCACCTCGGCATTCGTGCCTCTGCAGTCTCCAAGTGCATTCCCCGGGGTTGTTTCACCCCCAACCGACGTTCACGTTGCCGTCCTTGCCAATCGACCAAAACCTCCTCGATCAAGTCCACGGCCAAATGCTTTCGATGCGCGGCGATGCGGGCGATTCCACACACACGGCGCACATTAGCCATGATCGGACCATCGTTGCGAATGTCATTGAGTATGCGTGTGACGGCGGCTGTGACATCGGACGCACTCAGGGTCTCTTTTTGCAGTGGGACCGAGACCCCTGCGTCTCGTAATCGCATTGCATTCTGGATTTGGTCAAAGTAGGCTGGTAAGGTGATGACAGGGATACCGGCCACAACGGCTTCGTTGGTTGAAGATGCTCCTGCGTGGCTGATGAACACAGCGACTCGGGGATCATGTAAGATTGGGCGCTGGGGGGCAAAGTCGGCGGTTAGGATGGATGAGTGCTTGTTCTCTAGGAGACTGCCGAGGGTGGTTTCGTCGCTAGAGTCGGTTGGTGAGGGGAGAAGGGCGGAGGTATCGAGTTGTCTGCGAGCTTTGGGACTCGCGGCCCAAATGATACCATCGATTAAACTGGCTCGGAGAGCGGTGATCGCCCCAGACAGGAGATCGGCTAGTACCCTGTGAGGGAACAAGACGTGCGTGCCTAGCGCAATGTAAAGAACGCGGGAACGCGATTGGAGAAATGAGGGAAATGGCTCTGTGAGTTCGTCGACTTTATCGGCAAGAACAGGCCCAATGGCTGCAACATTGGGGGGGGTCTCTTTGGCTGCCTCGAGGGCGAAAAAGGAGTTCACTAGACAGAGATAGTCGGGCCTTGGAAGCATAGGAAGCTGTCGGGACACGCCAGCCGATTGCCGCATCTGCTTCACCCAGCGCTGGTATTCAAGGAAGTGCGGTAAGGCTGTGTAGATGCGGACGGCATTTTTCAAGCGCTGCCATAGAGTTGCGAACTCGGACGTCAAGACTTCGACCTGGAGTCCTGGGATGCCGGGGATATATGAAGCATGCATCATACCAGTCGGCATCTGAGGCCAGTGCATTGCGAATGGAACGTCATGCTCGAAACAGACGTCTCGGACTGCATCTACCAAGTAGTCTGCCAGGATGAAATCTGGCCGGGTGGCTGGGTCAAGCACCAACTGGGTGAGGTTGTGATATACATGTGGCCATGAGGATTCGAGGTACTTTTTGGCAGCAAATACAGCACCCCAGTTGCATATCAAATCAGTTGCCCATTGGGACATCTGCTCGTAACTTTCTTCTTCCTGCTCTTTAGGAATGGCAGGTCCGACGATATGAAGCCGCGAGATAAAAGGGGAATTTGACAGCCATTGCCGACGTCCAGCGAGGGTTGCGAAATCAATTATATAGCCACGGGTTGCGAGAATGGAGGACAATTTGAGAAGAGGAGCTAGACGGCATCAGCTTCCAGCTCAATTTGGTGAAATTTTATTGACATACCTGCGTTGGTGTAGCCCCCGCCTGCAACAACGACAAGAATGCGCCTCTGCTGTGCCATAGTTGCTATTGTGATGCTGAACGGACATTGTGGATACGCCGAATGCAGTCTGATTATATTGTATTCTATACATTGGGGAGTTTGAGTCCTACAAGTGATTGTGGTGGGATAATGCTGCGACGGCGACTTTGCTCATCGGCGACTTTTGTGTGGCTGAATCGGAAGCTTCTATCCAATCAGTATGATATGCTTTTGTTGGATGAGTTGGTGAAGGATCAGGGCTAAGCCCAAGTTAGTGATGATGTGCAAGGCTTATTTCAGGCGATAACTACTCTGTAAGTAGTTAAAAGAAAACTGAAACGGATATAAATAGTAGTCCCCTCATCCCCCTCAATTCTCCCCGCCTGAATCCTTCCTCGTGATTCCACCTTCACATTCAGATTCAGGTGGAAATCATGTTTTTTTATGCCCGTAAGAAGGTTTTCAACACTGTCGGTGCCACAGTTGGCCTGGTGTCTGAAGGTATCACGGCCAAGAAAACCCACAAGGCTGAGAGCGATCCACAGCAAGATGCAGATCTCGATCAAGACAGAGAGGAGGGAGAGAGAGACAGCAGTGAGCTAGACGAAATCAATAATGACCATGAACGACAATGGGACCTCGACGAGGCCCAAGACCGACTGCTTGGAGCAGCTCAACAATCACCAGCGATCAACGAGACCATCGACCACACCCACCTTGCACAATCATTTGCCCAGCAATACCCCCTCCCCCCCTCATATGAGAGACCCTTCCTGCCATATCCAGTTGTTCTGCCTCAACGTCGGCCTCGCACTCGAGCCAGAGGTTTTGTGCGTGCCTACGCGCCGGACCTGAACGCCTTCGGAATCGACCAGGACATGTTCCTCGACTTCGTTGACCGGGCGAATCAGTCGTGCCGGGGATGCGAGGCGTTGGGATTGCTCAACTTTGCTACACTAATGGCTATCCCCCTAGGCTCACCGGGGATAGGGATGGCCATCTCCGTGGTGCTTCAACTTGCGATCAAAACGACCATCGCCATGGATGGGCGACGGAAGTCGAATAACTTCTTCGACGCGGCGAATCGCGACTTCTTCATTCCTCGTGGTCTTTTCTGCCTCGTCATGACCTGGAACCCCGAAATCGATGATCCATACGTCACCTTCAACATGAATCAGACCGTTGATTCTGCTATGGCAAGGGGAGGGGAGGGGAACTTTGACAAGCTCAAGCATAAGTTCCAAAAGGCCAACGGGGAATCACAATTCATTCCTGACATTGCACCACTCGAGTTTCCCACTCTGGACAAGATGGATCTAGATCCCGAGACGCAGAAGAAGAATGATACGATGAAGGACAAGGCGAGGCGGAAGATCGAGTTTGCCGCAGGGTACCGGGACAAGAGGGCACAGGCGAGATTTGTACGTTCTCATCCACACATACTATACTATACCATGTTATATACTAACCATAAGCGATACAGAACGCAGAAGATCCCGACAGTACTTTGATTCAAGGCCCCGAACCGGAATTCACCTCGCGCTACGCAGACCCAAATCACCCAGCCAGCGAAGGCTCCCCCGTTGCGCTTCTTACCGGAGGCCGTCTCACGGAGAAACAGATCTTCAAGTATACCGCGGCCGGGTTCGCATATAACCAGGGCAAGAAAGCGTATGCGAAACGTAAAGAGAGAAAGGTCTCCCAGGAAGAGGTGGCGGATGGTGTTCATCCGGAGACAGAATCCAGTCCCACAGGCGATGGGGAGGCGACGCCAAAGGAGGGTGTTTCGGAGGGACTGAATAAGGTGACGAATAAGTTGAAGAAGGTGAGTTCTTTCTGTTCGTGTCTTGGGGATGGATAGGTGCTAATGGGTAATGTAGAAAGTGGTATATTTGATGATTGTGAATATGCCGAGTGAGGAGGAACTACAGCAGGCGAGGGAGGCACTGGAATGATTGGGATATTTGTACGCATTAACTATAGATACGATGCTATCATAGGTCCATATGTGATGGAATGTGCTCAGTCTTCGTTCTCAGCTGAATCTAACTTGGTCAAATATTTTACGTTACCTAGATAGTAATACTCATCCAAGTTTCTCAGTAGACTTCAGCCAAAATATTCTGGTAATCATATGGGCAAGCGTGTTTAAGCCATCTCACTTTTAAATCTTTATGCTCCATTTGTGACACCAAAAGGTGGGTTTAAGACAATACAGGAAACTATGCCCCGAATATGGTCTTCTATATCCAAATTGGAGGTGCCATTATTTCTGCAGTTGCCAGGTACATTTATTCATGCAACATTACCATACTCCCCAATTTCCAGGCTTGTCCGGTTGCCATGTTCCACGTTCTTTGATCTGACACGGCAGCCCTCCACGCTCCCAATCCAAGAAACTTGCCATTGGCAACGTGATATGTGCCAACTTGCTGACATGTCTGCGTCCCTATTTCCTCATCCAAGAACATTTCCTGTTCCGCTTGCTTGATGATTGGCTGTATGACATAAAGCGTTCTATCCCGACTCAGTTCTGGGGTCTTCTGACTGTTGAGGATTCCCTCCCACTCGGAGACGCTCAGCTCATCGCTGAAGAGTATTCCTGCACCACGACTTGAGCGCACTGATTTGAGGATGTAGTCGTCTTTGGACAATTTGCCCTGATAGTGCAAGTCGATGAGCTGCTGTAACTCCCTCGATCCGGGGATTATGGTGATTATGACTCCCTTTCGGAGCAAATCAGCTTGTTCCTCCGTCAGAACACGATACTTGGTCACTAAAGCGTCTAGTTCTTGATGAATAATTCCCAGGAGCCGCTTGCCATGGACCAGAAGCATGCTGCGTACGTCGTTGCCGCCATACAGTGCCAGATGCTGTCGCATTTCAGGAGCGAGGGACCGGTATTCATCAAGAAACAGCTGGAAACCGACTTGGTGGATCCTTTCAAGTTTCTCCTCTCCGTCTGTAAATAATGCAGGGCTGGTCGTGTAGAGGGCATATCCAGTCGCCAAAGTAGTATTTGGTACTAGACGTAAGTCTTCCGGATGGATAACACATAAGCATGTCTGTTGCAGGTGCGAGAGTGTACCGATGCCGCCCATGGTAAAAGAAGATAAGATGAGAAATTTCCTGAGGTCAGGTTGGAGAGGGTTTCATTGGTCTGTTATCAAACCAGATCAGGAGAGCTCTTTGGAAGAGAACTCAACTTTTTATAACCAGCATATTGACTTCGGCCCGCAAAAGTCCGATTAGTAGAATGAGCAGCCGTATTAAGTTGACGTGATCATTTGCTTCCAGCGAATCCTATTTGACACCGATCCAATACGTACTTGATCAGCATTGATCGATCATCTCATCTAAGGGACAGACGACATGAAGTAGTTTCTACATTCGTGGCATTATTCATCTCGCTGAACTAGGCATTGCACTACTTGCCTTTAATGTAAATACTCCCAATGCTGTCCCAAATTAGGCGTTTGCAAGGGTAATCGAATTTACAAGCACACAAGAACCACCAAAGACATTGCAAATCTTTTGGTTCCCGAGCGCCAGGGTCCCAACCCAAGAAAACGGCCATTGATAGCATAGTAAGTGCCAACAATGTAACTGCCAGGCACCGTCCTGGTCTTGTCTACGATGATATCGAACTTGGGCTGCCGTACGTATGGCTGCAGGACATACGAAGTTGTGTCTGCACGAATAATTGGGTCTTGCATATTCAGCAAGTGCACTTCCCATTCCTCCTCCGAGAGTTCTTCTCCAAGCACATGGCCTCTTCCGCGGCTTTGGCGAGAGGCCTTCAAAATGTAATCATTCTTCGTGCCGAGTTGTTTTGATTTTAACTCCGGGGATCCTGGTAAGATCGTAGGCACGATTCCTTTGCGGGGGATTTCACCCGCCTCTGGGGTGAGTATCTTTTGTTTGTTGACAAGCTTCTCGACCTCCTGTAAGACAATGCCCAGGAACCTCTCATCATTCACGAGTAAGGTAGTGCGTATATAATTTACCCCCGTTTTTGCCAAATAACGGAGCATGTCTTGTGGAAGCAGGCTAAACTCATCAGTGAACAGCGACAAAGCTATCTGATGGACCCGCTCTAGCTGCTGTTCATTTTCACCTACCCCCTGGCAGCCGCAGTAGAGAGCACAGCCTGTTGGCGAAGACGGATCCGGTTTCAATCGCAGGTCAGATACACTCACCAACTTGGGGCACAGTCTAGTCTTCTTCTCAGCTAGAAAGGCAAATTCTTGTCTTTCGAGCTCATCTCTATCCCGGACGAGATGAATTGGCAGGCCAGGGTCGAAGAGACCGAGCACACTACCCAGCATGTCGTTCATTTCACCTGCCGTATCGATTGTATGTTCGGGACCGAGCAGCTCCTGCAATGCGCCGTGCTTGTATGCGCTGAAGATGATGGCATTGTGAGGCGTGCGACTGTTGATTTCGCAGATTTGAAACCCACCCCCCGGGGCCACTAAATTTGTCCTCGTTCTATATCTAGGTCTATACCTGGCGCGTACATCATGAGTGTAAAAGATAAAATGGCCGCCGTCTGCCCGTACATGACTTCTCTTATTTTCCTTTTTTCTTCCATCCAAGAAACCCTGCCAAATTCTATGACTCCCAGTTCATACATAAACGGTGCTGTCACTGAAAGAAGTTTATTATACCGCCAGACCAATGACTCAGGAGAGCAAAACAAAACAGCGGGCCCTGTAGACTGGAACAGCTTCGTCCAACAGCCTGATGTTCATTTCGAGAATAATTTCGCTGAATCAACAAAATGAAATGTGCATTTTGTGCGATGCAATTTTCAAAGGTGCGTCTTTACTACTGTGTATAGCTCTTTGGTTGCTAATCTAATTTTAAGGTTTACTTTACTGCTTCAACCACCAGATTACAAGTACTGGCTCAAGAATGCCACACTGAAACTTATTGAAGGGTTCCTTCGTTGGTACCTTGAGAACCATCACGTCATGTACCAATCAGGCTTTCTGGTCTTTGTACGATACTGGGGAGTGTTTTGGTGCGAGGAAATGGACCGCCTCTTTCCTTATGACCTAAGACGGAAGATGACGAATGTAAGTGAATATCTGAATATCTTAGATAAGTGAGGATCAAGACTTATTTAACTAGCTAGTGTGCACCGCCCTTACTGATGAGTACAACCTGGACCTGGGACCAAAGACACAGCCGTCAGTCAATATTGACGACCATCTCTTCACTACCTACCATCTCATGGCTGTCAGTGATGTACATTTTTCTGTGATAGGCTACGCCTAGATCGGCACTCGGAGCAAGCCCTCGCAAGCACGTGACAATTGGCTAGATGCCCTGAACAGCATCACATTTGTGTTTAGTAACCCATGTGATGTGATATTGAAGATTGTGGACAGAGCAGCCCTCCGTCAACGACCATTTCGCGTGGCTGTTCCATTTCCCTTTCTTGAAATCGTCAAGTTAAGAGATGCCTATGGAGATTCATGGATTGATTTGGACTTTGCAACATCCCTGTTTCATTTCCCAGCTGTTCGCATCATCGACGCTCAAAACTTAGGGGAGCGTATGGGAACAGAAGATACCAGGCTCACTCAAATCCCTCAAGATCACTGAAATCGCACAGGAATTGATCCCTGATCTAGTCTTGGATCTCTTGGTGCTAGTCAAACCCCGCCAAGTCTCAATTGGTGTGCTTGCACCGGTGTCTGAGGGTATGGGAGTTTGTCTGAACGTCAGAGTTAGACAGTCAAAGGATCTGACATCTCTTGAGCTAGCGATCAGTCCTTGTAAATAGATTATACCACCTTACTCATAATGCAATCCTCCGGTGACAGTCAGCCCTTGTAAACACCGTCAAAAGGCCAATATGAGCACACAATGGCACCCCAGTCCTCCCCCCCAGATTTAATATTCTCGTCGAGAGGGTACTTCGTTTATGGGAAACATTATTGTGGGGGAGGAACTTCTCCAGGGCCCACCTTTCGGACTAAAGATGGAGGGAGCCAATGTGAGGAAAAATTCCCCGAGATACCAGCGGCCCGAATTTCTCCCGATTGCTTGTGTTGCATTTCTGCAGAGCTTAAAATTTGGTTCTTGGCAGCAGACTTGAGATGTTCAATGTTGGCAAAGTTGCGTGAATTCGCTCAATTAGACTGGATTTCACCGGAGATTTCAAACTGAACCAGGGCCGAAATCCTGGAATCACTTACCATGGACGAAGAAGCATATGCAGTGGGCAAAAAACCGGTGGTTTACGCGCCGTCCCTGGAAGATGGAGAAAAGCCACCATCGAAAAAGAACTTGGAGCCTTTTGGCAACGAAGAGACAGCAGATGTCAAGTATCGGACCATGAAGTGGTGGTAAGTGGCCAATTCCCTTCGGAAAACGCAATCCGTTGCGTTGAATATCTGACACGGTACCTAAATCTGTAGGCACTGTGGAATGCGTGAGTCCTCAATTTTTATATTCCATTCAGCTCTGGACTTGATAATCTAACTCAGCTGTCAGTTATGATTTCGGAGAACGTCTCGGTGGGAATTCTTTCTCTCCCGTCCGCCGTGGCAACCCTCGGGATGGTACCGTATGTATCGTCCATGTAGACAATTTCTCAGAGGCCCGCTGACATTAAATACAGCGCTGCAATCATGATTGTTTTCGTATCTGCTCTTTCATGGTATACAGGCTATGTCATTGGCCAATTCAAGCTCCGTCATCCCGAGATTCACAGCATGGGAGATGCCGGCGAGCTCTTGATGGGCCGCTTCGGCCGCGAATTTCTGGGAATCGGCCAGCTTCTATTGTTAATTTTCCTCATGGCGAGCAACATAGTGACGTTTAATATCCTGATGAACGTTTTGACAGACCACGGCACCTGCACATTGGTGTTTGGTGTTGTCGGACTGGTCATCTGCTTTCTGGGCGCCTTGCCGCGGACAATGGAAAAGGTCTATTGGATGTCTGTTGCTTGTAGGTACAGGCTTCCCTTGGAACGAAAATTGGCTTACTGACTTATGTTAAGCATTCCTGAGTATCTTTGTTGTTGTGATTATTGCCATGATTGCAATGGGGGTGGAAAGCAAAAGCCACGTCCCAATCCAAGCCACGACAGACGTGAGCTTCCGCGAGGGATTCTTGGCCGTGACAAACATCATTTTTGCTTACCGTACGTTGGGGAGAAACCCCGGGCTATTGCCGGAATGTCCAGCTAACCCGAGGCAGTCGCCCATGTTGCATACTTTGGCTTCATGTCCGAGACAGAGGATCCGCGAACCTTCAACAAGTCGCTTGCAATGCTCCAAATCATCGATACGGTCTTGTACTTAGTGAGCGCGTTGATTATTTATCGCTACGCAGGACCCAGCGTCCAGTCACCCGCCATCAACTCCCTAAGTACTGTCATGAGCAAGATTGCCTGGGGCCTTGCTATTCCAACGGTGACTACAATTTCCCCTTTTGACCCAGCGATCCATCTCATGCTAATCGAAAACAGACCATTCTCTCCGGAGTCGTCCTGGGGCATGTTGCATGCAAATACATCTACGTGCGCATGTTTCGTGGGTCCGACAAAATGCACCAGCGAAGTTTTCTGTCGATCGGATCCTGGGTTGCCATTTGTCTCGGGGTTTGGGTGGTATCCTGGGTCGTGGCAGAATCGATTCCCGTGTTCAATGATTTGCTCAGTCTTATTGTATGTTTGAACCCTGTCAAGCCTTTGATTTAAATTGCCAGCGCAAGCTAATGCAAGTAATCCCTACAGAGCGCACTATTCGGAAGCTGGTTCAGCTGTAAGATCCACTCAACCCAAATATGATGATTGATCCTAACTTTAACTAAACAGTCGGATTTCCCGCCATCTTCTGGTTGCACATGAACTACGGCCAATACTTCCGGACTACAGCAAAGACGTTCTTGACAGTAGTCAACACTGCTGTCTTGGCCATATCCTGTGCTATTGTGAGTATACATTCTCATCCACCATCTTGGCCCCTTACTAAATCTATACCACTTACCCAGTGCGGTTTGGGTCTCTACGTGTCTGGCGTGGCAATCCATGAAGACTCCAGCTCCAGCAGCTGGTCTTGTGCTAGCAATGTTTGATGCCAGATGAGTTGAATACCATGTGGCTCATTTACACTGCATAATATGAGACAATTGCTGTACCCACTGGCTGGATGCCAGTGCTTGCAGTTCATCAAGCCTTTGAGCCCCTGTATGTGAAAAGCACAATGTCATTTACTGCTTACTGTTCTGTTCATAAAGAAAATGCTTTCCAGCAATGTACAGATATAGAGAGAACATAATCACTGTGACAGACGGATATTATGCGTGAAACAGAATTCAGATGACTTGAGTGTTTGAATTGCCAGGCAATGGGTTATGGCAGTCTGTATTACTGAATAGCAACTGGGAGAAGTGACAAAGCGAGCAACTCGGAAGACTATCCGAATGAAACACTTCTTTGGGTGAAGCTCCACAAGCCACAAAACCCGAGAAATGTCGAATGGCTTTAGAGCGCCGATAAAAGTTGATAAATTAAGGGGTCCGCCTAGCAATTCCCCAATCACCGCTCCCCGTCGCTTTTCCGGTGAAGGAATTACTGTTTCCAGTGTCCCAGGTAAAACACTCGCTTCCGTCAAGGTGAGCATAATCGACGCGGGCAGTAGCGCCAACACACGAAGACCAAGCAGAACAATCACTGCTAGCACTTCTGCGCTGGCCCGCAGGCTTATTCCTGGGTAGACTTGTTCCTTGGAGAAAGTATCTGATGACCATTCCATGAAATCCAGCACTTGATACATCAGGGCCCGAAGTATCCCGTAGAGAAATGCGGGTGCTGCTAAAATTCTCCGCTTCCTTGTATCTGCGTGCATAAACAACGACTGGAGTGGGAGTTGAACAGCTGATATTGTAGTACAAGTCCAGATTAGATGAAGTTCACATAGGAGGACAGAAGAAATGGCGTATGCGAAGGGTCCCAGCAATCTATGCCTGAAGACTGTTGCTCCCAGAATCATTTCGACCGTTTAATGGGCTAGCTCGTAGGTAACGGCTATCCCGAGTCCTCTAGAGAGGAGGCACACGCCCTGGTTATGGTATATGAGGCGAACGTTGCGGAGCGCTTTTGATGCCTGTGGCGCCAAGGCAGAGTCCATGTGACTGTGTGGCTCTTCGAGTCAATGAGAGCCCCTGCGGTGCAAACTTATATACTCCGTACAAGAATAAAGTTACAGTTGTGGTCGGAGGGACTCTTTCTATACACCGAACCACAGATTCACAGCTTGCTATACATAATTTTGTGGGCAATATTTCTCCACCCGACAACACTTTATCGTAAGAAATGCCACTGCAAAACCTTCCAGCTGAAATCTTTTCTACGATCCTTCGTTTTGTAAGCAATGATCAACTCTTCTTACTTGTCTGCAAGTGGTGACATGAGCTTGCCGAGCCTATTCTGCTAGAGAACCTCATCCTCAGTGCCAATCAGCTCGCGCAATTACCCGAGCAAATGCATGCAAAATTCAAGGTGTTTGTACGGCGGCTCACCATAGATGTGCATGGTGCCAGTGACTGGCCTGCCGACGAGGTCGAGGGCAATGAATTCAATCAGACTCTTAGTCTATTGATGCGCCACTGCTCTCGTCTGACATCTTTCACTTTGCGCGCACGCAATCAGTTTGATCCAGTACAGCTTCTAGCTCCCAATCACCATTTACCTCTCAATGTGGTCTCCAGCGAGACTTTTGGATGATCTCCGGGTTTCCAAGGTTTCGGAAATTGAGATTGACACGTGTGGCTCTGAGTTCAAGAATGAAATACATGTCTGTCCTTGGCTGGCACTCAAGATTCCCCATCTGCGATCTGTGCGGCTGCGAATGCACAGGATCTGTCCTCAGATCTTCGAAACGGAGCACAAGGATCGTGGCTCATCCTCCAAGACTGAAAATATCATCATCAATCTCAGTCTCGAGGAAACAGACCGTTTCTCCACATGATTGAGCCATCATTGCACCGAGTCAAGGAGGGGCTTTGGAGCTATATGATGACATGGTCATGAGGGCTATTGAGTTCGCTAAACAAATGCCGAACCCAGCCCTGAAAGTATTCAGGATCCTGTGTCACAAACACCCGTTGTTGGAGACGGTGGCTAAAGATTGCATTACTGGGACCAAAATGATCCTCGATGATTATGGTAAATGGGACTGGGACAATGATGGGCGAGCGGACCCAGATGATGAGGATATTTCTAGTCAGGAATTCTCGTCAATGGATGGCAGTAGTGATGTCGACAGCTAAGCTGCTGGCAGAGAGAATGGGGGTGCTGTATAGGCAGGATTGACTGCTAGACACATCATCTTTCATTGCGATTATTTGTGTGAATCGTGCCCTACTCCAGCTGTGGATAATCTCTTTATAAGGACACAAATAGCCTACCGAATAAGTCCTAGTCTTGATATCTCGGTTTTGCCAATATGCAAACTACAATTGCTGTATCCGTATCAATACACCCAGGCAGTTCTTGCTCCCGACAGATAGATTCGGCCAGGACTCATGTTGATCAGCGCCGCGATGATACCTTAACCAGCCAGACGGCTGCTGTCCCGGCGCAATAATATACTCCGGAGTAGTTCAGGGACTTCAGGGACTCTGGCCGCATTCCGGTTGAAATGATCGGCGCCAATTTCAACTTAGAAGTCTAAATTCTCCAAAGTACCGAGGCTTCACAGATCCGATGCAGATCTTTCTCCATTTATCAACGGACGGACTGCTATGACAGCAAAATCTCGTCAATGCCGTTACTTTGTTAGGAAGACATTGCGAGTCACAACCTGATCCTCGCATCACTAGACTGCTTCGCTTCATCGCAATTACATCTATATTACATACAGTTCTGACAATGTCGAGCTCTCGTGCATGCCACAGCCTGATCAGCAGTGCTTCGGACATTTGCATGTGATTCTCCATGTTGAACTTATTATTGAGTATCAACAACATGGTGGACCCACGTAACTAGCCTTAGGGATTGTGATTTAAGATATTAATGTTTCCGTGTATGTGGACTTGACATTTTACATTTCTTTTTTCTTCTCCCCCACAAACTAGATATACATGCCAACTTCAGAACGAAATATCATCTGAAGACTCCCACGCAGATAACTAACGAGCAACGACGAGTCCCCGGCGATCGATAATGGCCTCCAGGATTACCTGGATACACCCAGTCCGGGCTATCCAAGTCCTCTTCGGCATTGCCGTCTTCGGCCTCACAATCTACGGTTCGTTCCCCTTTCCCAATTAATCCCAACCACTCAATAACATTACGCATCTTCTAACAACCCACAGTCCTCAGCGTCTACAAATACGACAGCGTCTCCGAATTTATGCTCTTCAACGGAATATGGACCGGCTTCTTCGCAACGCCCTACCTCGCCCTGGCACCCGTGCACTTCGCAAAATTCTCACACCGGGTTCTCGTGCCTGTGCTGGAAACGAGCACGATGATTCTGTGGTTGGTGGGGGTTATTCTGCTGGGTATTGACTTGCCATCAACTTCGGAGTGTAAGTCGGCGGGTTGTGAGGCGACGCTGGCGGTTGTTGTTATTGCGGCTGTTGAGTGGTATGTCTTTCCTTTCCATGCACTGGAGGAATACGGTCGAGCTGTACCTTATACAGTGAACCGTATAAGTCCAAGATAGAACTGACCTCTATTTTGAACAGTGCCTTGTTCGTGGTAACTGCCGTCAGAGCTATCCGGATTAGCGTGCAAGCACACGTGCGAACCAACACAAATGCCCAGGTCCAGCAGCCTGCCCCTGAAGCCAGCGGTGCGATGGAGTCAGTATAGACTATAGGTGGCGATGTGACGATACCCTGAACTCTGGGGCGGGATAGGAAACCGATATGCAAAATAATGTATAATCAATAAACTCCTCACTTCTACGCTTGGACTTTATTGTTATTATTTAATCAAGTTTATTGTTTGGTAAGGAAGGGGGTGAGACGGAACAGTGATTAGGAGGAGTACAATGGATAGCAGATGCAGATATGGGTTGACATACTAGCGTGGTTGAGGCTAGGCTAAAACACAACCCTCCAAATCGTCGAGAAAATCAAATTCGTATGCGCGAAAGAATAACATAGTTAATATACCAAAAAACGATCATCCTATCAAGGGCTCTAGTCTACAATACTTCATCTTATACCCTACCGTTCCTATTCCAGGTACGGACCCTGATTCCGTTCCCGCTTGCCGTATCATTTCACCAAACCAGGCTCGTTGGTCGTGCTTTGTAGATCCAATCATTGCTGACAATACCAAACTGCGTTCAAGATGGAGAGGAAGCGTCCCTAGTGTAACTGGCCTACGAGGCGGCGCCCCTGACGAGCTTTCGAGTAAGGCAGTTGTATGGGAGGTTAGTGAGTTGTGAGTACACAACTATGTTATGATAATACTCAGCTATAGATTGTTACTACATGACATAGTAACCAACAAAGTATATCGGATAGATTTCCGGGCACATCGATTTCCAGCCGGGTTTCGAGGAGGGACTGTCAGCACTCGAACTAGACAGAGTACGTCTGAACGACCTCTCACCACTACTTGTGGAACAAATGCTTTACCTGTTCTCTCTACTCCATTAGTAAGTCACCACGGTCAATCCAACAGAATGAAATTGCTGATGCGAAGATGTATAGTGGTGACACGGTCCAGGACCAAGAAGATTGATATTCCAAAGAACCTATCAGAGCATACAATTGAAACTATGAGAAGAGACGATAGGCCCTGAGATGGCTGTCTAACATAGCATGAGCATTGCTGTGTTGTAACCAGGCCCTGTTTTGCCTGGGGAACCCCTACCTGAGCCCTTTAACGGGGCCCACGGGGCTTGGGGGCGTCTGACCCCCGGGCTCTAACCAGCCATGGCCGTATATACCAGTCTTTTAAGTATGTAGGAATATATAGTTACTTCATATGTTGTATCCTATCTATTATTGACTCTTGTTAAACAAAAATATGGTAAGCAGTAAAATTGGGAAATTGACGTGCCTGGGTAACTCCTTATATCAGACAAATCTTTGACAAAAACGACCAAATAATCTAATATATCTATCGAATAAATGCTTTGAATGAATTATGTCCATTTAATGCTCAAGTCTTGGAAGCAAGAAAGAGCTCAGAAAATGCGCCGCCATCCAACACCATACATAATAACTCCTATATTCAACTGATGATGCTTCCGTCTGAAAGAAATGTTCCTAGAATCCCCCCCCCGAAAAAGAAAACCGGAACAGAATAAAAACCCGAAAATAATCAAGCCCAGCAGCCAAAACGACCATGGTCCATAATACAAACTGACAGAGGCTGCCGACTTTAGTGAATGCGCCGCACATGGTCCTTCAAGTTATCCCTTCGGTTGAATTTCGCATTGTAGTCCCTTTTAGAGCACTTGAAGGAGCCGGGCAAGATATGTCTTGTCTGAATATGTCGCATCAATTCTGCCGGGCGTCGAAAACGACCGGAATAATTGCAACCACTCCACTTACAAATAAGTTCACGGATGTGATCTGCTGTGGTCCTTAAAATAATGTCAGAAATAAGATTTTCAAGAGGAAGATTGGGTGTATATCATGAAGAACGTACTGGGTCCTGTACGTGGGACAGCGACCATAAGATGCTTTGCCCTTGGCCGGTTTGTGGCTGGCAGTCACTGACCTGCGTGGTTCGTCCATCATCGGAGTAGATGGAGAGGAGTTGGTCGAGTGGCCGTTGCCAGTACTGCCGTAGCTCATGTTCGAAAGCTCAGTATTATCTGCTCCCTCGTCCGTAGTACCAGACTCCACAGTAGGAGCATCGATAGCCCACGTTGTATCGCTCGGGCTTGAGTCAATTGGTGGCAATGGCGGCATCATATTCCATTCGAACGGCGCCGAGGACAGGTGGGCGAAATGGGTGTATGGGAAAGGACTGTAGATGGGACGCTTTGTCCTGTCGGTAGTGTGAGGAATGGGTCGTCCACATTACCAGTCCAGACCTGACCAGGATATTCCACGCTTCCATGATGACCCTCTGGATCGAGGTATGGGTCGATATTGTGTGAAGACCAATTCATCTTGAAGCAACGCAATTTGGAGATAAGAATAACACTAAAAGTTAGCGAAGAGAAGAAAGAATAATGTATATGATAGATAGGATATGGAAAAGAGGTAACTGCATTGAATTGTCACTTGGAAGAGGAGAGAGTTGCGACTTCTTATACGTTCTCGAATACCAACTCCTCGGGCGACCCGGCGACTCGACGATCAAATATGAGTCCTAATTATGTTCCCCTCCAATCATAATGAGGTGGGGATCGGATTTGGAAGAGGACGAATTATCGCGCAGAATAGGAAACTGAGTGCCCGACAAGGCTACGGCTTACATGTAAATATACCAGTTTCTCCCTTTCCCTTTCTCTCCTCCTTGAATCTTTTCGACTATTTTGAGCATTGTCAGTCATGGATAACCAAAACTGGGAAGCTCATAAGGCCGAGATCGAGCGCCTCTATCTCGAGAAGGACCAGACGCTCAAGGACGTCAGAGAAGCCCTGGCAAAACGTGGTTTCCACAAAACGTACAGTATTTCCCATCTATTTTTGAATGTTTCTCTCTAACATCAAGCAGGAAAAGCCAGTACGAGACAAAATTCAAACAATGGAGATTGAAGAAATATCGCGCGGGGCCCAAGAAATGGCAGTACGTGGGACATCGTATCGGAAAGAGGAAGGCAAAGGGAAAGGAGAGCGAAGTGTACATCGATGGGATCGAGTTCCCATCTAAGAAAGTGAAGTATGTGATTTACCGGCAGGCGTTTCAATCAACAATCGACAAGTTCAAGTCAGGTAAGCCCAGCTTCCTTAAAAAGGTTGTTATCTCATCAGCTCACGTCCATTAGAGCCATCTCCAAGGACACCAGAAGGCGTTATCGTTTGCTCCCCGGGTCCGTCTACATTGCAGTTTGAATGGCCGCCAAATCTCCCTTGGTTCTCATTCTGTGACGCGGTTATGCCGATGATAGAAAGAAACTCGTCGCTGGAGGCAGACACAGTATCCTCTATTGAGCATGCTGTCACATCTCAAGCTCCCAAGTTCAACCAGGAAATAATACGTTGGTTAAGCTCGCTTACAGCCTGCAAAAGCGCACGGAGCTTGCAAGTCATTCAAAGCAGCTCTCACACCGCTGCACTCCTCAGCACCATTATGCCGGAAATGGACGATGGCCAGCACCTTACAACACCTGAAAGCCTCTGCCACCCCAGGCAAACGCAGCTTGAAGAAGCTGTACGGGTGTTTCTATGTCTCTTGTCCAACAACTTTACTCTGGGGAGTGGCGGTCAAGAAGACCACAAGCTTATTATGAGAATTCTCCGTACTTCTGGCCTGAACAACTTGCAAGCAATCAAGGAACTATTCTCCACAGCGGGAGCGACAGCAGAAGCCATTTCAGAAAGACTATTCAAGAGTGCTCTACGATCCTGTGATATGGAGGTCATCCAATTGATGATGAAGACGGGCATGGATCTAAATACCATCACTCATGACGGCATTATTGCCGTTACGCCTCTCGAATTTGCTGCAGAAATCCCGAACGAAATAGTGTCTATGAAGATGACTCGGATGTTGCTATCTTTCAAAGCCGACGTAAATGAATATGCACAGGAATCAGCACTGTATTTTGCAACGTGTCAGGGTCATGCAAATTTGATGAAAATTTTAATATCAAATAGAGCGCGGGTTACGCCATCCTCACTACACAAAACTATCTATTTGGATGATCCCACACTGCTCGAGGTACTACTAGATGCTGGCCCAGATATTGAAAGTGAGATTCGTGGCAAGACGATTTTAGGAATGGCCGTGTGTAGGTCGAATCTAAAGTTGACGCAAATGCTGCTTGAACGGGGTGCACATGTGAATGCACTGCAGGATACGGGTTTTGGCTTTCAAACCTATAAAACAACACCTTTGGGGCTAGCAGCTTCAAATGGAAATGTTGAAATGGTACGGTATCTTCTACTGGTTCGTGCTGATGTGAACCTGAACCCAACCCACCACCCTTACCTTACCCCACTTATACCGGCTGTCCGGGGGAAACATGTGGAAGTGGTAACGCTGTTGTTACAAGCTGGTGCTGATGTCAACAATTCTGGAACATGGCATGATGCCACAGGAAGAACACCCTTTCAGGAAGCCCTTTTCAATCGCGACTTGGAAATGTGCAGGTTGTTATTAGTTGCAGGACCTAAGGTCGACCAGACTGAGATTGAAGAATATTGCTCGCGTCAACTTCTCACATCCATCAAAGAAAATGATGTGGAGGCTGTTTCTATGCTGCTTAGCTTTGGTACTCGGGTAAATGATATTCACGAGGACGTTCCCGACAGCGGCCTTGGGGTTGCCGTAGAACTGGGAAATTTCCGGATAATCCAACTGCTACAGAATGCGGGGGGGGACAGTCACTGGACGAAAGATATCTTGCATCGGAAACGTCCAGACGGCAAGATACCTGGGACAAATTAAGTTCCTGTCAGAGATTCTTCTAATTAGCGGTCAGAGGATCCTTATTGCTGCAATTCTTGTAGAGAAGGAGGACCTCGTGGAATATCTTCTGAGCTTCGAGGTGGATCGACAGAGTGAAGAAATTATCCACGGACAGGCGATACAGCAGAGAATATCCAGTCGGAGGCAATGCCGAACTCCATTAGAGGCAGCATTGTTGTATGGGAGTCTGAATTTGGCTAAAGTACTGATTGATCGTGGAGCTCGCGCGACTGCGTTTGAGATCAATGCTGCTATTTGGGAAGCTTCGAGAACAAGCGACACTGAGTTCGTCCGGCGGTTCCTGAGTATGTTTCCATGTCTCGGTTATGCGGCCCCTACTGCTTTTGGAATAGCAGTAAAGAGGAAGAATACTTGTCTTGTTCATGTCCTTTTTCAATGCGGGATTGACCCCAGGGAAATTGCACAAGACTGTGAGGTTGTCTACCAGTCACAGCATCGCGACGTGGCAGGATGGTGGTATAACCATCTACGCTCATGTACATCAGTGCTTGAGATAATAGCACAAAGTGGGGATCTGGCTATGCTACAGACTCTGCTCCAGTGTACGACTTGGACAAGGCAGGATGTTGGGTGTGCACTGACTCTGAGCTTGGAATACAAGAACTACCACATTGCTCAGTGCTTATTGGAACATGGCGCAGACGTCAATCAGGAGGTCGGGCCTTCTCCTCTCAGGATTGCGGTGGAGCATCAAAATGTTCCTTTAACACAGGCTCTCATTGCTGCAGGGAGCGATCTGAATCATTTTCCAAGTGGCAGTTATAAACTCACAGCCTTACAAAGCGCGGTTAATAAGGACAACATAGAGCTTGTCAAAGTCCTCTTAGAAGGAGGCGCAGATGTCAATACTCCGACAGTCGAAGAAGGTGGAGCGACGGCATTGCAACTTGCAGCGAAGAATGGGAACATGGAGCTCGTTAGCATGTTTTTAGAAGCGGGTGCGGATGTTAATCAGGCAGCAGATAGTTTATTTGGAGCCACTGCGCTTCAGTTTGCTGCAATTCAGGGCTATATCGGCATCGCTCGCATCCTACTTGACACAGATGCCAATGCAAATGCGCCGGCAGCTGAAGACGGAGGACTAACAGCTCTGGAGGGCGCCTCTCAGCATGGTCGCATTGATATGCTGCAACTCCTTCTCAATGCAAAAGGCTCGGGCGAAGGTCATGACCAGAGGGAGCTGGTTAGGGCTGTGCAGCTGGCTGAAAGGAATGGAAACAATGCCGTTGCGCGTTTCTTGAAGGCGATTTGTGGCTGGTCCGAGTCAGACACATGCTACTACGAACTAAATCCTTTGGATGAAGATGATATATTTATACTGGGACAATATTTTTAATAAACTCTTCTCAAGCGATGAACATGAGGTGTTATAATTACAAGGTACTAGGAAACACATTAGCATCCATTTACACAAATCCTTTTTCTCTCCTTCTATCGTCGCCGTACATAAGGACCTCCAAATGACGGGTGGTAGAGACCTACTTCATATATCGTCCATTCCCTTTAACTATTCCAAATATTTCCAATTAGACAGACAGAAATGACAAGAAGATCCCATTTCCATCCCATGATATGAGAATGCGCCCACTTGATTCGATTAAACATGTTGCCTCAGCCCCATAATCAGAAGTAAGGTATAGGGTATAGATTTAGGGCCCTTTGGGGCAGGTCATATGCCCCAAAGGGCCGCCATGCCCTAAAGGAGACCCGATACCGACAAGTATGAGGACGGCCGATATCTATTCAAGAAAGTAGTCAAAAGTTTCTTGGCTGAGCCTTAGCCACAGTAGCTGTTTTTGGCTCCAGACAAGCCTTTCTTGAGTCCTTCATCCTCATCATAGTTTCACTTCGTTCGGTTTTCATTGCTTAACAGAAGATTTTCTGTGCTGTTTGTTTTTGGTCCTATTTTTTTCATCCTGGTATAAAAAGTGGTATAATTAGTTGTAATCGTTCAATTGTCAGGCTGGCTTCTCACTCGATATGTGTTTTATTTTATTTTATTTTATTTATTTATTTATTTTTTTTTTTTTTTAGAAGATCAAAAAGCCTTCCCCAACAATGCAGTTTTATCACCATTCAAACCTGCGCTACTGCTAGGAAATCGCAACCCCAACTTAGCCCTCCCTCACAGAACAAACATACCCCCTGTGAAAAAGGCTCCATGGTTGATATTATCGACACTTATTTTCACTAATTCCTCTTCCCTATTTCCCTATTACCCTATCTTGCAAAACTCGCCACGCCCAATGAGTTCAAAAACTGAACCCGAGTCCAACCCGTCGACACACTAGGGTTGGTCATAGGAGCTTTCAAATTCGATCTCCCATGGATCACATTCCAGCTCACAGGATGACTTTTTATTTTCCTTCTGGGAGCTTGGGGCATGTGCATGCTCCTTGGGCACAAATCGATCACAAAAGCGGACTGGACTGGAACTTCACCAGAGCCTAATCTAGCAGATCAGCAAGAGACTCGAACTAATGCTTGTACTAATTGTCTCCTGGCCAGTCT